AATCTGACGGCTGTGTATATGCACAACGATATAACATCGAACAATTTTTCACCGGGTTTCGTGACAATGCATATTTACCTGGAAAATTACGTTGTCGTAAAATGAAGATTCTTTTTTAATTATCCTAGTTTTTGAGAATGTATAATCTTATGAAAGAAGGTCTAAATTTAATAAAATAATGTACTTGAATTAATAAGTATGGCAAGAAGAAGATGTTTTAATTTTCATTTTTGGTGGTCACAATAATGATTATATCGTGTAGTTATGCTTGAACCTCTTATGAGACAATTATGAGTTACAATATTTTTTCAGCTTCCTTTTTCGCACTTTACATACTATGACACGAATATTCTTTTCAAAAGTTTTTCGACTTTTTTTCGTTCTCGTTTGTCTCGCTGTCTCTTTTCATTCTACCTTTTGTCCGGACGCTTTCTGAACATAACGAAAAAAGACTGCACCATGCCAGATTTAATGCCATTTCTTCCTTGACGTGGCACAACTTCCGGCAGTTTTCTCACGTTGCATCCGGCGGAGTGTTTTCCTTTTTTTACCTTTTGAATTTTGAAGTACAAATAAAATTCATTCTTTAATAAAAGTTTTCATTACTTTTGATAAATTTTAAATTAAATTGTTGTTCTAGTTTATTAACTAAATTAAAATCGTTTTCTCTTTGAGAAAGTCTTATTAATATTATTCTGAGAACGTTTCAAGTGCTGTGTATCCTGTGATGTTAATAATATTAAGAGTGATACACTGTATAAGTTTATTCTTGAAATTTATCTTATTTACTCAGCGATACTAGGTAGAAATACTCGACGTTAATATGACCCAATAATAAATGAATGACCATTTAAAACGCTTCCAAAAAAGTCAATCAGATTTCATTCCTCACTTAAAATAATGATGGACCTGAAAGTGAAGCCAATCTATTCGGCCTCTGATTGGTCGACTGACTTTTGACTCGAGTCGAAAGATAATAAAGTGACATCTACGGTCAAAATAGCAACTTTTCCGAAACTGACTAAAAAGTGTACGCGCGCGAAGCGCGCCTGAAAGTTGCTAGTATATGTATAAGTCATAACATAAAAGTATATCGATGCCATTAATTCCTACATTAATATTCCTGCTATTAATCCCTCCTCCCTCGGGTGGGATCCGAGTGTGAGGACGCGAGAGGCGAGCCTTTGTATGCACCTTGTATTCCTACCAGTATTTTGTAATTTGTAAGCTTATCTGTTACTAAATAAAGTAAGTGCAATACCCTAACGGGTGCAAGCGCTATAAAAACAAAAAAAATATCGATGCTCCCGAAGACGCTTTGAGATTGCATTTGCATCCCGATGAAGAAGTATATCGACGTACTATATACGATAACTCACGCAGCTACAAAACGTGGCTCGAATGAGAAAAAGCCGCAAGCTTTTCTTGCGCGTCACGTGGCATGAATGTAACAACGAAGCTCGACGTAGCAGGAGGATTTTTGATGGATTTTTGCTCCTCAAAAAAAATCGCATACGAATCGCGGCAAAGATATAACCGTATGTATCTGCAAAGTGCGATTCGTCGAGTATCCTAAAATCTCATTAGCAGATGAGAGATGCGAGTTCATCGAGTCGAATTTAATCTCGTAATTCCTCTTATCTTCGAGCGGATCAAAAATTCATGAAACACGCGGCCCTGTCATTTATAACCTATATATTATACGACGGCGAAGCGCGGCAATCCGAGCTTTAATCATCCCAACTGCGTTTATTTACCGTCTAGTTATAAACCATTTGCCGCATGCATATACTCGTAAGTCCTAATAGCCGTAATACACTTTTATCAGGTGCGCTTGCGTGCGACTTTTGTAAAATTAGAAATTTAATTTCCTCGACTATATCATTTATACGTTCCGCGAGCGCACAATAATGGAAATTTCTATACGTTGCGCGTCACTCAATTGAAAAATTAATAATCAGAATGACAAAGCTCCGCGGGCATAAGATTACGCGCACTCTCTCTCTCTCTCTCTCTCGCAGACGAAGGTTTTCTAATTTCATCTACTCATCTACTCTCGGAGTAGTACCAAGGAGTAAAAAAAAATTTGAAATTTTCCTGAAATCTCCATGAACGCGGTATAAATTATTCCAGTATTAGAGAATGCATTGAATCAAACTCGCAAAGTCGTAAGAGAAAAAAAAGATTGGATTGAAACTAGATAGCTCTGGATAGGAAAAAAAAGGTACAGCGGTAGAAAATTAGACGAACGCAAAGCTCGTATGACAAAAAAGGAGTCTGATTGAAATCGAGGAAAATCTTCCTACATTAAGCTAGATAAACAAGACAGTATCCATGGAGAGAGACCCTTTTTTCATCATGCCGCGCACAAACTGTAGCGCAACTCTGAAAGAAGCTGTCTGACTCGAGGCTGACTTTATCTACTTGAACACATCTTATAATATATTATCTTATGCACGGTTTTCCCGGGCAAAGTTATCGCGGCGCTGAACATTTTTGAACATCTTGAAACTTTAAAGTATAAGTTATTTTTCATGAAAAATTAATTGCCTGTCGCAGGTCCTTTCTCTTCTCAACGCACTAGGGACAATTCACTTTACCGAGAAAGAGTGCCATATAGCGAACGTATGAATGTAGAAGCGTCAAAGAACGAGATCAGTTGGAAACATCGTCCGGGGCTCTCTCGGCTAAATCGACCCCCTTTGTACGCCACCACCACGGCTGCATTGAGAGAGAGAGAGAGAGAGAGAACAAATTCACTCCTCTTTTTCTCTTTCACGACGCGTGCACTATATACTATCCTTTCGTAAAGGGGAGCGCGCGTAAGAAATGTATATAAAGGATAAGGATCCATTTGGGCTCTCCTTTAGACACTCGAGTACATCCTTAAAAATCTGTTCGATCGCTCTCGCACGCGCGAGCTTTAGTGCTCCCCGAGAATTACAGCATCTCGGTCAGAGTCTATACTGTATATACTACTACTTTTCACGTACATTTCAATGCGCTTAGCGCGTAAGTACGCGCGAGCCTATTATCCCACTGTATTAGCATGATTTAGCAAGCTGGAATTGCAAATGACAGTTTCGAAGTTATGTATATAGAGAAACTGCGCCGGAAGGTGCCGCACGGCCCAGAGTTGCTATATACATATAACGCGCGCGCACTTCATTTTACGCGAGGCCGAGGCTTCAACCATCCATACATAATTTAACAAGCGTAAAAAACTTTTGTGAAATGTGCACCAGTCGACTCAGCTGCCGCTCGAAAAATAAAAACTAGCTCTTTCTTCTTCTCTTTCATCTTCCGCGCGCAATTCATTTTCATTGCATACATGTATATGAAGCTATGTATACATATAGAGTACAATCAAGCTCGTATATATAATCCTACTAGTGTGTATATATATTTCGCGGAGGCACATGTTAACGAAGGAGTAGGTCAGTGCGGCGACATTTGTTAAACGTATACATATAACTATAATACATGTGGGTCACACTCGTTGCGAAGTCACGTTTTGACTTTTCGGCAGATGTGATTAACCTGCTCGGCAGCTCTCGCGTCGCTCTAGGATTCGCTAAGCGAGAAATATAATTCATACATTTCAATGTAAATTTTTTTTCCTTCTTTTTTTAATATACGCGCTTATGAACTTGATGAAAAAAAGCAGTATCGAGTTCGGGTTGGCGCGTGGATTCTGACACGATAATTAATCGGTGCCGATTAAACTCTGCTATATGCTATTACATACAGCCCGAGCTTCTCGAATTCTCGACTCGCTCGCGCAAGCTTTTGATTTACGATCTCGAAAAAGCTTTTAACTCGGCGGCTCTCGGGTGCTTTCGCCGAATGGAAATATATAGTATATATACATTGTCTAAGCGCAAACGGACACACACGCATTTATACACATAAAGTAAAGGTTTTGCTACACGTAATGCTCGCAGCAGCAGCAGCGGCAACATATTTGTTCGCCCGCTTGTGTCTCAATCTCTTGTTTATAACCCTTCCTCCACCCTCTCAGCCCCGATGTGCACAAAGTTCGCGCAAGTTCGGCGCAAGTTTTTTCTCTCTCTCTCTCTCTCTTCGCGTATACTCCGCGGATAGTTTCGCTATCCACTGTATGCTCGGCCCCGGGGGTAGAATCTAACTCTCGTGTAAATCTCGAGTTTTGAACTTCTCTCCCTTTTTCTGCAGTTTCCGTATTACACAAACACACACGTATACGCGTGAGTATACAGCCGATTAAATGATGAAAATGTAACAACGCGTGTTTCGTACTCACCGGGCGAGTTCGGTACACGGTACGCATTAACCGTGATATAACTGTAAACGAAGTACGTGCGTTACGAAGCTATTATCGTAAAGCTAGCAGCAGGCCGATCGCAGCGCGGGTGCAGCTTCAATTTCGAGCACCCGCTTGCATAATTTTCTAGGGCTAATGTGCTCTGGAAAATGTTCTGGTCGGCCAATGTGCCGAGTCCTACATATATATAAACGCACATAACGTAACGTACAATTGAATGTTCATCGATTTCGGGAGGGTATTATAAAGAGAGCTACGGACGCTCATTTCCCGCGCTGCAGTAGCAGCAAGTGTCGAAGCATCAATTTTCCCCGCTTAATCGTTTGCCAATATAAACTCGATAAAATAGTTCGCGCGGCGGTGGTAGCGGCCCCGTTCTAGACGAGCGAAAATCTTTCTTTTCTGCTGCGATACATGGCGCGAGGCAGTGGTAGTAGGTGTGTAACGTAAGTACCTGTGTGTGTAACTGATGGGAAGAAAATTTGGAAGTTTGCCACGAAACCGAACTTCCGCGAGTACCCCGATCGATCGTCCATGTATTCCGAGCTCGTACATACTATCGTATAAATTTTCTCAGCGCAGTTTAATTTCACCCGAATTCGCCTGCGATTGATCGATATATAAATATATCGATATGATACATCCTACATCATTTTTAATCCTAAAATATAACGTTTTGTATTTGTGCGCTTTGCAGGATCGTGATACTGGCCGTTTACGTGGGCATATCGGAATGGGATCGGAGCGTCCAGTGCGTCCTGCTGCTGTGGCACTACTTCATCGGCTATCTCGTGGTGTTCGGCTGCTCGATGGCCACCGAGTTCTCGATTTGCGCGCTGGCCACGCGCGGCAGCATACTCGACACCAATGCCCGCGCGCCCATGCAGTATCTCCTCTACGTCCGACTTCGTAAGTATATATTTATCATTATTATTGGTATATATTTTCAAATTTTCTGTACAGCGTAGCGCGCGAGTATTATCGTATGCAAAATTACATTTGCATGCATAACAGTTGTGCTATAGTAGAAATGTTAACTCTGGTACGTGCGGCGATCGTAAAACAAACGTGTCTCTCTTTTGCGCTCGACATTGCGTGTCGGAGCGATAAAACGTGTGTGTATGTGTTTGTGTGTAGTACGAAGGAAACGGAGTATTTTTCCAAGACGTTTCTGCGCGAGCATCGCGTACGTGATATACTTATATATAAATGCGGCAATCGCTGCTTTTTTTCCTCCGCATCTTTCGATTGCTCGGGCGCTAAATGCAGCTACTCTCGTGTAAAAAAAAGAAAAAATCGTGCAGGATTCTCGATGTACGTTCGTGGTATATTGAACTTATTGCCGACACGCTCGCGCGCCCGGTTACATCTATATAAGGGAGCTTTACTTTTGAGCTTTCTCGCGCGCACCGCCTGGCTGCGTGCGAGCTCGCGACTGCTATTATTATATATCGTAACGCGCGTCTATATCGATTCGAGCAAACACAACGCGATTTCGTCGTCTTCCGTCGAAGATTACAGTTTTTTTTTCTGCTCATATACGACGAAAAAAAGAAAAGTAAAAGACCTGCACTCCACACGCAGCGCGAGTTTAGCCTCAAGCCATACACGACGAAAGGGGTATATGTTCCGCGTTACATTATAACACCCCATGCGGAATTCGTTGCGCTGCTGCTACTGCTGCTGCATGTGTATAATAATACAAGCGCGAAACGTTATACAAGCGCGCGAGCGATGTATAATACGCGTGCGCGCTCATGGGGGAGGAGGCTTGCATACATGCATGCATATAGACACAGACCGCGAAATCCCAAAAGTGCAATGAGCAGATATCAAGAGCCCCCTGTTTTATTTTCGTCGTTGTTGTTTGTTGGCATCGCTCTCGAGTACACTACTGTATACAGGTGGTATACAGGGACATTTGTATTATATCCCGACGATCGTTACGCATTGTACGCGCGTATCTCTCTCCGACGCGATCGTCGCGATATATTTTGACATCTAATCGTGTAGTGGTGGCGTTGGGTTACTCTTCGAGCGAGTTGGGTATGAGGAGTTGATCCGCAATATGAATGAAGTCATTTTATTTGTGTGTTTATAAAATTATTTATGAATTTGAAGTCTTTTCTGTCGAAATATTTCAATGTTGTAAATTTATCATGAGTTATATTAATGTATGTTTGTAAACAATCCTTTTGTTAGGTTACTTAGCTTCCAATTATTATGTACTGAATAAAATGTGCTTTTAGAGAGTACTTTATAGTCCAACATTTTTAAATGCACTCAACATTTTTAAAGCTTTAAAATGTTGTGCGTTCATTTATATAGTTTATAACTTTTAATGTTGGATTACGTTTAAATTTAAATGCATCATGCAATTTGTTACTGTAGAAAATAAAAATTTAGTCGATTTTTAAAGTACCTTGAGTACGATAAAACCACTGAAAGCCTTCACCGCTAGATGGCGAGTATCTTTATCTGTAAATCTGCAAGTAGCAAAGTAAAAATAATTGTATAAGTCAACGTAAAAATAATTGTATAAGTCAACGCACAGTTGACTTCATACTTACCTTGCTTTTCCCTTTTTTTAGTTCGACTTTTATTCTTTCATCATCAAAAATTGAGGGCCGAAGTAGTATTGTGCCGAATGGAAACTAAACTGGCATCTTGTTGCTCTGTTCTGTAAAGTAGCATCTTGATGCTAGAAGGTATCGATATATGGACCACTCTATAAGTTCTATTGGCTCTTTTATGTCCAAGAAACGGTTATTTGGTTTAAAAACTAGCCATAAAATGTTTAAAAAAGAATACCCTTTTGGTTAATGTATGTTCAATCCTAATGGCCCATTTATATCCAAGAAACTTCCTCGTAGATCAAAAACTAGCCATTAAATGTTGAGCATATCCATCAGTGTGCCGAGTAAGAAAGTTATACAGATAAAATTCAAAGTCGAGCATTTATGTGTACGTATACCCAAAGCGTATTCCTTTATATTTTTGAATGATGGTCAAACATATGGTAAGAAAAACAAAAAATTCACATGAACAAGCAATTTTTTTCTCTTTGAACGCAACGTACAATGTTCTGTAAAATTAGAGAACTCGTATGATAAGTATCATGAATACATTTTTCAACGCGTGCCCATATGATATCGCGTAAGATTTTACATTGCGTATACGATCACCAGAAGTTCTTTCTATCTATACGTATATCGCCGATGAATTAAGGCAAATCAGGGTCTGGCCAGATTCAGTCCGTCGGGAGTATTGATTTCGCCGTACAACACGTCAGAAATACGTGTGCGCACAGCTACATCCTTACTATCTGCTGCTGCACTGTTACTCGACTCGATAGGTGTGAGTGGACAAAGTGCCATTGAATTATTCCTACATGCATACATATACGTACCGTGTAAAGTCGTTAGACGTCGCGCGGGGAGTAATACAGCAGTCAGGGCTGCTTTCGGCTGCTGTTGCTGTTGCTTGTACCGCACCGCAATTAGACGCACTTAATCAATTCGATGCCAATGACCGATGATGTAATCATTGGATGTATGTATTATTATATAAAATGCATTGCGGCTCTGGTTCGAGATTTCAAGCACGTTAAATCCGATATAACTCCACGTCTTTGTTACCTGCCAGAAATAAGTTACACGCCGACGAGGAGCGCGCGTCAATCAAAATTCTATGGTTCATAGTTCAACGTACTCCCAACGACCCTAGCAGGATTACACGGTAACATCGATGCATCGATGCAAAATCCACGCCCCGTTTCTAAAAGCTCGAGCACGAAATGGCGTTAATATAATGTAACAGCAGATTTTTTGCCAACGGTGTAAAACTCGAGTAAAAAAAAATTGCATAGCAATTCGGCCGTTGATTGCTATCCGGAGTCGTTGCAGCTCGCCGCCTAGTACACATTGAAAACCACAATTCAACACACATAATAACGAAACTTCTCTCGCGTATCGTAAAATTTTCACCCCGGCAAACTTGATATATTCACCTATGTGTGCGCTGCGTTCACGTCCGTATGCAGTGCCTCGTGTGTACACCTTTGTTAGCCATACGCGAGCCATTGTCAATAAGATAGCTCTCGCACTCTTGGCCATACTCGACCACGTGGAAACTTTCAGCTTCTATATATAAAATAATACATATATCGAGCAGATTCGCTCGAGCTTTGTAATGTGGCATGTACAAATTGGTGAGCCGCACGAAGCGCGGATTTTCCTTTGTTGCGTAGCCGCAGCTCGTCTATATACACACGTGTGCACGTGAAACTCGTTTCACGTTATTAACTAGCTAGGTGAGAGACGTGGGTGCAAACGTACTAGATAACGTCATTACTTGGTACTTCGTGTCTGTTAGTACATCTGTACCAGAAGGAATATTATTTTCATCTGCGATGAGAGCGAGAAATTAAGAGCTAAATAATAATCGATTGTTAATTAGTTTTAAATTGGTTAAGTTGTTGGTAGAGAACGAGTTACAGAATAAGATTTTCAACGATGGAACGATGTTTTGTTTGGCGAATATTGTTGAATCTTTCAAGCGTATCAATACAAAACCAAATTTTATTTAATCTTTAAACTTATTAGCAATAAAAATAATAAAATTTCTATCAATAAGTTAATTACAATTTTCAAAAAACTAATATGGAAATGGCTCAATCTCTGTCAGAATTACTCAACTTATTCCTTATGGATATTCGTTAATTCGCTTTAAAGTAATCGTTCTCAAAGATGAGAATATATGAGCTACGAAGATGGAATCTTTAAAATATTAAAATTGAGTGGGAAAAGCAATGAAAATGTTCGAGTCATGTTGATATATTTACAATCAATAAAGTATTCAGAAAATTTAAATAATGGTTTAGAAGTATTTACTTTTTAAAAAGTATTATATTCTTTGAAAAAAGTATACATTTTCGAAATTATAACATTGAGGCGAAAGATCTATAATTTAACGATAAAAAAATCAAAATTAACGATTATTTTTTCCAACGGCTCGATGAACAGTAAATATGTGATTCATCAATTGGCGTCTCTGAGCAAATTTTTCGTGACACACGTTGCATTTACGAATAACTTCATTTCCATTTATGGTCTTAATAATTTGGTTTACACCAGATTTAGTCGGAAGCGTCGTATCATCTAGTGTCTCATATTGATGTTTCTCGAGACTTTCATTTTTGTGAATTACTTTTTTGTGTTTTTTCAAGTGGCTCTAATGTTTAAATCTTTGTTGGCACACGTCGCATTCGTAGTCTGTTCGTCCTTCGTGAACAGTTTTGTGATGAATTTTTAAACTCTGATTTTTTTAAACTCTTTTTGGCACACGTTTCAAACATAATCTCTTTGTCCTTCGTGAACTGTTTTTTGGTGGTTCTTCAAATAGTTTCGATCAAAAAATGCTTTCTTACACACATCACATTCATAGCCTCTTCGTCCTTCGTGAACTACTCTGCGATGAACTGTTAATTGATATTTTTTCTGAAATGCTTTCTGACACACTTTGCATACGTAGTCTGTTCTACATTCGTGAGCCATCATGTGATGAATCTTCAAGTTCTGTTTTGATGTAAACTCTTCTGGGCCCAAGCCGCACATGTAATCTTCGTGATTTTTGTGAACTGAATCACTATCAAGTGTCGAGCAATGTTTATCTATAGACGCTATTATTTGAAACTTTTAAACTTTATAAGTTATATCTTCACGTTTCGTCAATTGATCAATGAATGTAGCAGTTTTAACTTTATCGATTTAGGTATACGTAATTTTCTGACTGAGACTTTTTTTAAAAGTACCAAAAAAATTGTATACTTGGTTGATATTTTTTATAAACAATCCATTTGTGTTCAACAAATAAAAGTATCAAAGACAGTTGACTTTCATGGAAGTTAGGGTAACACTACTACTGACCAAGGAAGTTGACTCGAACGTACTTGGCTAATTGAAAATTATCGGATTGAAATTGCTTTGTTTACATACCGAGAATCAAACTATACGCTTAAAGTCGAATGAAATGATATTATATAATATAAACCGAGTCGATAAAATAATATATTTCATAGTCACCATTGTTTTAAACTTTGTTAGTCCTTAATTTTGTGACTGATTCTTTTACAATAAAATTCGAAAAAATTGTATTATTCATTGATATTTTGAAAAAAAAGTCAAAAGCAGATATTTTTCATTGCAATAAGGTCTTTATTCCATGTACAATTGAATTAAATTATATAAAATTGAATTAGTGTATGTTGTTAGATGGCACATTTTTAGTAAGTAATTAGGTATCTTTTCAAGTACGTTTTGAGTTGTTTGCTCGATGAACATTAAAAATGTGAATCATCAATTGACGTCTTTGATCAAATGTTTCATGGCATTCGTTGCATTTCCTCATCGCTTTATTTCTATTGATTGTGTACAATTTCTGTTTTGTATTATCTTGAATGTTCAATGACGAATTTGAGTTGTTGGATTCTTGTTTTTTGGGTTCATCGTGTACTCTCATGTGCTGTAATAAACTTCTTTTCCATTTAAATACATTGTGGCATGTGTAGCACTCAAAATCTTTTTGGCTGTCGTGGACTCCTTCTTCATGATCTGTCAAATTTTGTTTAGTTCCAAATGCTTTTTGACAAACGTCGCAAATGTGGTCTTTTCTTCCTTCGTGAACAGATTTGTGATGAACTGTTAAGTTCTGATTTGTTGTAAACGTTTTTTGACACACATCGCATACGTAGTCTTTTCGTCCTTCGTGAACGGTACTGCGATGAATTGTTAAGTGCTGATTTGTTGTAAATGCTTTTTGACATACGTCACAAATGTGGTTTCTTTGTCCATCATGAACTATTTTTTTGTGCCTCGACAAACTGCTACTCTGTGAAAATGTTTCTGAACACTTGTCGCATACGTAGTCTCTTCGTCCTTCGTGAACTGTTTCATTGTGTTTCATCAAATGGATTCTTTGTTTAAATGTTCTTTGGCACTTGTAGCATAAGTAATTTCTTCGTCCTTCGTGAACAGTGCTACGATGCATTTTTAAGGACCGTTTTGTTGTAAATGCTTTTTGACACACGTCGCAAATGTGGTCTCTTTGTCCTTCGTGAACAGTTTCTTTATGCTCTTTTAAGTTCTGATTTGTTGCAAACGTTTTTTGACACACATCGCATACGTAGTCTTTTCGTCCTTCGTGAACAGTTTTGCGATGAACTGTCAATTGATATTTTCTTCCAAAAGCTTTTGGACATAGGTCGCAAACGTAGTATTTTTGTTTTTCGTGAACTGTTTTGCGATGAACTGTTAAGTTCTGATTTGTTGCAAACGTTTTTTGACACGCATCACATACGTAGTCTTCTCGCCCTTCGTGAACTATTTTTTGGTGTTTCTTAAAATTTCTCCGATCAGAAAATTCTTCTTGACACACATCGCATTCATAGTTTTTTCGTCCTTCGTGAACTGTTTTTCTGTGCTCCGACAAATTTCCCTTCTGTGAAAATACTTCTGGACACATGTCGCATACGTAGTCTCTTTGTCCTTCGTGAACAGTTCTGCGATGAACTTTTAAGGACCCATTTGTTGTAAACGCTTTTTGACATACGTCGCATACGTAGTTTTTTCTACCTTTGTGAACAATTTCGTGATGAACATTCAAGTTCTGTTCTGATGTAAACTCTTGTTGGCACAAGCCGCACACATAACCTTCGTGGTTTTTGTGAACTGAATCACTATCAAGTGCCGAGCAATGTTCACCGATAGACGCCATTATTTTAAACTTCTTTGGACAATTACCACACGTAATTGATTAAAAGAGTGTAGTAGTTTTATCTTTATCGATTTAGGTATACGTAATTTTCTGACTGATACTTTTTTTAAAAGTACCAAAAAAATTGTATACTCGATTGATATTTTTCAAAAAGAACCCATTTGTGTTAAACAAATAAAAGTATCAAAGACAGTTGACTTTCATGGAAGTTAGGGTAACACTACTACTGACCAAGAAAGTTGACTCGAACGTACTTGGCTAATTGAAAATAATGACACATTGGTTGAAATTATTTTGTTTACATACGAGTATCAAACTATACGCCTAAAGTCGAACGAAATGATATTATATAATATAAACCGAGCCGATAAGTTAATATATTTCATAGGCACCATTGTTTTAAACTTTGTTAGTCCTTAATTTAATTTTGTGACTGATTCTTTTACAATAGAATTTGACAAAATTGTATTATTTATTGATATTTTGAAGAAAAAAAGTCAAAAACTGATGGATATGAAAATCTATATATAGGTAACGTTGGGTTCACGTTTCCACGGGAAAAAAATCATTATCAATTGATCAAATAAAAATTTTTTATTTTTGAGAGGCTTATATTTATAAATCATATTTTCATACAAAATCAATCCGATCATGAAGCGTACTATTGTACTTATACGTGGACTTGTAATTTTTTTCCACATTTGTAAAAATATTTTTAAATGAAATTGGCGTACTTGATCTAATTCTCCCTCAACATCAAAGTCTAATTCTTCAAACACACGAGCGACTGTAATACGTGAAAAGCGGAATAACCGTAGAAAAGAAAACGAATTCAATTGACAATTACTTGAATGGATTAAACGAGCTTTCAATCTATAGAGTAGATGTGAAATGTCAATATTTGTATGTATCAACATCATACACGCGTGTTGCATTATGGGGACGCAAATCCCAAGCAAATATGTTTCACGTACACAGCGCGGCAAAAAAACATTAGTGCTCGAATCTCTCCAGCTTGTAAATATCGCACGTCGTTTTATTTTTACGATGTATCCCACTTGCCCTCCTTTTTTTTGTTCTCTCTCTCTCTTCTTTTTGCTCTGCATCGCGACCGCGGCCGAATGAATTCAATCAACTATAGCAGAGATAATCCGAAGTAACGACGATCGTAAAAATCCCCGCGCCACGAAAAAGCAAAAAAATAAATAAAGCTTACGCGAGAGCTTCGAGATCTCATAGTAAACATGCCCTCGTGCGTATCTTTTTGTTGCAGTTTTAATTCTGGTCGAGGCTGCGTGGCTCTGCGCTGGCGTCACGTGGCTCGCGAAATTCTACCTGGATTGTCCCCTGGCGGATCGGATGAAGAGCGTCATGCTGGGTAAGTCTATATATCTACATTTCATAAATACGATTCAATCCGTATATAGCGTCTGATAAATATACATGGAAAAAATAGTAAGCTCAAAAGGGCAAAAAATCGACTCGACTCGACTCGAAAAAAACGGCGCTCGAGTATAGCTTGCCAAATTCGAATTAAATCGCTCGAAAGATACTTTACAATTCCACGAGCCTTTTGGCCTCGGCTCAAAAAGGGGGAAATGGACTCCTACTTGGGGAGGGCATTCAACCATCCCCGACGTAAAAATACCATTCGATAACCGATACTTTGCTATACAACGTGTGCTGCAGGCTTGGTGGTATCGAACTGTTTAATACTGGTCTCGATACTGACGACGGTCTGGTGCGTTTACGACACGGCCGGCCGCTCTTGGGTGAAGATGAAGAAGTACCAGCGCAGCATGCGCGAGGCCGAGTCGCGCGGCAATCGCATGCACTACAAGCGCAGCGGCAGCAATCGCAACTGGCGCCAGCGCAAGGTCATACGCGCCTACCAGGACAGCTGGAACAATCGCTGCCGCATGTTCTTCTGCTGCATCGGCAAGTCGGACAGAAACAGGGTAAGAGTCGCTATTATAAATACCGAGAGCTCATACGGAAATCTTGGCTCGAATCGATCGATTAATTTTTTTCCTGCGCAGAACTCGTTCACCGAGATAGCGCGGCTGCTCAGCGACTTTTTCCGCGATCTCGACGTGGTGCCGTCGGACGTCGTGGCGGGCCTCGTGCTGCTGCGCAAATTCCAGAAGATCGAGCGCGAGCTGATCGTGAAGCAGCGCAAGAACGACACGTACGAGTTCCTGTCGGGGGTGCCGGTGACGCCCCGCACCAAGTTCCTCTCGCTCACCGAGGACGGCGACCTCGGCCACTTCCAGTCGGCCATACACTACATGCACTTCGCCCTGGCGGCCTACGGCTGGCCGCTCTTCCTCGTCAATCACTCGACCGGCCTGTGTCAGCTCTGCACGAGGTATACCACCGCTACTCTACTTCTATAGCCATCGATATTTTTAAAGCCTTGTAATTATTTTACAACGAGATTATCGCGTTTTTCGCAGGCTGAGATGCTGCTGTCTGCCGTGCACGCGGAGCAGCGATGACGCCATCATCGTCGAGGACAACTGCTGTCAGTGCAATTACGCGGCGCTGAGGCGCATGGTCGAGATCGGCGAGGTCGACGTGCTCTACGCCACCTTTCACGTGGACGTCAACGAGACGCCTTTCTTCGTCGCCCTCGATTATACCAAGAAAAAAGTGCGTCCCCTGCTCTCTCTCTCTCTCTCTCTCTCTCTCTCTCTCTCGATCTTTATTATTACCGCTCTATTATTATTTGCTCTTTTCTCGTTATACCTTCTTACGACGCTCTCTTGAGCGCACGGAAAAAAACTTTTTGAAAAAAAAACTTTTTTTACCTCGCGCTCGATGACGACGACGACGACGGCTACATTATGTGTGCTCGTCGAGACTTTTCTTCAGACGATTACTGTTATAGGTAGAAAAAAGAAAGAAGGAGAAGAAAAATTGAACGAAAGAAAGAATGAAAGAAAGTAAAAAAAAAGGAAAAAGGAGGCAGCTTTATAATCCAAGAAAATTAAAGTTTGCCCAGATTTATGGCCCAGTTTAAATGTATGAGTAATTGTACATGGAGTTTTTTAATTGGACCGAGAGAGCTTTGTGCACTCGGCTTATTATTCTCGTACCGAATCGCTCGCTCAGATACCTTAACTTTTTAATTAATTTACAACAACAATCCCGCGAAATATGACGAAAATTTGCATGCACGTGTTATACGCGCGCGAACAATCTGTATTATATGCGGGTGTTGTTAAAGTCGAAGAAAAGCTTCCCTCTCGAACGTACGCACACCTCCGGGCACACAAAGAGCTTCGAAGTCTCAGGCGCGTGAAGCTATATGTATTTATTTATTCATTCATTCACTCGTTCGTTTAAACATCGCACACAGGTGGTGGTGAGCATACGCGGCACCCTCAGCATGAAGGACGTGATGACGGATCTGAACGCCGAGGGCGAAGTGCTGCCGCTGCAGCCGCCGCGCGACGACTGGTACGGCCACAAGGGCATGGTCCAGGCCGCCGAGTACATCAAGCGCAAGCTCGACGAGGAGGGCATCATCGCCAAGGCCCTGGCCAAGGACCCGGAGCGCGGCACGCCCGACTTCGGCCTGACCCTCGTCGGTCACTCGCTGGGGGCCGGCACCGCCTCGATACTGGCCATCCTCATGCGCCAGGAGTATCGGGATTTGCAGTGCTTCGCGTACGCGCCACCCGGCGGACTGCTCAGCATGCCCGCCCAGGAGTACACGCAGGAGTTCATCACGTCGGTGGTCGTGGGCAAGGACGTCATACCCAGGATCGGGCTGAGACAGATGGAGAGCCTCAGAGCCGACCTAATTAACGCCATCAAGAGGAGCGTCGACCCCAAGGTAAGCTCTCTTGTGTGCACTAAGCACGGTATCTAAAAGCGTGTCGTCGACTTCCGCTTCGTGCACGCCCACGCACTACCGCTGTAATGTGGGCGCGCGTGTACACGTGTAGTCGAGTCGCGGCACTATCCGACGCTGCTATATACGAGAGAGGGCAATAAAAACTTGAGACCCATGCGCGCGACCTACATCTCTCTCATCCTATAACGCGCTGCACTCAAACATGCTTCCGCCGTTATCTTCCTAAGTACCCTCATTATTCTCGTTTCTTATCTCGACGAAACATCGATTCTACTTCTCCTCCTCTTCCATCCCTGCATACCCTATTGTGTGTCGAGTGCAGTTCGAGACTCACCCATGTGTACATGCAGATGTACACAAAGCAACGCTTATTGCTTCGAAAAGTTTTCCACCTCCTGATCTCGTGGGTATGGCTCGCAAAATTCGTTCATAATATTAAATTATCTTAACGCTTCCTACCTCGGCGCAGTGGAAGACGATAACGTGCTCGGTGATGTGCTGCGGCTGCGGCACCATACCCACGTCGGCGGCGAATCTCGAGGCCGGTGGTTGCATCAGCGAGTACCAGCGCGACAAGGATCTGGCGCGCAGCGAGGCCGTCGTGCCCACGGACTCGACCATCGCCCTCACCCTGCACAGGCCGCTCTATCCGCCCGGCAGGATAATACACGTCGTCAGGCATCATCCCAACAAGGGAGAGTGAGTATATACACGATCGATCGCTTCTTTCATTAATTCTCGAAAAAACTTCATCATCTCATTGTTCTTTTTTATACTGTAAAAAACAAACAAAAATAATAATAATTCGCCATTTCGATTTATGTAATTGTTCGCAAGCATTGTGAGATTCGCGCGGGATTATACGAGTACGAGAAAAGTCATAACGCGCAAAAATTGCAGACACGATAAAACCAATCTTTTTTTTCTCTTTTCACTTTTCTAGGCAAAAGTACGAATCTCGTTGGAGGTATGTGAAATTATCAAAAAAACTTTGTGTGTTGTGAAGTCGTATATAATGAAAATCAGCAATCGTAAATAAACAAAATAAATTATAAATATAGTTTATTAGACAAATAAAAATGTAGATAATTCAAGTGCACAATCTAATCAAGTCGTTATGATAGTATACATGAATATTTAATATGAATGACCCTAGTAGGAATGCTCAACGTTAATAATGGACTAATGACCAAAAATTTGTCATTTCAAATGTTTAAAAAAACATTATCACTATTTAATTTTTGGTGATTTTATTTTACAAATATTGACCTGTTTTTCAATGATCGGTAAATGACAATTAGATTGTTTCGAAAGACGAGTTTTGAATCAGATAAACATCTACCGCTAGATGGCGAGTATCTTTAGCCGTAAATCTGCAAGTGGCAAAGTGAAAATAATTATAATAAAGCACGAATTTGAACAATTGACACAATTGAAGAAGAAGGAGTTATAGAGAGAACAAAAAATATTACTTTCTTTTCATTGGCAAAAAATTAGCCATAGAATGTTGAGCTGTTTTGCTAGGGTATTTCACCAACAAATTTATCAATTTTACATAGTTCTAAAATGTTAGTGGATTCAATAATTCTTGCATGTTAACTCGAAATAATACGCGAAAAATAATAATACAAAAATGAAATCACTGTTTATTTGAGTAAAAAGCAAAGAAATTAATTATATTTTGTTTTTTCATCAATTCATCAAAAAAAACCTTAACCCTCTTTAGTCCTAGTAACTGTTTAATGTTTCATGTTGTCAATTAACAAATCACCAAATCCAAAGCATGTCCAAATACATATAAACGTACACAAAATTTAATATCATCGTGATAAATCTAAATGAAGCCCAGTCACGAATCTTACAACTCGCGCGCATACCTCTGAATATGTATCTCTTTGATTACACGCAGACAAGTGCTGAGGAAGCGCGAGCCCGTCTACCAGGCGCTGTGGGCCCGACCGGCGGACTTCGACGAGGTCCTCATAAGCCCGGTCATGATACAGGACCACATGCCCGACAACATGCTCAAGGCCCTGAACAAGGTAAGCCAGCAGTGTCAGCTGCAGCAGCCGAGCCGACTCGGTGCCGCCGTCGCGAGTCCGCTGATGCATCGGCTCAGCACTCGTAGTCACAACACCGCCGCCGATTACTGTCCTCTCGAGGAGGAACTGCGCGTGATCGATGTCGACGACTGCGTCGTCCTGTCGGAGCGCGACGTGCTCACGATTACGAGCGACTACAATAACGACCAGGTCAACGACGGCCGCAGTAGTCCCGAGGCCTCGTTGCCGCGTAACGAGTCGCCGAGCAGCACGACGTTGATCGTCGTCAACGCCGAGGTGCATCACCGTAACGAGATGCAGCCGGGCTCGTGATACTCGTTATACTTCCTTGCGGCGGATATGCGCGTAGATTCGTTTAGCATATTTTATTTTGGCCTCGAGGGATGATATTTTTTCCGGCTGTGCGGCGGACAAACTTGTACATACTGTAATAATTATTAAGTTTAAATAATAACTTCCGAAACAAAGCACTTAACTTTTTTTAATGGTGACAGTAAAATTTAATGCTCAAAATGATTACCCTGGTAGAAATGCTCAACGTTAATAATGGATGAAAAATGACCATTTAAAATGTTTACATTTACATTAAAATTAATTGAATTATTTTTGGCAATTTTTGTTACAATTATTTTACAATTATCTAGTGCATTTCAAATGACTTGAAAATTACAATTTTATTGTATCAAAAAAGCGAGATCAGTTTTCAACCACTATAAATTCTTTAATACCTCTTTAAGCCTCTTCCACTAGATGGCGAATACTGTTACTTGTAAATCTACAAGTGGCAAAGTCAAAATTATTCTATATATATCCACGCATTTTCGGACAGTCTGTTCAAATTTTTTGATTGTATGTTATTTATCTTTCCTCAGCCAAAAAAGGTCATAAAATTTTAAGCATTTCTATCAGAGCAAACACATTTTGACGCTTCGTATACAGGTAGTCGCTAAATATCGTACTTCCGTAACATATTTGCTCTCTTTAATACGTATGCATTTGCATTTTATATTTTTGTAAGTGTTTAACGCGAATGATGACGTAACTTGATTGAATCTCAAAATATCGATAGGTATAAGCAAGACTTAGTGAGAATTGACCCAAACATGTAGTCGCAGTCGATCGTTTTTTAGTTACGATAGATGAAAACAATACAAGAAGTATTGAAACATGCGCGCACTTATGGGATTTAGAGACGTTTATTTTTTAAAAATTTTATATGATTTATTTTTACATTTATTTTTTAATAATACGAATTACGAATAATTACGAACCAAAAAATGACTAAAACTAGTGCACGCTTGGTAATTTTTTTTCTAGTTTCCACGACTTTTGACAAAACAACTAGTACATTGTTATATACTTTTGATAAGAGTTTTTTTTATGTACAACCAAAAATCATATGTCGTGAATCCAAAGCGTTTATAAATTTAAAATTTATGACATTTTCAATGATCTGAGTAGAATTTAAAAATCTAACTTTATTTAGTGGTTTAACCGAAGACCATTATTTAATATTATAATTGTTTAAAATTACGAAATGGGTTAGTAAAATAATATTTTTCTTCACAACGCGGATTTGGTGAAACCACTTTGATGTTCGTAAACGAAAGTGTACAGAAAAAATTAGCAATACGTTATATGTATTGATAATTGTTCCCAACGTATTCGCGACGAACAGATACTTTACAGTAGACAATTTTTTTTAGAAAAATGATAATTTACACGTTTGTTTGTGTAAATTAGATCTGCGATTATTTGGACGGTGTGTACTTGTATATGCTTGATTTTCGCATGATCCATCTATATACTTATCTAGCCAATGTATACATAGCTAATTTGCACATGTTAGTTGATGATGATTTAATTATTTTTAAAAATTACGCACCCATTTATTTAGAATGACATTTCTGATTATTTATTATTAATTTATGAAAGAATATTTTTATTCTCAAAAATACCATTGTTTTCTTCAGAAAGTCCTTCTGTTTTGAATGTAATTTTATTGTTTGTAATGTCTGTATTGATTGATGTTGTTTATTACAATAATACATACAATTTTACGTAAAAAGATTGTAGTTTTTTAATTTATTTTTACCTCTTTCCTTTATAAATGTCCTATATTTTTATTTTACACAGCACTTCCGATAAATTGATTTCCTATAACTTTTTTTTATTTTTTTTCAATAGATCATAACAACAAAATAGAAACATGAATGTCTATTATTTTGGCCAAGCATGATTACCATAGAGCATTACTTGTGAAATGGATTGTTAAAAAAGTAGATTGTGTAAAATATGACTTGAAAATAGCTAGCCAGCTGAATGCATTTAAAAGCGAACGTTTATAAAAAAATGCCAAGCCACCGCCCAGTTGGCCAATTAAGTAAAAAATAAAACATATCTTCCTACTCGTATAACAATGAGAAAAGTGGGTAGAGAGTTAACGACAAGCAGAAGCAAACGAAAAAGAAAAATTTTCAAGCAGCCTACGCGTGCATATTGTGTGTGTGAATACGCAGGTATCGGAGCATCGCGAGATCAGCGCTCAGCTCAGTGCCATGTCTGCCGCTTCTGCGGCTGCTGCCGATCAGCAGCAGCTCAGGAATGCCGAATTGGAGGTGCTGGATGTCAAGGCTCTGGCGTCGACGGCGGAGTCCGCGAGTGCCGATCGCTCCGATGAAAGGTACTTCACGCTTACAAACACACAAGCCACACATTGATTTCACGCGCGAGTCGACGAATTTGACTAAATTGTCCCGGAATCATTGCCGATCTCGAATATTTAAAAATTCAATAAGCTTTTCAATCGCGTTCTTGATTCTTCATAATGCAGTAAATATAAATTTTATGCAACAAAAATAAGAACGACGTTAGTCTAAAAGTAAGGATAATGTTGAGTTTATTATTATTATTTTATTTATAGCAAGGTGAGCATAAATAGGTAATAAGGATGAAAAATGGCCACATCTAAGAGAGATAAAGAATTTTCTCCTCGCAATTTGTCAGCATCTCATATAATTATTGGTATAATTTGTCTCAATTACATTATTTTCGCACCACATTTTCCACGATTTATCAAAACCTTCTCATCGATCATCGTCGCACTGCAGGAAGATGAGCTGTATCATTTATCTGTTACCGTAATTTTTAATAATTTCTTTGTAAGCTCCCACCTGAAAAAATGTATACTTGCATGTCCATTTAGTGTGCCTAGCATAAATCGAAATTGAATTAAAGTAAATCGTAATAGTTGTAGTTCGAAAGAGTAAGTATATTGTAATTAAAGTTGTATAAAGTATATCACGTTTATTTCACTTTGTAAAAATTGGTGTAGCCCAAATAATGTAACGACTTAACGATAAAACGGAATTTATTGACGTGTACAACTACTTGACGTGACATTACTTAGTTGTTTCGAGGATGAAATTTTATTTTATATTTATTCATCATTATAAATACATTCTTTTCATCGTATATTGATTTATTTATTTTTTCATGATTATATTTTTATTTCTACTACTATTTTCTACATATATTTAGCAAGTTTCAAAAATGCATACACTGAATAGATTTAAAAATAAAAGTATAGAATATAGAATTTTAGAATTATGAACCATAAAAACATTTTCCACGACGTAAAAATTTATATGGCGGACTTAAAAAATTGTATCGCCTCCTCCGTACACCGTATAGATAAACAACTTTACAGTCAATATTTGCATCTCCATCGAGTCAGGAAAAAATAAAACTCCATAGAAGAGAAAAGTAGGTCGATCGAGCTTTAAGTTTTGCGCGGTTGACTGACAATCCACTTTTGCCAATTCAAAGACTAAAGCTCACTTCACCGAATTCACAATCGAATGTAGACAATCTGATTGTCGTTGGCGGTTTTTTTTATTTTCCTGACTTTGATAGCAAAGTTGCCTTATATATCGGTGGAAAAAAAGAGTATCTAGAGGCGCTTCGTAAGATTTTATATGTAAATCCCCCGCATCGTTGCTCTTTGTCAATAACCCAAGCCGATAAAGGAAAGAGAAGATCATCCTTTTACGTAACTCTTGAAAAATGTATCTTTCTACCCTCTCATCCTCGCCACCACAGGTAATAACGACTCTGGGCCCAGCCAAACCGCAGCGAGTCGTGTCGGGCCGTATCTCGTCGTCGGCCGAGTCCTGCGCGCTTCATCACGGCCACGGCATCGGCCACGACTTTCCGGACATCGAGGTCGAGCAGGAGATGCGGGCGCTGCTGGCCTCGTCGAGCAGTCCGGTCAGCAAGCCCCTGTCGATGGGCGGCACGACGAGACGAGCCCCGCCGCCGCGACTCCCGATAAGCACGAGCAGCGCGGGACCGACGCCCAAGCGCCGACTCTGCCTGGAGACGAGCTTCACCAGTCTGCAGAGCCCGATGACGGACAATTATCCGCAGATCGGCCGCGAGCTCAGCGTCGACTCGAGGGGACTGCCCTGGGAGTACGTGAGCATGGCCGGCGACATACTGGCGTCGCCCATTAGACAGGACGAGCTCTTCAAAGCGTAAGGACATATTTTTTATTCACCCTGAAATGGAGAAATCTTTTTTCAATACGTGTCCGCCTCTTTGAGGCAGCAGTGTGTGTTTTATTACTTTTATCGGAAATAACGTATATTATTGTCGGATTCCTCGCTCGATTCGCTCGCGATTGGTATCTTTTTAATTACTCGTTCGCGAGCGAACGTCGAGACAGATGGTACAATTGTCGTCGGTGCACTGGAATTGCCCCCCACTCCTCGCCATGTGCCCGTGTAGCGCCGGTCCGAGTTCTGTATCGTATCTCAAGCATCCGTTTAAACTTCGATGATGAACGCGAGTGGATTTTGATTATACGCGAGTAATTGTCGAGCATAGAGTAGATCCTCGCGAGATTTATCGATTGGCAAAGTTCAGAAATTGCTGTGTAGCAACTTTCGTGTTAATGAACTTGACGACGTTGTCGCCGAGTTAATTTACTTTGGTACTTTAAATGGACTTTTAAAGACTGCTTAAAAAGTTTTCTTGGATATATATTTATATAAAATAAAAATAAGCTACAAAACGCATTTGAAAACTTCCATTTATAATCTCTGGCTTTTTCATGTATCTAAATGTGCGAGTTCTCGGTAATTGCGGTCGTGAAAAGAAAAGTAGTATTTAGAGTTGTCTATTGGGAAACAAATAAAACTTACTTTATTACTTATACAATTATTTTGACTTTGCCACTTGCAGTGAATTGAAAGTGTATTTATTGGCGTTCATTTATACATTGCCACCAGTAATTGCCACTTGCAGATTTATAAGAGATAGCACTCGCCATCTAGCGGTAGAGGCTTAAAGTGGTATGGTATTGTAGTACAATGTGGTTTAAAACTGATCAAACTTTTACGGTCATGTGAATATAATTCTAACAGAAAAAATGCGAAATAACGTTAACAAATTTTAGAAAATTTGAAATGGTCACTTTTTGGCCATTCAACCATTGTCAATGTTGAGCATTTCTAAAAGATACCTAAAAAAGTAATTCGCATGAAACACAAGAAAATAGATTTCGAAGCAGCGTATTAATTTCACAGCTCTCTTTGCCCGATAAAATTGTTATTGATTGCGTATTTACTAAGGCGAACAATACCGTCTCTCCTGTACAGGGACTGGACGAATCTCGGTCGGCTCGCGCCTCTGGCGACGCCCGAGACCCTGTCCGAGGGCTCGGGCAGCGGGCCGCCGTCGCCGCTGCCGGCCTGCCATCGGCCGATGATGCGCAGAACGCCCAAGATTCCGGGAAACTTATCGACGGCGGCGGACGACCTGAAGAACAACCTGCACTTCGCGATGCTCACAGCCAAGAACTACTACCTGAGGCCGGGCCAGCAGCAGCAGCCGGCCCTGTCGGTGGCCAGCAACAGCAGCAGTAACAGCGGCCAGAACAGCGAGGCCAGCTACGAGGGTCCGAAGGCGCAGGGTCCGCCGCCGCCAGTACCCAGAAGACGAGACTCCGTCCTGGTCAGCAGGTAAGCGTTCTTTCATATTATCATTATTCGCGCAAAAATCTAGTTTGTATGCAGATGCTTGATTAAAATTTCGAATTTTCGTGTATCACAGGGAGCACAGAGTGTGCACCGCGGCCTGCTGCAGGGACGACCTATCCGATCCAAATTCCTCGCCGCACTCGTCGAGACTCGGCAATCCGGTGCACATCGACTTCCCCGAGGAGGACAACGACATCAACGGCTCCAGTCTCGATTTCTACGAGGCAAAGGTCCGTCCGTCGTAATATTTACACTTCCGACTCTTGTCTTTCTCGTCCCAGACGTTCATAATAAAATATCGTCTCCTCTTTTTCCGCGCACAGATCAAGGACAGCAGCGACGTGTTGCTGAGCGTGCGCAGCTCGCCGGGCTGCAAGAGCCTCATGGCCCCTGCGACGGACGCCGGCGCCGAGTGGAGGCGCAACGACAAGCTCGACGCCTCGTTCTGCGGCTCGTCGTCGTGCGACGCATCGCTGCCGCTGCTACGAGGCCTGTCGCCGACTCCGCACACGGGCAGTCAGCACGCCACCGGCAACTCGCCCTTCTTCAACGCCAAACGCAAGAAATACGTCTACCCGATCACCCTCGTCGGTCACGGCGAGAGCAGCGTTTAAACGAAGCCGCTGATGTGTAATTTATTAGGATCGTGTAAAAAATAAATTATCAAGCATTTTTAATCGGTGATTCGTCGCGAGACATCTAACCTCCTCGATCATCCATTTTTCAACAAGAATCAGTTTGTATAGAAAAAAAATTCGTCATTCCGGAAGGCGTGAGAATCTAACCAGGTAGCTCTGGCGTTAATTTTTCATTTTATAGTGTACATAGGAAACTCTTAGCTCGATAATTTCACTGTGCCAAATTATCAGATGGGTAGTCTCTCTACATGATGTATCTTTAAGTGCGCATCCCACGCGGAAATTGTTTACTCTGCGTTGCGGTGCACAAGTATTAATTTGTTCGTACCTCGATTGGGAATGCAAAAATTTAATTATAGTTTTAGTACCTAATCGATTCTGGAAATATGTACGTGAATTTTATTTTTGCACGTTCTCTGTACAAAACGAGTCTAATTTAACTAAAAAAATTTGATCGTTTTGTTCGTATGTGTCACCACAATTTTATTACATCGATAACAGTGTACATAATTCAAGGGTAATTTTCAAAATTTGTTAATTTGAATTTAGTGTAAATTCGATTCTCGTGTATTTGTAAATGAACAAAGATAACAATTTTAATTCATCGTTTCAAAGTGAAACGGCGAGAGCACAGATGTTTTATACATAAAATTAGAGAACACCGAGCACATAATATTACATAGACGGTCGCAGATGTCGTAGAATACGTCAGGGACCATACGTAAAAAATGTAAAAAATTAACGTTAATTCGTAAGACGCATGTATACAAATTATTATAATGTTCAAGATTTTCTGTATGATTATAAGAAATTTCCTTACAAAATTCACACAGATCTTCCATCCATTTTTTACTTACTAGTAGTTCACTGTATTCAAATTATCACAGCAATATAGATTTTAAGTTTCGTATAACGATTTATGTAATGCAATGTAAAAGATATTTTTACTAGTCAGCTAGAACAGTGTTCACTAGCCATGATATTGATATCGAAAGCAATTTTATTTGATCGAGATGTGTTATTTATTATTATCTGTAATCGGTAAATTCTTAAGATATGTATTTATGTATAAAATAAATCATACATTGAAAAAATTATACAATATTGATAATAATACTGGCACGGAGAAAGTACTTTAAAATCAGTAGATCATACATACCACTAGATTATAACGATGAAAACATTATATTTATAAAAAATAAAAATAAAATATTGATTCATCGACAGTGAAATTTATTTCGTAAAATATAAGAAATATTATTTATTTTGAAGCATGATTTTTTCTAATAAATATTTAAAACTCGAAAAAATGTTAGTCAAAGAATTTTTATGTATTTTTTTCGTGAAGAGTGCTTACTAAGAGCCTGTAATTTCTTAAAATCAAACAATTTTCATTCAAAATGATCTCACCTAAAAAAGGTATTACATTTCCAAATTATACTTTTGTTTCTAGTAAAATTTATCATACACAAAGATTTTTTTTGTCACTTTTCAATGAAGCTATTTGATAGGCTCGAAAATTATTTTTGTGATACACGCATTACACATATAATCATTTCGTCCTTCTGAAAAATTTTGGTATGTTGTCAAATTGTCAATTGCCTAGAAATTTTTTTCCTGGCTTAAAATTAGTATCAAAATCGAAAGTAGCTACTAAAAGTAAAATTAAGATTAAAAATTTAGAATTGATGCCTTTACAGGTACATAAGTCTTATCATTTTCCGAAACTAAATATAAACTTGGACCTTGAATTTACATATGCCTCAAAAATAATTATAGTAATTGGATGTTTTTGAAGTGTGTACATCCATCACTTGAAAAATGGTGGAATTATTTTATTGAAGATTTAACAACGAATGATACTAGTTTTAAAGCCGCTGCAATCAATTTTTGCCATTTATACAAACTTATCCGTCAGAATATAGTACATTACTGAATCAATATCGTAAATCACAGCCATTACTGAATCAATATCGTAAGATAGATATTGGGGTCTTCATTCAAAAAGAATAAAATGAATAGTTCACCAAATTGAATGGTAATACCATTTTCCACGCTACTGGACACTTATATATTTGTCAAATATATATTTGCTACTTGCAGATTTATAAATGATAGAACTCGCCATCTAGCGATAGAGGCTTAAAGTGATATTATAGTATAGTGCTTTATAGTGGTTGAAAACTGATCTATCGTAGTGTTTTGTTGAACTCCGTTCGGTCAAAGATCAAAGATGTGCCTCGGTCAATGTTATTCGACGTTCTCGAATACTCACAAGGAGAGCTCTCTAAGTCCGGGTCACCGAATGCCCTGAAAATTTTTTTGTGATCTCCTAGTACATAATGATGATCCTCCATATAGTTAATTTGATCCAATGGGCCCTATAACAATACTTTTACGCATGGTCAAGATTTGAATATTATTTAACGATAATAAATACTATATAATAGCCTATCATGGTATCAGGCTTAAAACAGTCAATTCTAACTGACTGAACAGCATTGTTACTTTAGTAAGCTCAATAGTATACCAATTGAGCTACAGTGTTTATTTTTTGAATAAGTGTTTAAAAACTTGAAAAACATAAAGTAACTATGCTGTTCAGTCAGTTGGAATTGACTGTTTCAAGCCTGATACCATGATAGGCTATTATATGGTATTTATTATAGTTAAATAATATTCAAATCTTGACCATGCGTAAAAGTATTGTTAAAGGGCCCATTGGATCAAACTCACTATATGGGGGATCATCATCATGTACTAGGAGATCGCAAAAAATTTTCAGGGCATTCGGTGACCCGGACTTGGAGAGCTCTCCTTGTCAGTTGAACACGAATGTTGACCCAAAGAGAAATCATACAAATAAATAGTCGAGTGCTGATCTAGTTCAAAACCAAAACAGTATTTTACAACGGTACGATAAATATTTCTTATTCGGAATAATATATAAAATTAATAATAAGATTGTGATATAACGTTAGGCATTTATTGAACAGGGGTAAATTAACTGAAATTATTCTATGCTTACTGCTTCTATTTTAGTAATAGCATTATTATAAGAATTTTACGCATGATAATCTTGAACATCATGGACTGATGTTTGGTGCCTCAACAAATCTGATTTTTTCCCAAATTTCTTCTCACAAATGTCGCATGCGTAATCTTTGCGACCTTCATGTACTGTCCTTTTGTGATTTACCAAATGCGATTTTTGTCCAAATTTTCTCTTGCAAAGGTCGCAGGCGTAATCTTTGCGACCTTCGTGGATTGTTTTTTGGTGAAAAAGCAATTGCCCTTTTTGTCCAAATTTTTTCTCGCATTTTTCGCATGTATAATCTTTGTGACCTTCGTGTACTATCTTTTGGTGTTTTGTTAAATTGCCTCGTTCCCCAAATTTCCTGTCACATTTGTCGCATTCGTAATCTTTCAGACCTTCGTGTACTATACTTTGATGCTTTAACAGATCTTTTTCATATCCAAATGTCTTCTCGCACTTGTCACATGTGTAATTTTTGCGATCTGCGTGAACTCTATTTTGGTGTACGAGCAAATGATGTTTTTGTCCAAATTTACTTTCGCACTTGTCGCATGCAAAATCCTTGCGGCCTTCATGAAATATTTTTCGGTGTTTGATCAAATTGCCTCGTTCCCCAAATTTCTTATCGCAATTATCGCATACGAAATCTTTGCAACTCTCATGAACTGTCTTTTGGTGTCTGATTAATTTTGATTTTTGTCCAAATTTTTTTTTGCACTTGTCGCATGCATAGTCTTTACGACCTTGGTGGACTGTCTTAAGGTGGGTTAGCAAATTATATTTTTGTCCAAATTTCTTGTTGCAACGGTCACATGCGAAATCTTGGCGACCCTCGTGGACTATCTTTTGGTGTTTTGTTAAATTGCCTCGTTCCCCAAATTTCTTCTCGCATTTATCGCATGTAAAATCTTTGCAAAATTTTTTTCTTATTTTTTTCTCACACTTGCCGTGTACTGTTTGTATGTGCATGAGCAAATTCTGTTTATTTCTAAATCTTTTTGCGCACTTTTCACATAAGTAATCTCTGAAAACTTCGTGGAATATTTTTTTGTGTTTGAGTAAAGTTGATTTATTTTCAAATTTTCTCTCGCACTTGTTGCACGTGAAATCTTCGTGGTCCTTGTGTACCAATTTTTGATGCATAATCCAACTAGATTTTTTCACAAATTTTTTCTCGCAACGGTCGCATTCATAATTTTTCTGATCATTGTGAATTATGTTTCGGGGTGTTATCAAACTCGATTCTAGTATGTCGTCTGAAACAATGATTTTGTGTTCTTTTGAGTTATCTTTTGAGACATCCACTTCGGATTTATTCTCATTTTTATTCATTTCGGTGTCGAAAATAAACGATTGATCAGTCTATTAATTGTCACGGAAATGGAACAAGTAAAATCGATTTCTGGTATTATGGCTTGTTTCATCGAGAAAGACAATAATCATACTAATTTGTTTCTACTATAAAGACGATCAGGGTTCGAAGGATGATGTCAAAATTGTTTACGATCATATCGTTCACAATTATTATTATCTGCATTCACAATTATTATTATCACAATTATCTGCTTATAAATTGTCTATCTAAATTTGAACAAGTCTAAAATTAGTTATACAATAGAGTCAATAGATCCTTTTACAATACATCATAAATCATAAAAAAATCTGCTACCACTTACACGCCATGTCGTGGTTGGCAAGCTCCATAATCCACTACTGGAAAAACGTCCACTTACAGTGATATTGAAATTAAAATTCCTTTTATTTTATCGAGATTTTGTATGTATTTGTCAATTAATTGGATTTTTTTATCCGAAAATCATAAAATTTAAAAATACAGAGTAAGAATAATAATGGGCAACAGGGCTATTGTTAGCTAAATTAAATGTTTTTGTTCAATGTTACGGGAAATTGAAAGCAATACAGTTCAAAATTTTTTGTGGCAGATACAGATAAAAAAAGTCAATCGGCTTGTCTTTTAGTTAAAATGCCTCCCAATGTGCTCGTAATTGTTTTCCGTGTTTTATTCATTCGTTTGCTGTGTAAATGTTTTCCGATATCCGTGGCACCTTGTCCCTTTTGTTTTCGTGGATTGTTTTTCATGTTAGTTTTTCCATGATTCGTGAATAAAGTTGGCAGTCGCTTAAATGATTGCTAGCGCATGTTACACTAATTTTCAATTAATGGTCCAATTAAAAACCAAAATGTAATTTTGAATTGACGCAAAAATTTATCTAATGAAATTTCATAATATTGAAAAATTAAGAATTGCTAATTATTTTTATCAAAATGTCTTTCTTCTGAAGCGATGAGTATGTAATTTGATTGAATAATATGGGTATAGAAAGTTGTTTATTCACAGTTTCTGATCATAGGCTTATAAAAAAAGTACATCCTTACATTATTAAAGTATCTATAATGTATGTGAAAAAACATAAGTATTTATATGTTTATACTACTTATTTGCTTATTTCCGCGAAAATTCTTAAATTTTAGAGTTTTTTTAAAAAAAGATTTTCAGATTTATTTTAAAAACATGTAAAATTTAAGAATTTGCCCATCGAAGTAAACCAATATATTATAGTGCTTCAGAGAAGAGGGAAATGAAAGTAAAATATCAAAATGAACAATTCAACTTTTTATTCGTTGATTATTTGGTTTGAATTCTTAAAAAGCTAATTTGCTTTCCATTTACTAATTTTGCATTTAATAGAATCTCACCAACTATATTTTCTGTTTAAACATTTAACACCGAATCCATAGTTAAATTCATTCTTTGTTCTTGTGTAAAAAAAGTATTACATCTTGACAACACAGAAAAAGAGACAAATTTTCCTAAACGAACAATGATATATTTTTTTATTTACACACACTAATCTGTATACTCAAATAGACGATTATAATAAGTTTACATTTTATCAAGTCTCAATTGTCTCTCATCTAAGAAGCGTATTGGCTCCAGGGTGGAATCATAGGCGTGGGATGCTGCAGATACGACATCACTACGGCAGATATTGACAGTATGAAGCTACTGAGGATTTGCTTTGTGTCGTCGCTCATCCTTGAATTGGCATAACTGATGCACGAGCAGTAAAGGGCCACCCACGCGCACCACTTCAGCCTCATCATTAGACCGCACATGCTAAAGATCATGCCGATGATGTTCATGTAGTCTGGGGTGAAGTCCTCCCCGGCCGATATCTGCGTGCCCGTCGGCGGCTTGTAGCGAATCTCGCGGTCGGGCCGTCTAGGATCCGATGAATTGTTCATGCTGAAAATTCGAGAGAACATTTGTTTAGCAGGTGTACCTGTTGATATCTTTTTTATTTCAGTATACCGCGGAACGTATGTATACAAAGTGATTATAACCTTTAAACGACTATTATGACCTTTTAATGAACTAGAGAGTTGAGAACATTTTAAAGCAATGAAGGTACGACGTGGTTCGATTAAAGAACATTTTTACATTCGTGAAACGTGCTCCGAATATCTATTTAGCAATCGCATGATTTACCTTATCAGCAACGGAGCTTCTACTTTTTTATTTATACTCACTTTAATTTAAGTTTTTGAAGTCTTCGACGATCGTAAGAATTTCCACCAAATACACTTGTTACTCCAAACAAGCGAGACAACACCAAAAATAAAATGAAAACTCGTAGCACTTGGTCAACAAACTCAGCACACGCCACACATCTACGTTGACTGACTGATATCAGCAAATCGCAATAATTCTCTCAGCTGACTCGCGTGAGTTCGCGAGTTGTTATAATGATGTGACTCGTCACCTCCGTACGCTTAATAATGCACATTATCGTAGTGTGTACATGTGTCAGATTGGTGGCGTTCGCCTTTCCATACAATAATCGAAGCGAGCTTTCACAGTCGTCAGTGACGGTCAAAAATCGACCAGCTGATTTTCCTGGAGGCAGAATAAACCGTCCGCCCGTATACTTTACATGTTAAAGTTGGTTGGTAAAAGTACTTGTAATTAGTTTATTGTGCAGTAAAAAAATAAACAAAAAATATCTGGTGAAAGCGGAAATCGTCAGGTATCGAAATAAAGAAGCGGTTTTTAGTTAAAGTCTTTAGTTTGTAAATAAAAAAATATTGAAATTTCGGCTTTTTTGCCTGTGATATTGTCAATAAACTCTTATAAAATAGCTATTAAAAGTGGTTTTTCAGGTTGCAATACAAACTCTCAAGTGGGATAATTTTTATTTTTTCAAATTACCGACTAAAAACTAAGAAACAATCATAATTTCAAAAAATTATAAAAATGATCTCGCAATCGTCTTTATTGACAATATCACAGACAAAAAAGCCGAAATTTCAATATTTTTTTATTTAAAAACTAAGGACTTTAACTAAAAACCGCTTCGATATTTGGATAGATGACGTTTCTTGCTTTCTCCAGATATTTTTTGTTTATTTTTTTACTGCACGATAAAATAATTAAAAGTACTTTGACCGTCACTGACAACTGTGAAAAAGCCCTATGGAAACGTGTGCGCAGCTTATATCTCGAAAGAGTGGGGGCCGCACACTGTTTCAAGTGGTGTCTGCACGTTCTGCTTTACTCTGCTCTCGACCACGTGCGCGTACCGGTCAATCGTTACAAATTCACATTTTCATCTGGAAAAACCATCGTATTTTTTTTGTAAAAAATGGACGTAGATCAAGTTGAAACTGAGGAAGAGCAGAAGAGTAAATTGAATGCGATTCTCTGCATGACATGGGTACCAAGAGGCGTTGCTGCTGCCAATCCTGACAAGGTTGGTCTTTTAAATTGATGCTTATTGTCTCTTTCATATTTTCATCCACTCAGTGTTGTTTTATAACTGTGTTTTTTTTTGGTAGATTGAATTGACAGCTGAAGAATTGCAGAACCTCATTACAGAAACCCATTCAGAATTAGAGTGAGTTCAATTAAACAACTATATTGCTGAATTTATTAATGTGTGAGATAAAAAAAAATTATTTTGATTTTTTTGCAGAAAAATAAAAGTTAATGATGATGGTGATGATGAAGATGATGAAGATGAAGATGATGATACAAAAATGGATGCTGATGTAGATGCAAAGGATTCTGATGATAAAGCTAGTGATAATGCTGCTGCTAAATCTAACAATGACAGTACAAAAGAAGGAGATGAATTTGATTTTGAAAAGTATGACGAAGAAGGTAAGTTAAGATCTTGATAAAGAATAGACACTCTAAATAATAAGAAGTGAATGATTTGATTTACTTAACTTTGATCAAACTTCTATTGTTAGCTGGGGAAATTTATACCAAATTGGATGACATTGCTGTAATAAGCAAAGGCAAAGATCCATTGATAACTGTGGCCGATAGTGAAGATGAAGATTCAGAGGCTGAAGATGAAATTATCAAACCAGATGACAATTTACTCTTAGTTGGTCATGTACAAGATGAAGCCAGTATCTTAGAGGTTCATGGTAAGTAATTAAAATTTATAGGATTTATTTTGCAGAATTGAACAAATGTTAATGTCATATATTCTTTGCAGTTTTTAATGAATCAGAAGGCTCCTTTTACTGTCATCATCATGACTTTTTACCTGATATTCCATTGTGCTTCGAATGGTTCAATTATGATCCAAGTGAAGAGAAACCTGGTATGTATTATCAAAAATATGACTTACCTGTACTAATGCCCACTAATATCTGATTAAAAAATTATTTTTTAGCCAATTTATGTGCGATTGGATATCATTACACTCCAATAATTGAAGCATGGGACTTAGACGTTATTGGAGGAACTGGTCCAGTTTTCAAATTAAAAAAAAAAGGTCATAAAGACTCTGTCCTTGATTTAGCATGGAATACTCATCATAGGTAAATTTTGCATCACTTGAAAATATATTTATATTCATTCATTTGACTAAAAGCATCAAATTTATGTTTTTGCAGACATGTTTTAGCCAGTGCTTCTGCAGATAAAACTGTTTTATTATGGGATTTAGATCAAGGTATCCCTGCTAACAAATTAAAATCGTTCAAGGACAAAGTACAAGCTATCAAATGGCATAAAACTGAAACTTTCATGTTGCTTACTGGATGCATGGACAAGTACGTATGAATTGTTGTGTAATATTTATTTTATTATACAGGAAAATATATTAATTTTATTATTTATATCCATTGTAGAAAAGTTAGATTATTTGATTGCAATAGTTTGGAAGAAAAAGTTTGGACAGTTTCTGGAGAAGTTGAAAAAGTTGTCTGGAGCAATGCAGATCCTAATATATGTTTTGTAAGTACAGATAATGGATTTATTGAATGCATCGATGTGCGTCAAGAAGAAGTATCATTATGGAAGAGAAATATACAGGAAGGAGAAGTTGCAGGTAATTGAGTAAAAACTATGATAAATGAATAATGTTACTAAAAGCCATAGGTTTACAAAAATTATATTATAATATTTACAGGATTATCTATGAGTTCATCTTGCCCAGGCTTGTTAGTCAGTTCTAGTCAAGATGGAACAATTAGAGTTTGGGATGTTAAGAATCATATGGAACCTCAGTCAATTTTTGAAAAACAAACTAATACAGGAAGAGTTATTTGCTTGGAATCAAATTGTGATAGTCCCTTAGTATTTGCTGTAGGTGGTGATAACAGGGAAAGCAATTTAAATACTTATAACTTGTCTACTGTAGAACAAGGTATATTCATTATTATATTTCTAAAACTCTTATTAAACAAGAATATCAAATAGCATATTAAATATTTAACTTTTTTCAGTTGCTGAGAGATTCAAGGATAGAATACAACAATAATAAAAATACAACCAATAGTCAAATTTGTTTTATCATAACAACTAAACTACATTGACTCCTATGATTAAAACTAATCATGATCGATTCCAATCAATAGAGTTAAATGTAGCAGGATGAAGTTCTTTTATGTAAACTTAAAAATAATTGAGATCCATGTGTGTACATATTTAAAAATTTATGTATTAAAGTTTTGTAATAAATTATATAATAAAAGTAACATTTTATAGAAATATTTCTGATAAAATTTATTTTTCTTTTTCCTTTGACCTTTAGTGTAGTGAGAGGTAAATTTGGAAAAAATAAACTCCAGCAATTGCAATTCAAACGGCTATTTTCATTTATTTACATCTTCTTAAATCAAAAAATAATCTAAAATACAGTTTTAAAACTAAGAAGATAAATAAAAGGTATTACAAAATTTGTATACAACTACCACAATAATAAAATCTTTACTGCACTAAAATTTTCATGACCTATTTATTTTTTTTAACTTGAAAAAAAGTCTCACATAGTTTCTGGTACATGCTTTATTACTTTAAACTATCATATGTAACTCATTGAAATTCAACTTCATTGTTTGAAGAGTTACTTTATTTAAAAAGTTATACAATTTTGAAGTGACTTGATTAAGTGGCAGTTCATTATAAATGTTTCATTAAAGTTTTTCAATTTTTTATTTATTCAAATATCTTGTCCTTATTCATCTTTGCTAAACTTTCAATTTTACAGTCATGTATAATGAAACGAGTTGTCTAGTTTTGAATTTATTCTAGACATTATTTCATTTGAACACAAAAATTATCATCCACAATAAAAAATATCTCAAGATTCTTTAAATAATATATTACATAAATTACAATTTATATAAAAATATTACAATATTTTTGAGACAAGTTAAAATCAAATGGTAATTTTGGCAGTGACAAAAAAAATTATGTAAACAATTATTAACAAAGTAAAGACAGTAATTTCGGAAAATTTTCGGTTCATTTTGTTTCTGAAAGAAGCTTGAAATTAACAAAATATAACACCTTTTCTTATTACATACAAAGGTTGCTTTCAAACATAAATCAAATCTATTTCTATTAATCTTTATCTTTATTTATTTAAAAATTAAATGCTGTTGGCAAAGTTTTCTGTAAATAAAGGCTATGAATTTCGATAGACTATAAAACATTTATGCAGTTGAATGGGAGACAATTGTCATATAATCTATTACATTTTTTTTCTTAAAACAGGCGAATACAACAATTGTAAAAATGTAGTATACAAGACGATTTTTCGGTATATGTCTATTAAAGATCTAAGATTTTCTTATGCATTTTATTCAATATTACAATACAAGAATTAAATTAAGAACTATTTTATCTAATAAAATTAAAACTTATGTTTCTAGATATTTAAAATACCTAATGAGTTATTGAAGCCAAATTTAATTACTCTGATGATTTTAATTAGTTGGAGCTGCTCAAATTTAAATTCAAGGAATCTAGTTCATTCATGATTAATTTTCTTAAATATATAACCCAGTTAAAAAATTAGAAGATTTACAATAATTTTGAACCATAACTAATTCCATATTAAATTCATTATTCAATATTTTTATTTATAAAGTAAAAATCAGAATTATAATTTAAATATTTATAAAAATTCTTTTAAATACTACAGAATGATTAAAAATTTGTTAATATGAAAAATATTGTAATACACACCATGATTTAAAAAAATGTCTGACGCTACCTATAAAAATGATTGATTTTTATAAAAATGTCTGTCATAATTCACTTTGAGCTGTGTCGAAACAATGTACAAACACTAGTGATCAACTCTGTTATAGAGTGTCTCTGAATCACACTATTTCACAAATCAGGCATCAGTGCCAATATCAAGACTCCTTGAATCTTGATTAGAATCATGCTGACTACCATTTTCAGATGAAGCACTACTGGATATACCAGACTGCTCGCTACTTGTTGATTTTTTCACTTTGGGCTTATATTCAGTAATAATGACAGTTACATTGTTAACTGTAACTTCATTACTCTGGGCCGTACTTCGATCAATATTCTTCAGTCTTGGAGGATGACGAGATTTACGTTTAGACTTTAATCTGCCATCTTTACCAATACCACTACTTGCTGTTGATGTGCCACCACTGCCTGGCTCCTTCTTAATTGTTTTGGTCTAAAATTCAAAAGATTCAGATTAATAATATTGAAGGTTGATGCCATGATTTTTGATGAAAGAAACTGTTGAGACATGCCTTTACCTGCTGGGCGACCAGTTGAGGGTTGATACGCGGTTTCCGCGTGGAGGTACCTTTGCGTACGTCACACATTAGGCACTTGAATGCTTCTGCTGTATTACGATAAGTACAAACACTACAATCCCAGTAGTTTTCTTCTAAAACTTTGGCTTGACGTTTACCGCTTCCGGAATGGTTCATTGTTCATTGGAATTAGCCTTGAAAAAAATTTCCTCCACCTCAAGTGAGAACTGGCTCGTGCAAAAGATCAAGCCCCAGCCTCATAGAAGGTTTCTTTTTATCTTTCCTTTATCAGCAGTAAAATATTTCTCCAAAGAGGCAGTGCACCTCCTCCAACTACTACAACTATGAACTAAGCGATATAAGCTTACAAAAAATGCTACAAAGTCATATCAAAAGCATCAACTGGAAAATAAATGTCTCTGATGTAAATCATTCTGGCCAATCAAGCCAACACCTACTTGCAGTAGGTGGTATAAATGACGTTGATTCAGCATTATTCAGTTGAGATCTGTAATTGAGAAAAATCACGTTATTGCAAGGATCATTGTACGTTGAAAAGCGCTTCAATATCTTTTGCTTCAATCAAACAGCCAAGTGCTAAAGTACAACATCGAGCAGCGAGCGAACGTTAAAACAACGCTATAACATAGCGTCAACAATAGACACAAGTAGCTAAGCCGGAGTAGCTACATATAAACAGTTAAACACACGGTCACACGTATTACATGATAGGCAATTTGTTTCGATCTCGCAAGCCTCGCAGCTCGAGTCTGTAATTACCGCATAAAATGCAATTGCACTGACCCAATGCGACGACGCTCCTCATCGTCGCGTTGCGTTGCTCTCGACTCGGGGTAGGCTTGGATCTTTCTCGGGTCGATCCGACCCGACACGACGACAACTCGACCTGGGGGAAACGAAAGCTGCTCTGCTGATCGTGATCACTCGGCTGTATTATTACACTGTTGCGATTGCACTGCTGCTGCTGCGAGTGCAACTTTTGTATTACGCTGTATATGTTATAATAAGCACGCTGCAGTGCAATGAAAGTCCCCCGACTTTCAGCGACGACGACGATCGACGACGAGCGCTTAGATGACAGACGCTGGCCTGCTGCTGCTGAGTACGAGCTATTGCTGCTCCTCATCCATGCCGTGCGCTACTGCGCTAAGTTTGTATGTGTATCACACACCGCACATTTATAAATCGCAGACTTACATATTGCTTCGCTCATACACGCACACACAAGCACGTCGGATGTATATACGACGTTTATAAAGTATTATAAGCGTGTAGCTTATATAGCTTATATATATTACACCGAGTCCGGAGTAGGCATGGAGAGAGAGAGAGAAAGGGAAGACGAGAGAGAAAAGAAGCAGGCATCAAGCGCCATGGGCTCGAGCAGTGGCTGTAGCCGCAAGCAGCCGCGGAGCGTCGACGACTCGCGGGAGCTCGGGATCGAGACTCGAGAGCTCCGAAACTCCGGAGCAAAGCAGCTATTATAGGCTATATAGCTGTGTAGGCTGCTGTAGCTCGTCGTATGACCGGTCGGGACTCGGGATATGCTGCCGCGCGGCGGCGCGCACATTATATACCGTTAAACCTGTGTAGTACTCGCACACACATACACACTCACATGCAAAGTTCGTGTACATATACCCATACACGATATAACAGCTAACTATACGTTGTGTGCGCGGAGTCGAGCGCACGTCAACGCGCGGCTGGCCGAGCTTCATGTCGTGCAGTTATCGCGTCGCGCCAAGTGCCAGCACACACATGCCAGTAGCAGAATGTAATTTGCCTGGCGTTTTCGCCTCGATTCACTGTAAATAAAAATATGTTGTGTATTATATCGCGAGTGTTATGACTTGAGTGAGAACAACAACAACAAAAATAACAAAAAATGGAAGTGAGAAAGAGAAACAACAACGATGCCAGTAACAAGGCCAGAGGTGAAGCTAGACAGGCTGCTGCTGCTGCTGCTGCTACGACGGCTGACTTCTCTGCTGCCGAGTTCATCGACAGGGAGAAAGTTCGACGAAATGGCATAAAAAACGATAGTGCCAAGAATAGGTCGAACGAACAGACACACGTACGATATGTTGTTCTTTTTTTTTCAAAACAATTTTTTTTCTTACCTCGGAGAGTGTTTCGGGTGACATTTAAACGGCAACAGGTGTTACCGAGATATCAAACAAATAACAGTGCAACAGGTTTTTTTTTATTTTTGTTGCGGCAACGAGCATCGCTGCTTTTTTTCGCGGCTTCGAAAAATTATGAATGAAAAATTAAAAGAAGGCACGAGAACGAGCTACTCGCTTTTGAATATGATTTGTTATCGGTACGAAAGTAATGTCGATTAGTCGAGCTGTATATCTGATAACTATTTGCGTATTCATCAAGTAATAACGTTTCCTTTCATACGGAATATCTTACGATTTTTGAATTTTAATTTTACGTTTTTAACGATACCAGGTCGATATGCTTTATTGACCTATCGTGTCGATCTAACGATTTTTTTCTTTCTTTGCGGCAAACTTTTGCATCTATAAGATGATTATAGACACGAATGCCTGCCTCGTGTACAATACGAATGTAAATTATCCGTGAATTTCGAGACCGCAAAAAAAGTGGAACGAATGAATTCTACTGATTTCTGTTGAATATCGCTGGTGGCGATTAATTTGCTTTCTACTTTATCTTTTCTCTTTATGGTTTTCAAGCCGATTTATCGAATAAACATTTTATAAGGAAAATTCTTAAATCATTAATTCAATCGATAGGCGAAAAAAGCGGACGAGTCGTCGGCACGAACTGAAAATGCAGAAGAGAGGACGAAAACGACTTTGGATATGGTCAAAACAGTCGACTCTCAGGAGGAAAGTGGATTCCTTCCAAAAATCAAAATCAACTTCGAAATAGACCTCGTGACAGTATTGCTATTCGTAGGAGGAATTTTGACGCGATTTTATCGTCTAGCGGAACCCGCGAGCATAGTGTGAGTGGCAACAAAAACCCTCCCAAGCACGTACCTTTATCGATTTATTCATAATAATAACCCCATGTCTCGACGCAGATTCGACGAGCTGCACTACGGCAAATACGTGAGCCTGTACCTGAAGAAGACGTTCTTCTTCGACTCGCATCCGCCGCTGGGCAAGCAGCTGATCGCCGCCGCGGCCTATCTCGCCGGCTTCGACGGCCAGTTCAAGTTCGACCGGATCGGCTCGCCCTACGACGACTCGGTGCCGATCTACGCGCTCAGGTTCATACCCGCGTTGTGCGGCAGCCTCATAATACCCACCGCCTATCATCTGGCTCTGGAGGTGGGTCTGAGCCAGGCCGCCGCCGCAGCATCGGCGTTGCTCTTGCTGTTCGGTAAGACGAGATCGGTATCGATACTCCAATTGATTTCTAGATTAATAAATATATCACAACGTCCGTGCATTTTTCAGATAACGCACTGCTGACGCAATCGAGATTCGTCCTGATGGAGAGCATCCTGATACAGTTTGCGCTCTTCGGACTCTTGTGCGTGCTGAGATTCAGAAAAGTCATGAAGGAGCCCGGCTCGCTGGCCTGGTGGTTCTGGCTCGCGACCGGAATATTCAGCTTGACCTGTGCACTCTGGTAATAAAATACACCGACACATCCAAAAAAAAAAAAAACTATCCGTACCAAATCCAAAAATTGTATCTCTACAGCGTAAAGTACATCGGCTTTTACACCCTCTCGTTGGCTCTGTACCTGATAATTCGGGACTACTGGTCGCTGATTCCTCGCAAGCAGGGCGTTTCGAGCCTCAAGCTGTACTACCACCTCGCTGCGCGCGTCCTCACCATCGGCAGCGTCATGACTGCGGTGTACCTCGGGGTGTTCTACGTGCACCTGAGCAGCCTCACCAAGGCCGGTCCGCACGACTTCGCGATGACGAGCGCCTTCCAGGCCAGCCTCGAGGGCGGCCTCGCCAGCATCACCAAGGGTCAGCCGATCGAGGTGACGCACGGCTCGCAGATCACTCTGCGCCACACCCACGGCCGGGCCTGCTGGCTGCACAGCCACGACTTCGTCTATCCGCTGCGCTACCCGGACAAGCGCGGCAGCTCGCACCAGCAGCAGGTCACCTGCTACTCCTTCAAGGACGTCAACAACTGGTGGATCGTCAAGCGGCCCGAGATCGACGACCTCGTCGTGTCGGCGCCGAGCCAGCCCATCAAGCACGGCGACGTCATCCAGCTGGTGCACGGCATCACCAGTCGGGCCCTCAACTCGCACGACGTCGCCGCCCCAATGACGCCCCAGTGCCAGGAGGTCTCCTGCTACGTCGACTACAACGTCTCGATGCCCGCGCAGAACTTGTGGCGCGTCGAGATCGTCAGTCGCGAGGTCAGCGGCGACGTCTGGCACGCCATCAAGTCGCAGGTGCGACTGATCCACCTCAACACGACGTCGGCCCTCAAGTTCAGCGGCAAGCAGCTGCCCGACTGGGGCTTCAATCAGCACGAGGTGGTGGCCGACCGCATGACCGACCAGATCGACGCCATCTGGAACGTCGAGGAGCACCGCTACACCAAGAACGAGGACCAGAAGGACCGCGAGCGCGAGCTGCTCAACGCCGAGATGATACCGCTGCAGGAGACCCGGCTCAGCTTCTGGGAGAAGTTCGTCGAGCTGCAGACCAAGATGCTGCTGGGCGGCGTCGACTCCCAGACGACCCACATGTACTCGAGCAGTCCGATCGAGTGGCCGTTCACAACGAGGGGCATCGCCTACTGGGTCTCGCCCAAGAACAACGTAAGTTTTACATTTTTCAAACTTCAAAGCTCGAAGCTCTGATTCTTTTTTTGTTTCAACAGGCTCAAGTTCATCTTCTTGGTAACGTGGCTATTTGGTACTCGGCTACCATTGCCGTAGCTCTCTATTTTTGCCTCTTCGTCTTCTACATCATGCGTAGAAGACGACTGTGCTACGACTTGACGGAGAGAGAATGGGCGCGTTTCGTGTCCTACGGCGAGGTCTTGTTCGTGGGCTACTTGATGCACTACTTGCCGTTTTTCTTCGTCGAGCGTACCATGTTCTTGCATCATTACTTGCCGGCCTTTGTTTTCAAAGTCCTATTGACAGCAGCTGTGGCTGACCATATCTACAATTTTATAAGGTAATAGAAGCGTTTTTTATTATTCATTCGCACCTTCGATTTCGGATAAATTTAGATACTGATGCGCGAGGTGTGGTTGTTTTTCAGGACGCGTTGTTCAAAGATATTTTCACACCTGTGCCTTGTGACAATTTTATTCTGGCTCGGATACTGCGTCTACGTATTCAAGAAATTCTCCGTGCTCAATTACGGCGTTACTCCTCTAACGTCGAAAGAAATACTCAAGCTTAGGTGGAGCGACGAGTGGGACTTTATCATTCACAAGAAATGAACTCGTGACAATATAGTTTTAAACTTTCTAATTCTAATTTTTTACATAGCATTTTATAAGACTTGTTAATGAAAATGAAGTTGTAAATGATATAGACTGATAAGAGAATTTATTCTATGCAGTTGTATAGTATATTTTACGAAATATTTTTAAATACTGTTACGCGCTGATTAAATGTTTTGAAAATGAGGGTACGGGTGGGTATAAATAAAAAAAAAGTATCATGTCTCAATTGCAAAATAAAATATTATTTTTTAATTAAAAATGAGATTACTGTTAATACTCAACATTTTGTTCAATGTTGCAAACTAAAATCAAAATTAATATATACACTTACATTTGAAAATTTAAAACTACTCCAAACTTAGACGTATTTATAAATAGAAAGTATTTATGAATACGATTGTTAACAGTACTTCAAGTTCAACGTGATCGTACACTTCAATCCATGCGACAATGCATTGAAGTATAGCTAATTATAAAATGTCTACATAATGTCATGAGAAAGCACCTATAATTATTCAGCGAGATTAGTCGATACGTTAAAAAGTTAATTGTGCAGTTTCAAATTTTTTGCGGATTTCATATTTTCCGATGACTGCAACTACTAACAGCCATACGAAAAATACCGACTTTACGGTAATTGGAGATATTTATAATTACACAAGTTCATACAAAACATTATGCTAATAAATATCTAATAACAACTGAAAAGAGCAATATCGCAACCTGACATTTTTAAAACAGTCTTTCATATAAAGTACAAATAGTAATGTCTCATTTTAAAATTTTGCACAGAACTTTTGGCAATTGATAGACAATTTCAATATACATTTGTTTTGATGTAATTTTATGTGTTACTGCAGACAAAAAAAAATTTTGGGTCTAAAGACCGAATAAAATATTCTCTCTCCCCTGAAGGAAACACAAAAAATCGAATAAACCGCTTGAAAAGTAAAAAAACCAATTCTAAAATCGTACGTTATTCATAATGTACATACGATTTTTCAATTTTTATTTTACTTTCCTCGGTACAAAATATACTATTGTTTACCTATTTTATCTATATGTAAAAACAATTGATCTTATAAGACCATCTCTTACATAATCGATACCATTAACGCCTATATTGTATGTAAAAGAGATGTTTTCACAATTAATTCTCTGAGCACAAATATTATTTGGATACCAGCCAGGTTTGTTAAAAACAACTCCAACTTTGTAGAGCTGCAATAAAAAACGGAAAATATTTTTTAAAAACAACTTACAAAAATTATATAAATGAATTGTTCTTGTCCAATAATATGATAATAATACCTTATTCTTTTGAATATATACTGGTCGGTTAAATGAAATTTCTACTGAGTCTCTGAAATGAGCTTTTGTTGTATAATGTGTGTATGTTAATCTTGTGCCATCAGAATCAAGAAGGTGTGCATAAAGGACCTCTGTATATGTCACATCAGCAAAATCATAAAGTTCACCATCACCTGTTGACCAAAGTTGAGACGGAACTTGCACACCAAGAATAAAAATATTTCTGTCGACAGTGAATGTGACTGATGAATCCATAACATCGTAATTCCGGCAATCTTGAGCGTTTCTACTAAGAGTGGAGCGTAGACAGTAAAATTTTGGTCGGTCTCGTATATTTGTAATAAGAATCTCATTTGGGACTTCTTGGGATTCTCGATTTTGAACCTCTCTGTTCTCCTCTTGAAAATTTGTGTCGGGTACGAAAAGTGCTGGTGAAGCTGAATTGTGTGGACATTCCATTGAAAAAGATCGTCTAACTGGCATAATCAAATTGCTGGGTGGTGGATAAATTGGCGATGCATATGCACCTACGCCAAGTGGACCAATACTTACTGGAGTAAAAGCCTGAAATATTTTAAAAAAGTTAGTTTTTTTATGTAAATTGTATTTTACTAAATAATTATGTACAATGTCACTGTCACAATCTCCATTCGTTGAAATAAAATACTTACCCTGTCAGAATCTGATTTTGCCTTAGATCTTGAAACTTTATTCATGGAAAAACCTTCAGGCATTTGTACTTTGCTATTAGGAGAAGATATATTCATCAGGATAGAAAATGCTTCTTCTTGCATTAATAACGCAGACTTTCCAGGACCTTCTGCAAATTCTTTAGGAGTCAAATTGAGAAAACGTATTTTGGTTAATGCATTTCCAATAACAGATCTTAATGCTTTAGGATCAGAAGAATCTAATGATTTTCTATTGCATTCAGCTTTGGCCCATCGCTCAAGTGCATTAAATAAAACAGTTTCAGAGCTAACATAAAGTTCTTCTTGATCAAGCAGTGTAAGTACAGTTCCCTGTTCTACCTCTTCCCAACTTGATTCTTTCAATACTTCATCAGTTTTGGAGCAAATAATTTGCATGCATTTATCCATCAAAATAGGCTCTTCAAATAATTTAGCAAACTCATATGCCCTGCAAGCTTTTTTGAGTGATAAATCAGACCATAAAAATTTTGTACATTCTTCTACTAAAAATGGTAACATATATTTCTTGGCGCAATAACATAATTCACAAGCCAATTCAAAAGATCCTAAATCAACCCGATCAGTGTATATGTACTCCATCAGTGCTTTAAAAGCTTCTGGTTGTACATCTCGTATTGGAATAGGATCATTCTTTTCAGCCATTGCTCCATAAAACATGGCTTCAAACACAGGGCTGGACATGGCCAAGAATACTTTGTGTCCTTCTATGATTTGTTGATGAGGTTCTTGACCGACGATAAACTTGCAATCCGACCTTGAATATATTATATTTAATATCATAATGCCTTACTCAATGAAAATACATAAATGGAGCTTATAACTTACCATTGTCCTGTCTCTAGTAGATACTGGCCACGCTGAGCTATCTTTTGCGTGGTAACCTGCCAGTCGCAAGGTAGAACCATTTCTGACCTGGGTCTCTTGCTGGCTCTAATGTCCAAGTCTTCCAGCTCGTTCTGAAATCAAAAATTAATTAGGACTCCATGCTTCAACTCATTTTGCTTACATCTTTGTTATGAATGAAAAAGTAATATAGAAATGGATTAAATGTTCTAGGAAAAACAACAAGTACATAGCTACCACAGAAAATAATAGCCTCAAAGAGTGCACTAAAATTTTCTCAGCTCAGTAAGTCGCAGTATTCCGCGAATGCTGCGAAGATCCCTAAAGCTGCAAAGATGACTCGGTTTTTGCTTCTAAAAATACAACATAAGCAGCTTGCATGCCGACTGAGAAAGTGAGTGAGATGAGGAGAAAGAGAGCGAGAAAGAGAGAGAATTGCAGAAGCGCGCAAAATTTTGACGCGAGCACTGCACAAGAAGAGATACCTACACATGCGGTTCGCGAGTCGCATTCAATTGAAACGTCTCTCTCCTTTCGCTTCATCGTCGCCTTTAGTCTTTCCGAGTCCCATTTTTCCTGGCTTTTCTGCCACTTGGCGAGCCAGTTACTCGATATCTTACTATTGCCGTTGCTCATATTGCAACTCGCGGGCGCGGACACTTTGTGCACGCACACTCGCACGAAAAAAGGGCAGCGCAGGAGAGTACGCAGAGAAACCTTGGGCCAGAGACGGTTCGGTACTTACTACATTGGACATTGGCGGTTGGAAGTGATCATTCTATCCTGTATACGTTTAGAAATATACGCAGCAATGAGTATAGATAAACAGACGACGCGACTTTTTCGTACTATACGGTGGCTTTTGACAGCTTGAAGATTCCCGAGAGAGGTGAACAGGTTAAATGTCGCTAGTGGGCCCCGCTGCGCACGAAGCCTTGTGCCGTGTGCGAGGCGACGCGATGATGGCGGCAACTGTTCACTGTTGTTGAGGGTATATGACGCCGATTTAAAGAGCTTATTGCTCAATGCGCTTGTATCTTTGGCTTGCAAGAGTGTATACAAGAATGAGTCTGTGTGTGTATGCGCGGAAAAGTGGAGTCAGTGGAGGGGATGTGAGAGTTGATACGCGCATAACACAAGCTCCTTTTCAATGTCACATACAGTTTGCTCTGTAAAATTTTTCTCGAAATTCAAATTTGAAAATCAATCAGATTAGTGTGTAATGAGTAAAAATCAGATGCTCCATTCAACTAATTGATGGTATAATTTACTTGCAGCCTTAACTAAAATTCCGCATTAAATTGGTCTTGATTTGATGAAAAATTGACGAATTAATTTTTTGAAAAATCCATTCTTATCTAATGTTCAATTTGAATTGTCGATTTTGCCATTAAACATAATGTTCCAATCAATCCTGCATGTAAATAAAACTTTTCTCCCCTTTCGCGGTTCGCAAACTTGGAGGATTTGCAAAAGATGGCGCACGCGCATGAATTCGCACCAGCAGCAGCATATTTGGCAAAATAGCAACACACTAACATCGCTGGCAGTCACAAGTCGTTGCAAGTGGTTGTTTTTTTTTATTTATAATATCGTCAACAACGTAGCATTAACCGAGTCATTTTTTCGACTCGGAATCTGTTGTTGCATTGATAATGATGTCGAGAGTGCGATTAATCAAAGGGTTCCTAGCTTTTTCGAAGTCTGTCTGAAGAAAAATATGTATACAAGTGTCGATTTAGTGGCCTTCGAAAAATAGTTGTGTAAAATCGAAACTGTCGTCTGTTGAAATTGATGCCTTAATATGGTAAGTTTGTCAATTTCTATTAATATGCTTATATTTATATAACTTGCAAAGTTGAGCTAAGATTTTTAATCACCTAATTCAAATACACTCATTATTTTAAAATATTTGTTGATATTTGTGTATTTTCTTTTTGATAATTCAAGCTTGTAGGTGTATACAACTCTCTATGTATGTTTCACTTATTTATTAAATGTATGTTTATTATATTGCATATTCCAATATTGAGTTCTATTAGGGATAGAAATATCATTGACTATTTAAAAACAAAACCTTTATTGTACAATGAATAAAGAATAATTTTTTTATCAACAGGAGGGTTCACCAAAATCAGATGAACCAAGTAAATCTTGGGATCACGCTTGGAGCACAGAAGAAATGCGAGATAACCGAGGAAATTGGAGTCTTGCAGCTGATGTTGGTCTTTTAAAGCATTTAGAACTATTTGCAGAGGTACATTAAATTTATCATTATCTTAAAATTGTCATAATTCAGAATCTTAAAACAGTATGGTTGATTAAATTTTACATAATTTCAGAAAATGCATAATAAAGCTGATGAAACAAGAAATGCAATTGATAAATTAAATTCTGATCTCACTCAAACAGGAATATTTGTAGATAATTTAACCAATATTTCGTTTTCTCTTGCTAATACTCAATACATAGAAAATGTAATCCAAGAAGATAATCCTGAATTGGAAAAAGTTGCAGAACAAAATTCTGAAGTAAATTTTCACAGATTAATAATATTTAAATCTACTTTTATAATAGGTTTGATTTAAATCACAATTTACTTATATTTTAGGGTGCTAAAACAGTTCAAGCTGAATCAAATGCCCCAGATTCTCTTGTTGACATATTTAAAAGTATAGATGAAGGGTTGAAAATAATGGATAAGTATTATGAAAAATTAGAAGTTGAAGCTAGCGATAGTGAAGATGAAGATGAATCTTTACCAAGGTGTGTACGATTATAAAAACACTTGTGATCTTTGGTGATTATAATGAAATTAAAAAAATTAAATTTTTAGTGTCATATGGAAACAAAAAGATCCCTATCAACACAGACCATTACCTTATGTTATTGGTTCTGAGAAGTGGGAAGCATCAAAAAAAGTTGGTTTAGAAACTAGCAGTAGTGAATCTGATCAAAATGAAGAGGAGTCAGAAAGTGATTCTGAAAATAAAAATATATCAGGAATGCGTGCTTTAAGTTCCACAATAAGAACAGATTTAAGTAGTAGAAGGTTATCATCTACTTCAAGTGAATCAAATGATTATAACATCGAGAGTAGTAGTATTAAAAATATTGATAAAGGAAGATTGTATGCAAGAAGTCAAGATACTCTCAGTCCTGATACGGAACCTACAACTCCATCAAGCATACTGTCTAAGGTAAAGCTTTTTATTTCATTTCTTTTCAAAGAATCATCAGTGACAGTATAATATGGATTTTATTTAGTCAAATCAGTTTTCATTATTTGTGCTCAATGTACTTTTGAAAGTTATGTTGTTTCTTTTTTTTTAATTCTTCAATTCTCTTATAATTCTTGAAACATTTTTTAAACGTTTATATTTGATTTACAGAATAATTACACACTTAATTGTATTTAATTGATAAATATTGTTTACAATTAAAATATTTCTTTGAAAATTTTCAATTTTTCAGAATCAAAATGTTAATATTAAAACACCCAGCTTTGCAGAAGAATTGGCTAAAAGATTGACAAATGTAGCACCATCTTCTAAGAATATGTCAGAACATGAATCAAAAGAACAGATAATAAGAAATTCAAAAGGTAAAATATAATAATTATAGTTATTAATTTCTATTTTTTATTTGCAAGTATTTCTTTAATTATAAACAATTATTACATTGTAATTTGTAAGTATGCATTTACTGTACTAATTTTGTAGTGGTATTTTTATGGTTATATTTAAAACTAATAGAAGAAAGATAAGTAAACCCTTACTTTATTAGCCGTTTCTTTTTTATTAGGTGAACCTCCCTTTCGCGAAGAGTCCGGCATTTTCACTTCAAAATCAGATAATTTATTCAATGAAGCAAATAAACTATATCCGGATGAAAGACTCGACGATGATTGGAGAAATACAAAACCGTTGATGAAACCACATGCACCCAACGTGTTTCCTAGCAGTGAAGAACCACCTCCACTCAGTGTTGTATGTACGTGACGTCCTTTCACTTTATGTAAATCATTTCAACTGGTGTATCAACATTTTGACGCGCTACCTATTATCGATTTGAATCTATAATTTTATTATAGATTATATATAATTTTCCTAAGATATAAAATCTGTAATTCGAATAGATCTATATTCAAATGCAAAGCGTGTACGCGTGATGATGTGTACTAATGATTTTCACACATATTTGTTACAGCTTCGGCTCCGAAATCGAACATAGATGATTTGTTTGGAGACGCCGATGAATCAGACGATTCGGACGATATATTTTCTGGTAAATCGTCGAAAAACATATTTTCATCTGCTGGTGCTACTTCGTCTAAAGTGGCCACATCGGCCACCATGAAAAACAAGAATCTCAAAGTTGAAAATGTACAAAATATTAATGCAATGGCAACAAGTACGCCGGAAACAAATGACCGTGCAAAGGGATTATTCGACGATGATGAAGACGATGACGATTTATTCGGAGCTGTTTCGAAACAGCCGAAAGCGCCTGTCGAATCTTCCCCATCGACAGTTACAAAAAAGGTATGTATAAAGGGTGCGTACACATGGGTAAAAAATTTCAAAATATTTGGGTCTCGTTGAGAGGTGTCTCTGGTATTTTGATTTTATTATATTGTCTTCTTATGAAAAATTCATGTGCTACATAGCGTAAATAGTTTTGAAGCCATTCGATGCAATTTTATGCATTCTTTAAGTTATTATGCGTTAGTGATACGCCAAATCAATGTGAGTTTTGAGATTACACTTTGCTGAGAATTTTCGTCGACATGTATCTTACATATTCGGGATACCTTATGCACCAAAATCGATGTGATTTTTGTGATTATTTTTATTTTAGAATTTCTTTCCGCATTTATCACATCTATATGTGACTTTATTATGGCCGAATCTATGTGGTGTTACAAATGATACTTATGGGTGAATGTCTTGTCTCTTGACATAATATATCACATACGTGTGTGGCACCATTGTGCACCGAATCAATGTGTTTTTTGAGAGTATCATTGTCTAAGAACTTCTTTCCTCAAATATCACATCCATGCCCAACACCATTATGCATCACAGTAATGTGTTTTTTCAGGTAACTCTTATATAAGAATTTTTTTCCGCATTCATCACATGCATATTTAACACCATTGTGCACTGAGTTTCTCAGATTAAAATTTTGTGAAAATGACTTTTTTTAAGAGGTGCGTTGAATTTATATGTTTATAAAGATTATTTTTAAATGAGAACTTCTTTTCGCACATATCACATGGATGAGTGATTTTATTATGTATCGCATTGATGTGTCTCTTGAGATCGCTCTTATTTACCGATTTCTTTCCGCATATGCCACATGCATGCGTATTAATACCATTATGGTCCGAATTGATGTGGGTCTTGACATAACTTTTTCGTGAAAATGTCTTGCCGCATATATCGCATTTATAAGTGAGACCATTATGTACTGAATCGATGTGATTTTTCAAATTAACTTTTTGTGAAAATGTCTTGCCGCATCTATCGCAAGTATGTGTGACACCATTGTGAATCGCATCGATGTGTATTTTAAGATTACTCTTACTTGTTAATTTTTTTCCACAAATATTACATGCATATGTGATACCATTGTGCTTTGCATCGATGTGGGTTTTCAGATTACTGTTTTGTGAAAATGTCTTTCCACATACATTACATGAGTGTATTTTATTGCCGTGCTTTGGCAATCCTCTGATGTGTACTTTCAGGTTATGATCGTTGTTAAGCTTTTTTTCATTCTTCTTTTTTTATTCTGCTTGACAAGTTTAGAATCTAAATTCAAATTTGATTCTCCGTCAGCGTCACCCATTATTTCTTGTTTCACTTTAACCATGGGTTCTACTTTGATTATGTTTTCAGTTTTATAATCATCATTATTCTTCACATTTCGCAAGTGATTTTGAGAAACATCGTCAATTTTCTTTACTACTACTGAATTAATGTTAGGCTTGACGTCTTCACATTCACAAACTATTTCTACTTCATCATCAAGTTTACTTTTATAGTTTACGTCACATTTTTTAAGGTCTGTCGAAAAATTAAAAATAAGTTAAAATTTACATCGAGTTAAAAATCACAATACGAATTACTAAAAAGTATCAACACTTACGGAATTTTCTCCGGGAAGTGGTAAGAGTTGAAGGCTTTTAAGATCGGGTTTCTCGTCCATCAATTCACAATGGTTATTAAGCCACACATCAGGAAGCTCCTCTTTTATTCTGAAATGCATCCAATAAGATCAAGTATTTCAATGAAATATATTTTTAATTCCATTCTAATAAAATGAAAACTACCTGACTACACAGTTAAATAAACCCTTGGAATACATTTTTTTTACTTGGAATTCGTTAACAAGTAATCTCTCTAATTGATGATTTCACGTATCGAACTAACCAAACATGACTAAATAAGAAAATACCGTGGTATACTGTGCCGTGCTCACTGCTCGCTATACTTTGAAAAACTATGCCCAAAGTCTAATGCGCGATAAGCTCCGCACAGTCCTTTGTGTAGTGTATATTAATTTTGAGATGCGTGGCGAAACACCGAGCTGGGCAAACACGAAGGTCGTGAATGCGGCACACGACGTAAATAACAGGACGGACACAAATCATATTCTTTTTGCCAGTTTTCTCGAAAATAGCTTAAATTTGAGTAAAAAATAATATCTATAAATCATGTTGAAAAAGTTGTTGAAATAATTACTATATCACTTATAAAAAAATAAAAATATGTATCTAATGCGTAATGAATATTGAACAGTTTTTTTTTATCAATGATACATTATTACGGAAAAATAAGAAATTAAAACTTCGATTTCGTAAAGTTTTTGTATTATGTACATTTAACGTATCGTACTGAACTGCGCACTCTATCCATCGATTTCGTAATTTCAGAAACCCATCGGTGGCGTATCGATATTCGGCCAAGTCGACATCCTCGCGTCGTCGAAATTTCCTCGACGAGCGTCGTCGTCGTCGTCGTCGTCGTCGTCGTCGAGCTCGAACAACGAGGACGAAGCTGCTGTTGCTGCTGCATCCACGCCAACGCCGCCGGCCGGCTCGACGAGTGCATCCGCGATCGGCAGCAGCATCAGCAACAACGCGGCTGCATCGTCCACCGATAATAACGCCACGAGTCGCAGAATCGGCAGCAACAACAACAGCGGGGCAGTCGGCGCCGGCTCGAGCGCGTTTCAGTCGTCGTCCCTCGTCGAAGCACAGCTGGGGGGTGGCAGCGGCAGCAACAGTAGCATCGGCAACTCGGCCCTGGGCAACAACGCGACTCAGGTCAGCGGGAACAACAGCAGCAGCGGGGTCTTCATCACGCAGCCGAGCATGGACTCGGCGGGATCGAGCCTCGGGTTAGTAATCATCGAATCGTTGCCTATTTTACGTAATTCGATATATGTACCACTCGCGGCAGAAGCGATGTACTTATACTCGCTCCATTCATCGTTTCGAGCGAATTCTCGCGAGGTTCTTGAGTTTTTGTTTGTAAACGCATTCGCGCGCGCTCGCTCGTGACTCATCGGAAATGTCACAACTGCAATGGATACATGACATCGATAACCGCACGCGTGCAGACAGAGAAACAGAGAGAGAGAGAGAGAGAGAGAGAGAGAGAAGTTGTTTTCCTGCTCTCGCGATGTATTCGTTCGCGGATGTTTCCATCAGTGAAATTTGTGTCGTTTGATTTTCCCCACATAATACGTATAAAATGCATCGAAACGCGAAACGTCGATAATATATTTCCCCTGCTCAAGTTTCATAATTCTCGATTTATCGGTCGCGCGCACAAGCTACAACAAAAAGTTATCGAGAAAGTCACATAACGCGCGAGCTTGTTGCACTAAAAAAAAGCAAAAAAAAAAAAACAACAACTACTACTAGTATTAAGCAGCGCCTGCAGCGTCGTGCAGCACCAAAGATATCGTCGAGAGAAAGTCAAATATTTTTATGTAATCGTGGGTGTGTACACGAACTCGTGCAAAACTATTTGAGGGTAATAATTTTCTTTTATATTCAATAATGACGAAAAGGCGGCATGTTACTTTCAAACTTTTTATTGTCGAGTATTTACAGTGTACAACGACGGGCTGTCGTCGTCGCGACTCGCGGACCCTCGCTAAAAATCACAGATCGTAGAAAATCGTTCTTTACTCGCTGCTCTCCTGCGCACATTCCACTAGGAACAGTCGGGCACCGGGCAGCAATGGGGATACGGTTTGCTCGCATCCTGTCTGGTTCCCAAAATTTTATCGCTGCATTTGAAAGTTGGACAGCTGAGGACGACAAAAATGCACAACTCAAAATTTAGCGAACAAATTTCAAACGTTAAAAATTAACTTACCCTATGACCAAATATCGTGTATCTTCTTGGTTACACTTCTCGATTTGACATCGGTTTTTCAATACTTCCGTCGTTCTGCAATATTCGGCTTTATAGATGACGTCGTCTTCTGATTCTAAAAAGAAACAAAAGATATTTCCATTATGGCCACAAAGGTCAAGATTTGGAGTTGGCGTCTGGTGCGCGTGGGCACGAGAGATAATGTACCTTCGATTTGAGCACTGACACTCGAGACAGCCAAAATAGCGCAGAAAAGCAGAGCGAGTCGACGCGACTTCATGTTTCGTTGTACACTCGATCTAATGCTCGGCACACGCGATGGTGTCTTATCCGAAATGGGCCCAGGCAAAGAAAATCCACTCGCTTTATACATGGGCACAACATACTCTCTTTCTCTCTCCCCTCGCACGTGAAGGTGTTGTGCATAATCAAATGCGCTAACTTTTACTTTTTTTTTCTCTCTCTCTCTTTCAAAAAGCTTGTTTTTTACATAACGTTGTCTAACTCGCGAAAGTGTTCACGTGCTGTGTGTAGGCCATTATTTTTTTTTGAAAATTTCCAGCTCGATTTTCTCTGCTGCGATAATTCGTCGCGTGCAATCTGCCAGTTAACAACAATATACCCATTACAGGATCCGTTGATCGGACTATCTTAAATTATTTTTCATTGCTTAGATCTTGAGTTGAATTTGTTAGATTTGAAAGAACGCACGTATATCGCTTACATAAAAATAAATCACTGTCACTCGACCGATGGTAGTATTTTAAATAAAAAACGCTGATTTTCTATTGAAGTAAATCTTACCATTAATAATCTTAGTTATTGCGAGTTTAATTAAAGTTTTTTTATTTTGAATTAAAAATCTTTGTCACGTGAATATTGTAGTCTGTTTTCGTGGTCGAAGACAAACTTTTATCACAGTTAAACTTCTCGAAACGTAAAAATATCTTACATTTATTTTAAAAATGATCGAGAAAAGTCAATGAACTCTTTTGCTTTCAAACAGTCTCGAGTGCAATAAAGTTAAAAAAAAATCGCGACCCGAGAAAATCTTTTTTTTTGCTGTGTAAAATGTGTGTACAGAAGCATTATTGCGTCGCGATTTCAAACGACTCGGGTAATTCATCATAGAGGCTTTTTCAAGTAAACATTAACATCTGAGAAAAAATTAATATTCATAATTTTTAAAAAAACAAAAAAATTAAATACCGTTCCAGACCATTGTATATAGTTTACGAGACGCGCAACGTGTTTTTTAAGCTGAGCTTTTAATTTATTTGTTTTCATATTTTTTCGCAAATCGCGTCAGTATTTGTTTCTCTCTGTCCCACTCATTTTTCAATCTCAGTCATCTCGCGATCGTAAAAAGAAAAATTGAGTCGCGGTTCACTCGTAATACTTTTAAGTTCGAGTGGTCATTCCGCTATGCCCACTATATCGGCCTGTGCCAGCATGTGCGCGATGCATAATGGAGAGCGCCATAAAAACATGCGCTAGTTTAGATAAGTCTCTCGCGATCCCGGCTCGGTGACATACTTTGTTAGAATGAAAATGATTCATTGTATATAACGCGCGCGCACGAGGCTTATTGTACACATACGCGATTATGGCGTGCGGCTGCACATTCTGCTATTGTTTTGCTTTTGCAGTTATACAAAGTATCATCATTGAAAGTATGCGTGCGTGTGTGCACTGCGTGGCTGCCGATCATTCGATCTTCGCGCACGAGCTTTATTTACGAAATATTATACATCTAGCGGTCGAATTAATATCGGCCGGCGAATGAGCCATCGTCGTCGTCCTCTGCATACATCAGAGAGAGAGAGAGAGAGAGAGATAAAATGCAGCACGCGCACAATAATAACACGTTTTTCAAGATCGACACACCCGGTAGTGGCAGCAGCTCATCTCGTCTCGTTTTTCCGCCGAGCGAGAAGAGATGCGAATTCCGCACGCAGCAACGAGTTAGCCACTCGAACGATGTGTTACCTTCGAGCCACATCCTAATTTTCAAGGTATTCCAGTCGCGGCGATCTCTCGCGTGCTCCGCAGTATGTAGTGGCGTCGCTCGGTCGTAGCTATGCGCGCGGATCTCGTCAACTGCCATGTACCAATGAATCATCATAATATTATGTGTGTATATATAATAGCTCGCGTACGCAGCATCTCTCGGCTATTGCATTATACCTATCCGAGTCGAGCTGGTGAACACACGCGCGTAGCGCGCGGCAATTTAGCGCGCTCGTGAGTACGTCATTCGACGTCGTTTTAATTTTACGCCCGCGAGGGAACGCACACACACGCGCGCGTACACAAATACACGTTCGCTCGATCTTCACCTTTACACTGTGGCGTAAATCGGCGCATTTATATTTGTATATTGCGTACGGAACCGGGTATGGTAGGGCTCTGAAAATCTGCGGAGAGAAAATCTCCCACCTACGCCGCTACACTCGTACGGTTGAGTCGGGCGGTTTTTCTCCTCTTTTCTCGCGTGGCGAACATTGCGATCGCCGCCGCAAAGAAGAGTCGTTACCTAGCTTAACGAGAGAGCTAGAGAGTTTATAATATATTCAACTTGCGGCTAGAGAGCCCCATCCAAGGCTCGAGTCTCGCGTACATGTGTGTATGTGTGTACATATGCGCGTGCGACATGCTATATACACACGAGGCGACTTCGCGCGCGACGACGAGGCACCGCAGCCTCGTCGCATACGTAGCCATGCAGGCGCTATTCAGTCGCATCGGAAGCGCCAGACGCGTGACAGACCGACACCGGGTTTTTATTGAGAAAAAAAAAGAAGCGTTTACGAAAACACACGCTTGTTAATATAAAAAAAAAAAAAAGAAAGAAAGACGGCTAAAAAACCAGTGAGGACAAAAAATGTCGATTAAAATGTCAAGTCTGGGCGAATAGTGTGCCGCAAGATTTATTATTTATTTAAGCAAGGTGTGTTTGTGTTTTTGTTGTTATTTATTTTTGTTGCTGCTCTGCGCTCGAAAGTTGAATAACGACGGAAAATGCCAAGTTACTTCACCATACATAAATAAAATAATGTTAAATATATAAATTCAAAGTGACGGTGCAGTGAAGCACTCGATAAAAAGCTGCAGTGACGTTCTCTCTCTCTCACTCTCTGCGTGAGTTAAATCGCAATCGAAATGGAGATGAATGCATAATTATGGTCAGTTATATGCTCGTTATCGTTCGCGAGCCTTTTATGGTCTAAAAATACACCGAGCTCGGCACTCTGCGCTCTTTCGCGCGTCACCGATCGGCTTTTATCGACCTTTTTCATGTTGCACTTATCGATTTGGGAAGATTATCCGAGTATTTAAAAGAAAAAAAAAGTGTTATCCTCCCTTCTACTTGGGCACGCTACTACTGCTTCTGCTACTGTCAGCAGCTTCCCAGACAAACGTCTCGTTTCTCAAATGTACGTACTGCCTAATTAAAATACATTGCATCGATCAATAAAAGTGCTGTTACCAAGTTTTTACTAACGCCTTTATCTTATCGACTTTTTTGATGGACGATTACTTATACATGCTTCCTACTTGATACGCGCAAGATTATTAACAAAAACATCGCCAAGGCTTCCTCCTATTTTCAAAAGTGCATGGAATCAGCTTCTGCATTATATCTAATTGCTCTTTGTGTATGCGAGTGTAAAATGTGTATACACAACAGAAGCGGATCTGATTTCACTAATTGAAGACACGTAAACGAGTTTTTGCATTACAACTTCGCGATGCGTGTTCGCGAGTACGCGCCTCGTTTCGCGCAATAATGAAAATAAGAAAAAAGAAAAACAGAAAAAAAACGTGGGATATACGCGCGTGCACGCAAGCGATAACCTGTTTGACAGTTCTGCAAATGGGTGAAACGTTGGCGCGCGAGCTGTGTCTTCCTCTTGGCTTTTCTTATCTTCAGGCAGTTTGGCGCGAAAACGCATTCGTTTAATGCGCGACATTGTTCGACGCGGACGTTGAGCGAGCTGCGTTATAAGTTTTTTCTTGGCGGACCGCTGCAATCGTTTGTTTGCGTTAGTTTTTCATTCATTTTACGACGCTGCGATCGCGACTTCGGGAATCGGATGCGAAACGCGCGAAGACGTAAAATCGAAGTAATTAATTCGAGGAAGTGCGCGAGCGCAAATCGCTAATTTCTCGCCTCACAAAGACGAAGACGACGACAACATCTGTGTCAGCGAAATTTCTCCGCGCGCAGCTATGTATATATAATAACGCAGCTCGGCGGCAAGTTTCGCGCGATAAAATCGCTCCTCTCGAGCGCAAACAAACGACGCGAGAGCCGTGAGAGCTGGCGTATAAAACATTCGATCATCGTTAATAGAGAGCTGCGATCGTTGTGACGCGTAATAATGCGCGTAAGCAAGGGGATGTGCCCTTACATAGGCTGCACTCGCAATGCGTTTGCGATACGCATGCATATGTAGGCTCTTTCGGCCAATTATAAAAATCCGCTCGCGCTTATATTTAAGTGATGCGACGACACGCGCGATGTTTCTGTCTCTCTCTTCGTCTCTCAGTCCACCTATTTTCTGCCCTAACCCAGCAGCTCCCGAACGAGTCTCTACACCGAGTCGTATGCGTTTTACAATATATATGTAAGCACGAGAGACCGTGTGTACGCGGGCGAAGCAAGCGCAAAAGCTCACTCTGCGACGGAATACGGAAGTGTGCGTGCGTGCGTGTGCTTGTGCGGACTTTTTTGTCTTGGATGGTAAAAATAAGTTGTAGAGGCGCGATTCTCTCGGCACGACGACGATTGATGCCCGCCCCTTTTACGTGCACGACTCTCGGCCTCGAGAGGTTAATGAAATTATTTCAAGATTTTCGTGATTGACTTCGTCGCTATGTTGCTCTGCATGCAGCTTTTTGATGTTTAGACATTACTGGAATCGATGAAATTTAAAAGCTCTTATTTTCTTTCGTGCCGATGGGCACGCGGGAATTTCTTAATTAAAGTTTTGCCCTTGTTTTTCGAGTATTAAGAAACAATTTGGAAAATTATATAATCATCTTCTCAAGTACAAATCATTATGTAAAAATCTTTCACGTTTCGTCAAGTTTCTATTTCAAAATAGTAGCCTAACGACTGTTTATTTTAAAATATCGTTACAAGTCTCGTTAGAAGTATATGAAAAATTCTTAATTTTTTTTCCATCGGCTTGCACCGATAGCGATTTTCTGATTTTTTTTCTTTGCTCTTTTCGTAAATTTAGTTTATTAGCGCTACCGATATCCGAAAATACTTTTTCTGTTTGCACTGCCAAAAAACAGGTTAATTCGAACGCACGCTCACTCTACTTCTGGCAAATCTTATAATACGTCCATCGCCGAAGGCCCGTACAAGTCAAAGAGCAGAAATAAAACTGTCATCGTGAAACGTTTTAACGCTCGAGCTTTCAAACCAAATAAATATCGCCGCTGCTCCGTATTGAACAATTAATCGAGAGTTCGATGTGCGGCGAAGGTTTTTTTTCTCACATTATATCTTGTAAACTTCCATGATTCAATGTCGCGAAAAACGACGATCGCTTGATCTCGCCGTGCACGAAACAATAGAGATGGTAATTTCGTAGATACGCTTTGCATAAATCTTCATCAGCTATTTTCGAACTGCCATAAAAACTCCACAGCACCGCAACCATAAATTATATTTTAACCTCTGAAGAAAAAAAAATGAATGATGCCTCGTTCGACGTTTACACACATACAAACAAATACACGTGCGTCATTGATGCTTTTACTTAGCGTAATATATTACGTTTTTGTAATTATTGCAAGCATTGCAAAACTTAATAGCGATACCGATATCGATCGGGCACGATCATTGCACTGACTAAGCGTCGCGTTGAATGGACAATAATCCCGAGGCAAGGCACGTTTTGCACGCGTGCCCGAACGAATCGGCACTAATATCGACACACTGCATGTAAGCGTTGTAAGCATTGAATTTTTTAAAGTAGATGTATCGCTTCGAGAGATGTATAACATTTGTCAGACAAACGAACGTGTATTTCTCATTGTTCTTAGGACTATCAAGGTGATGATTGTCAAAAAAAAAGATGAATAATTTCCTCTCGCTTTACTTGATGTGTGTTCTCTACTTTAGACTGCTTCTAAACCGATGAGTAATTTTCTTTGCAGCTACGATTATTTGCTTCAGTAGATCGAACTTTGACCTTATAAAGATACAAAGTAGTGAATATTAATGCTACATCTTGAGGAAAAACTCAAAATTCGAATCTTTTAAAATTGATTATCATAATATGACTACACTCTAGCTTGCGGGTTGATTCGGATTAACGATAGTGATGAACAACAATCGAGATAGTATTTGGTCTTATCACCTTCGACCAATTTCGTATTTAAATATAATAAATTTTTACCCGAAACCAAATGGAAAGCGAATCGGAAATTATGTTATTATTTACTCACGTTTGTATAGAAACTGCTGCGCCAGGGATAATTTTGACGCATTATTTTGAAATTCTGCTGCAACTCTCAATGAGCGTTCTTGTTCTGGCTCGGCATCGTTACATTGCGTTAAAAATTAGGCTCCTGATTTAAAATAGTACGAATTAAGAATTAATGATACAAGTGAAATGAAAATAAATTGAAAAGCACATTACAGTGCGTTATGCTTACAAAGCAAACAGCTAATAGAGCCAAAACTATAACTTTCATACTTTTTACTTCTGTTTTCGAATATGTATACAAGTAATTACACTGTCTGTCTATATACTGCTTTTTAGAGTTTAAACTTTTACTAATAAATATTAAAATAATGATAAAATTATGATGGTGTTACCTTGCGATGCGCTTAAGGCAAAGAGGGATAACACAATCACGCAGAAAACGTATTTCATCTCGGTTTCTTTCGTACTTTCATAGTTCGAAATCAAAAATTAAATTGGTTTCAACTCAATGAATACCATGCTCGTATAATGATATCGTCGTTAAGATTTATCATGTACGCAGTTAAAAAAAGTTTTTGGACTTGAATTTTATATAATTTCGTAAGTGAGGAATAATTACATAAAACACCACTTTACATATTTAAAAAGAAATATTTTTTATTATTATAAAATTTTTATTGGAACAATAATTGAATTTATAAGCTTTCACTAATTAATCCAATTGGCAAATTAGGATCGATGATTTCGCACTTTTGACAGCAGTCAGGATAAGGTTTGCTTAGGTCCAGCGGGGTTTTTCTCAAATTTTTACCACATCGGACACTGCCACATCTGTAAAATAATATTTTTCATTATTTTTTCGGTAAATCAATGTGTTGCTTATAAAAAATGAAGTTGATTTTAAATAAAAAGACAAATCAATGCTTGCGTAATCTAAATTCACAGAAAGTCGATAAAACATTTTTCAATTATAACTTAATCAAAATTGTGAATAAAATGCACTGAATTTTTTCATTTACTCGTCGTACGAAAGCTTAACGCAGGTATTAATTTGAATTTCAAAGTATCTTTGCACTTTACAAAAAAGTAGCAGATTTTTGTAACGTAAAAGAACTATTTTATTGTACCCAAAGAGCATCGAAATGTACACGCGGATGAATAAATGAGATCTTTATTTTACTCACGATCGATATTCAACGAATGTGCCACCAACTGAAATAGCAATACAGTTGTCTTTATTTTCCTTCATCACTCTCAAATAACACTGATTCTCCGTTTCCTTTGGTTTGCAACGTCCGAACGCTGTAGCGCCTATAAAAACACACAGTTATAATATCAACAATGAAAAATTAACACTAAAAAATTATAAAATTATAACTATAATAACCTTGTGACACGCTAATGGCGCAAAGAGCCAACACAACAATGCAGAAAAAGTATTTCATATCGATTTTTTTTGTATTTTAGTTTGAGACTTTTACAGTTCGAGATCAAAAACTAAACTGGCGTCAACTCACAGAAAAAAAGTTTATATACTGATATCCCTACTTAAAAATTTTTTGGATTTAATTGCCTCACCGTTAAGATTTATCATGACTGTATTTCGTAATTGGAAAAAATTTTTCGGGGCAAGTCAGGTTTTTAAATAGTGTTTGAAATTAATTTTACGATATTATAAAATCATCGCTCATAAAAAATATTATATGGATTAAGAACAACAAACACTGCTGCAAAATTTTATTTAATTCAAATAAGTTCAATTGAACTTCTTTTTTATTTACTCAAGATTTTTGAAAAATTGATTACATGAAATCCCCTGAATTTTTTTACTGATAGGATATATACTATTTTTAACTTACATATTATTTTGAAATATAAATTTTAACTTAAAAGTTGCAAATAAAAAATTTCTTTTGATTTGCATCTTACTTTAAATTGACCTACCTTGATAATTTTGAATTTCAGTTGTTTCGGGATAGTAAAAGGGTCAGGCGACTTGGAAAAAAAGGAGTTTTATTAGGTAAACGCGATTTGACTGCTTTTTAAAACAGTGTTGTAATATTGACAATGAATAAATTAGAACTTGAAAAAAAATTAATCGTGCAATTATAGTTTATACGGTATTTTATTTGAATCGATAACTTAAAAATCGATCAAGACGCTGAAATATACTACAAAAATTGCAGGGCATATGAAATATAGGAATTGTACAATTTTAAGGAAAATAATCATAAGAAACACTAATATCAGTAGGTCAATGAAATGATATACTTGTAGCTGTGAAATAACAGTAGATTACGTGTCAAGGGGGTCAAATAATTTTTCAGGAGCCTACATTATTTTTCATGTCCAGATATTAATTTTTCCAATATACTTAAGGAGGTTCCCTTGGGTAACACGCTAGTCAATTGAGTGTTCGCGCAGTAACATGGGTTAAGTTAGCTGGCTTGTCCGTCTGCTAGCCCTAAAACCAGCCGAAAAAGTCTTGTTTTCGCGTCTTTGGTGAAAAAATATTGAAAAACGGCAGGCTACCTCTACTTTGAGACACGGTTTTTGAAAGAAAAGAACTTTCTCTACAATTTGTATGTAATCATTCCCCTGCGAACTTTGATTTCTTTTCATAAATTGTAAATGTAGCTCAAATTTTCATGCATTTCTATGTTGCCCATGTTAATTTTCGAAACTTTGACCGCGTTTTTCTCCAGATTTTGCCTGGCTTGGGCATATAAAAGTTATACCATTAGATTCGGGAGGTTTGTGGGTTTTGTTGATTAAATTGTTTTTACTTGTCGGTTGAAAAATTAAATTTGAAAAAATACCTTTGTGAGAAATAAATACATAAAACACCATTTTATATACTATGAAAAAAATATTTTTTATTTTTATGAGATTTTGTATTAAAACAATAATAAGTGTTTTTAACCGGTTATGCTGTATCCTCCTGTTGGCAAGCTTGGATCGATGATTTCGCACTTTGAGCAGCAACCTGGATAAGGTTTGCTTAGGTCCACCGGGGTTTCCCTCAAATTTTCACCACAATTAACATTGAAGCATCTGTAAAATAATAATTTTTTATCAATTTGCCGGTAAATCATTAATATATTGCCTATGAAAAATTAGGTTTGATTTTAAAAGAAAAGACTAATCAATGCTTTGTAATCTAAATTTACAGAAGGTCGATAAATAGTATATTTCTCAACGGGTGCACATATGGTTTTTTAGCAAAACGAGGGATTATAGCACGAGCCGAAGGCGAGTGCTGTAACGAGTTTTGTTAAAAAACCATATCTGCACCAGTTTGAGATACTATTTTTTCCTACGAGAGCCTAAAATTAGCGGCAAAGTTGCGTATTTTAGGTTAGAGTGGGAAAAAGATTTTTAAATTATAACTTAATCAAAATCGTGAAGAAAATGCACTGAATTTTTTCATTAACACGTCGTAATTTGAATTTCAATGTATCTTTGCTCTTTACAAAAAAGTAGCAGATTTTTGTAACGTAAAAGTACTATTTTATTGTACCCAAAGATCATCAAAATATACACGCAGATAAATGAAATGAGATCGTCATTTTACTCACGATGAATATTGAACGTATTTGCCAACAACTGAAATATCAATACAGTTTTCTTTATTTTCCTTAAGCTCTCTCTCACGACACTGATTCTCCGTTTCTTCTGGTTTGCAACGTCCGTACCCTGTAGCGCCTATAAAAACACACAGTTATAATATCAACAATGAAAAATTAACACTAAAAAATTATAAAATTATAACTATAATAACCTTGTGACACGCTAATGGCGCAAAGAGCCAACACAACAATGCAGAAAACGTATTTCATCTCGATTTTTTTTGTATTTTAGTTTGAGACTTTTATAGTTCGAGATCAAAAACTAAACTGGTGTCAACTCACAGAAAAAAAGTTTATATACTGCTATCCCTACTTAAAAATTTTTTATATTAAATTGCCTCACCGTTAAGATTTATTATGACTGTATTTCGTAATTGGAAAAAACTTTTGGGACTTGAGGATTAATAATTAATTTATCAAAAATAAAAATAAAAAAAGCGTTTGATTGTCAAAATGTCAGGTTTGAAATAGTGTTTTAAATTAATTTTACAATATTATAAAATCATCGCTCATAAAAAATATTATATGGGTTAAGAACAATAAACACTGCTGCAAGGTTTTATTCGATTTTTTACTGATAGGACATATACTATTTTAAACTCACATATTATTTTGAATTTAAATTTTAACTCAAAAGTCGCGAATAAAAAAAATGTCTTGATTTGTATCTTAATTTAAATTGACCTGCCTTGATAATTTTTAATTTCAGCTTCGGGATAGTAAAAGGGTCAGTTAACTGGAAAATAAAAGGAGTTTTATTAGGTAAACGTTATTTGACTGCTTCTTAATGGGATACAAAACAGAGTTGTAATATTGACAATGAATAAATTAGAACTTGAAAAAAAATTAATCGTGCAATTATAGTTTATCCGGCATTTTATTTGAATCGATAACTTAAAAATCTATCGTGACACTGAAATAAATTACACAAATTGCAGGGCATATAAAATATAGGAATTATAAAATTTTAAGGAAAATAATCATGAGAAACACTAATAGCAGTAGGTCAATGAAATGATATACGGAAAATTTATTTTCTTTCGATATTTTTGGTATTTTAGTACAAGACTCTTCTGATTTGAGAAAAAAATTTATTTAGAGTCAACTTGCTTTGAGATGAGTGTATAAAGTATATAGCTTTTCACTCTCGAAAGGTTTACGTATTTAATTAGCGTATCATCTTCGTAGTCATTCAAGGCCTACTTCGGTATTGGAAAAAAAGTGCAAGATAGAATTTTGATGATCGAACCAATATGAAAAGTGATTTTCGATCGATCCGAACTGAATTTCAAAATTGTGTTAGGTACGACAGAAATAAAAATGTTTTATTTTCTCGTCATGAATATTTATTTCATTAATTTTGGCATTGTAATGACAAAAAGACTATTGTAAAGAAAATAAAAAAACATGGAGCACTTCTTTGATATTATAAATATTGAAAATTTCATTTTACATTTTTCATTAAAACGTAATTAATTTAATCTACCGGTGCTGGGCCGCAGATTGCCGGAGGCAAAAGGCTTGCGCAAAATGAGCAGCACTCAGGATAAGGTTTGCTTAGATCCTCTGGGGTTTTTCTCGTAGTTTCATCACAATCGACACTACCGCAGCTATAAAAAATATTTTTAATCAATTTTGAGTTATAATAAATGTATTGTATAAAAAAAAAATTAGACGTGCATTTGAAGAAACAATAAAAAAAGTTAGTATTGTAAAAATCTAAATTCTTAGAAAGTTGAATGAAATTCTTTTGAATTAAGTTTTTAAAATAAAATTTCGACGGAATAGAAATTAAATGCAACGTTTAGTTTTCTTCATATAAGCTGTGCGTATAAGCTTAACGATAGTATAATTTCCTATTTTAATATTCACTCGAAAATAAAGTATATATGATCATCTTTGGATTTACCCTTGAATGATAACTTCATTTTCTCCGGCGAGAATTTGGGTACACGTGCCTTCATTTTCCTTGGCGTATCTCTGCACACACTGATCAGACGTTTCGTCTGGGTTGCATGGTCCTCTAGCTTCATGGGCTAAAAATACACACAGTTATTACTTTAAAACCGAAACTAAATAAAGATCAAATTGTATTGAAAATCACCTTGAGATGCGCTGATAACGCATACAGCAAATAAAGCTATACTATAGACGATTTTCATCTTGACAAAACTGTTACGACTCGAGATCAAAAATATAACTGATATTAACGCAATGAATAAGATTCTTATATATCGCTATCCCCGCTTCTAAACTTTTCAAATTAGATAAACTTATGATCTTTGTGATCTTTTATGATTATATTTTGTGATTGAAAAAGATTTTCACAATTTTTTTTTAATCAACACAGATACTATATGGGTCAGTACAAAATAATATTTTTATGAAAGTTTTCCCAGAATATTCATTTTTAATAAATAACGGTTATTGAGCAGAATTCAAAAAAACAATTTGTAACATTTTGTTTGTCATGCTTTCAATGGAAATTATTTAATTGCTTCTCATGAATTTTCTCTATTGATTCTATTATTAAAATATAAAAGAATTATTTCGAGGGTAAGGTGGAAACATTAAGAACTATTTTTGATGTTTAAATATTCAAACAATTTATTCAAAATTTTTTATTCTCAAACAATAATAAATGAATTTAACGGGCAACTGCGCTTATTGATGCAGGCAAGTTGTGATCGATGATTTCGCAGTTTGAGCAGCAATCTGGATAAGGTTTGCTTAGGTCCACCGGTGTTTTCCTCAAATTTTCACCACATCGAACACTACCACATCTGTAAAATAAAAATTTTTGTTAATTTTTCGGTAAATCAATTTATCGAATATAAAAAGTTAGGAGTTCGTTGAAGAAAAAAGGCAAGTAATTGTTATAAATGTAAATATCTAAAAATTTATGAGACCATTGTAAATCAAATGTATATAATTACAATTTGATTGAATATTATGTCCAAAACGGGTTAACACATTCAACTCGTACATTTCAGATTTTAATGTATACTCTAAAAAATATTAATATGATAATCTTTTGATTTACCCTTGAATCGTAACTTCATCTCCTCCTGCGAAAATGCGGGTACACGTGCCTTCGTATTGCTTAGCGTATCTCTGCTCACACTGATCAGACGTTTCGTTTGGATCGCATGGTCCTCTGGCTTCAAAGGCTAAAAATGCACACAGTTATAATGTTTTGTATTGAAAATTGTAACAAAAACAATTGTAACGAAAATTACCTTCCGATGCGCTAATAGCGCAGATAGCCAATACAGCGATACTGTAGACGAATTTCATCTTGACTACTTTGGTTCTTTTGCTCAAAACAGTTATAATTCGAAATCAAAAATTAGACTGAAGTAAACTCACCGAATGAGATGCTTTTATACCGCTATCCCCGCTTATAAATTTTTCGTATAAGCTTATTATCTTTATGATCTATTATGACTGTATTTCGTAACTGTAAAGAGTTATAGGACAAAATTTTGGGGTCTCACTTCTGCTTTATACAAATGACATAACGAAAACGTGCTTCTTTATACTAGTTTTTAATACATACATTAGTAATAATACATAAATTCTTATACTAAACGAGCTAAATGTACAAGGAAACTTAACTAAAGATAAACATAACACTTTTATAAATCACTTTTGCATTGTTTACAAAATATGGTTATGCGCTATCTCACTGAGTCTGCAATCTTCACAACAATTCGGATACGGCTTGCTCAAATCTTCCTCTACGGTTTCCAAACCTTCCCCGCAAGAGACCGCACCACAACTGCAAAAATTATTTAAATGACATTTCTCAACTTTTCGAGTAATAATACTTGAAAAATCTCCGCCGCGTACCTGTGCCACTCGATGAAGCCGTGCGGATTGTAGAAGTATCTGTGACAGTAGTTCTTTTTGCTGGACTGTATCTCGGCGAAAATTTGGCAGTCTATACTCGACAGATCCCCACAAGGTTCCAAGCCTATTGCGCGTTTCCGTCTCATTGCTATAATATTGATATTCGAGAAAAAAAAAACATTACTCTAGAGAATTGTTTCTTTTTCTATTGCAAAACACTCTTAAATATGAAATATGTATGATCACCTTCAACTGAACTGAACGAACAACAAGAGCACAAAAATATAATGGACAGGAGCAACGTAACCTTCATTTTTACTTTGTATCTTTACACCGCGGTATCTTTAGCACATGCAGATTTGAACTAAAGAGGCTGCGAACGGATCTCGCTTATACATATGCTCGTCCCCTCTCTGCCTCTTTGCAACAAGCTAACAAACATTATTTTTTGCATATTTGATGGGCTATATTAATTCTTGTAAATATTTTTACAACATTGATCAAAAATCAATAAATAAAGCATCAAATGAGAGAATGAATTATAATTAAAAGAGAATGTCGGAATTCTCATTCAAGACGGCTCATAAAGTGATGCTGCTGCCGCTGCCGACGCCGCGCCGCCGCATTACTATCTGTCTCGTGCGTATCCTTATCAGTCAGCTCGGAGTGGTTGTCTTTTTTTAATTCGATAAAAAGAAAGCATTTTTCAATCAACTTCGAGGAAACGAGATCCATAATCGGTGTTTACTTCTCTCAATGCGAATATTTTATTCCTTATGTAAGAGATATAAAATAATACATATTCAGCTCCGATCGCGAAGGAGTTGTAGACGACATCAACAATTTTCGAAACACTCCAGGCGCGAACTTTTATTTGTATTTAAATACAAGATTTTGTACGAGCATACTTACCGTTGGAGTGTTATTGACATTACTAGTTTTTGGAGCGGTCTCTTGACACTTATTTGCATATTTTTCTCGTAAAAGAAGCAAGACAATAACTCCAAGGTTTTATGCAAGTTTAAAAAGGAAAAAAAAATTCAAAATGTCATCCTTTTCTTTGTTGACTCTTCGCTCTTGTTCAATTAAGTTGGGGCGTTCGTTAAAATGATTTATTTTAATTATATAGCGCTTCTTTTATTATTGAACAAACTTCAAAATGTAGGCTATGAATTTATGATTATACATAAGCGCCCGAGATAGAGCGTGTGTACGCCGAGTGCGAGTATAAAATTTTTGCGTTTATGTAAATAGATAAATTAGCCCGAGGAGCACGCGCCTCGTTGTACAAGAGCACAGCTCGGTCAGCCTTCATCAGTATTTGAATTCATCATTTTTCGTCGTCGGGACTTTGCCGTATAACATTGACCTCTTTCTTTTCTGGAGTATTCCGCGTACAAAAAGTGATCTTCCGTATTCGCGGAAACAATGATCTCTCTCCGCGATGCTCTATCCCCTCCTCGCATTCTCTCGACGCGATCCAAGGATGCATTATATGAGACGCAGCATGCGTGATAGTGCGCCGATCGAAAATTGGAAAATCCCAGAGACGTCCGACGATATATTATATCGATTTGTTAGTCGACGAGGATCGTTGCTCGCTTTGTACAATTTCTTTTCTTTGGCTCTTCGACTTCTCCGACGGCACATTTGTACATATAATTACGCCACGCTCGAGACATGCATATCATTATTATGGCGAGCAGCGATTCTTTTGTAAAAATCAGCTCCTTACAACTCGAGCATATCCGATCGTTGTATCGCCGCTGCTCTTTGTACACGTGTTCAGAAACGGACCAAATAAGCCACGACCAATTTCGAAAATATCTGTATCGGTATTATTATAAACAATAGATCTCGTTTGCTCTGAGAAGGAGAACGAATTCTCTCTCTTTCTCTCCGCATATATATTATATACACGCGCTTAAAACTGACCGTGGCAGCAGGAGTGCGCTGCGCTCCGTGTACGCCTCGTTCGCGCTACATCAGCTGAGCTCCTTTCACCTGGAAAATTCGTCGCGCGTCGTAAGGAGAACCTTATATGAAAAGGTACCTGGCATATAGTAGTATTAAAAGAGCATGGAAAGTGCAGTTATGTTTTGGTATACGTAGCGTGCGCGCGCGTGTCGGCAAGGCGCGCTTTTCTCTCCGCCGCTGCTGCACTGCTGCTGCACTATTGCTGCCAGAGTAGTGCACTTGCATTGTGTCAACGCCGAACGTGCCTGTGCGTGAAGCGGGACCCCCGCACGTAAACATACAGTATATAACGTATTAATAATGTTTTTGCGCGCTTCGTGCACGAGCGAGGCGATTATTCGAATGGTTCGTCGTTCGGAGTGAATTAATAATATCGATGATATATATCGGACGTGTGCGAGCAATATAAAATCTGACCTCAGCGAGGGAGAGAAAGAAAGAAAGAGATTGGTGAGACCTGCGCGAGGATTTTTCGCGGTAAGAGACTTCTTTATTCGGCCGAGAGCTGTAGAGTTTGTTGATCGCAGCACATGCTCTGTGTACCGTGCCGAGAGAGTATACAATACTACAAATGTATATAATATATGTGTCCCGGCCGCGTGCGCAGGTGACTCAGTATGCCTGGAGAGCTTAGGATTGATAATAATGTTTTTCGATGCGTCAGCGATGGAGTGACACGGTTTTCGCAATATAATATAAAAGCGCAAAAATATTGTATGCAAATCGGTATATAGCCGAGAGATGGCTCATCGTCGAAAGTAATCCTTCCTTGGTCTGGTCTTTCTTGCGCGCGTGCATACATTTTCTCGAGCCATTGTATTTTTTTTATCGTCTTATTGCTGGTTTGTACCAGATCAAGTCGTCAAATCGCATATTTTAAATATTCAATGAAAAAATTGATTTTAATTATTATCGATGCTTATCGATCTACAAACTGATGTTTTGCATTTTTTGTTTATTAAAATCGTTCTGATACATTAAAGTGTAAATTTAATTTAAATAAATAAATATATTGAAGAATCTCTGAAAAATGTTTTACAGTCAAATATGAAACAAAAAAATCAAGCAATGCACAATGAACTCGTAACCCTTTTTTTTAACAACAATGACATAAAAATTTCATTATGATGAACTATATTTATTTTATTAATCATAGCTAATTATAACGGACTTTGTTAAATTATCGCATAAGAAAACTTGAAATGAAAAATTTTCTTTTTTTAATTTTAAAATATTTATTTTAGTTTTTTTATCAATACATAAATAGTAAATTTAACCGGTCCTTGCAATGACGTATGGCTTGTCTTTGTCGATTATTTCACATGTTGGACAACAGTAAGGATAGGGCTTACTGTCATCACCTTCGATTGGTCTTAAATTATCTCCACAATGAATGGTACCACATCTATAATTATAATACAATAAAAAAATGTATGAATGACAGTTCAAAGATTATTTTAAAGAATAAAATGATTGAGTGCTCTAAATTTAATCATTGTTATAAATTCGATTATTCTTCAATGCTGTTTCTAGGAACTTTATATTAATTTTAACAGGTTTATATTAATATTTATCTCACATAAAATTTTCAACTTGACTAAATTTTAACTACGAATATATTAATGCAAAATTACGCGAGCTATAAAAATACATTCAGCTGTAGCTGAATATCTATAGATATGCTTTTCAAAAGAAAAGCTTAATTATTTGCCACTTACTGTTGCACTGTAACAACATTTCCAGCAATAATCCTGACACATTGATTATCAAATACCTCCAAGACTCGTTTGACGCAGTCACCTTCTGGCTCTCCGGCTTTGCATTTTGCCCTTACTTCGGCGGCTATTAAAAAAATTTAGAAAATTATAAAGCTACAAATTTAAAGTTATAAACATCAGATAAACATACCTTGTAATCCATTCATAACACATACAGCTAATACTAACAAAAAACAGAATGATTTCATTTTGATACTTTAGTTCAAACTTGAATGAGGATTATAAAACAACTGCAAAGGATACAGTGAACTTAGTACATTTATAGTCTCGTCCCCGCTTTAAAATTTTTTTTAAGAATAGGCTCGTTACCTTAAGTATCAGGACAATATTTCAAAACTAAAAAAACCTTGAATCAAAATTTCAAAGTTTCTCAACAGTTAATGACAAAATAAACTTACATGTGTTTGTTTAACAGTTTTTTTTTACTAAAGTTTAACTGAATGATTCGATTATGCTTTTTTAAGAGTTTTCATAAAATAGGTTACATTTTTAATTTAAATAAAATCGATTTATTTTTTAATAAAATAAAACTCCTTAAAAAAACTTTCACTGAAAAAAACTTTCACTGAAAAATTTGGTATCAATCATAACTCATTGCCATATTAAAAATAAATCATTGCAACCACAGTGTAATTATTAAAACAAATAATCTGCAACCAATACTTGGGTACTTTTTTCATATATTTTTTTTTCGTCATCGATAAACATTCTGCGCAGCCTTGATTTTTATCTTCATTACTTATCTTAATATTTTCTATTGCATTAACATGCATCATAATTTTGTAAGATGAATTAACAATCATTGCAGGAAATGCAAAACATCTGTATGATTAATATTTATTTTACCCTACTAAATTTTTTTTAGCGAGAAAAAAACCTGAAGGCAAAAAAAGCACCATTCATTTTCAAAAATTCAATTAACAAGATTTGATATAAAATTGGCTTGCTGGGTCATTTTTATTCCGTTACCAATCGAGGTAGTTGCATATAAATTATCAAATAACGAATTCCATTATATAGATTAAAAATAACGAAGAAACTTCTTTCTGTTAGTTCAGGCCGCTAGACTTTCGGAGAATATCGTCTTAATAAATTTTTCACATATAAAATGATAAAATAAAATTGTTCGTTTCTTGTTAACGATTTTAAACACATTCTGATTACCTAACATCGTAACAGTGCACTATTTTTATTATGTGCTTTTACTTATATAATGTACAATAAAATTAATTATATAAGATATATATAACCGCTTCTATTATATTTGTTTATATAAAAATTTTTTCTTTGATATGTCAATGTAGCAAAGCAAATATTGATTCATAATTTCGGAAAAATAAATACATTTAAGCTAGAAGCTACTTCAATTGACAATATTTTATCATTGTTTAAAATCTTCTAAACTTTTAAATCACTTTACTGTCATTTTTATCTGGAACCATCAATAAAACGATGATTTCCTTCAGGTTACTTTTTGTACACATTATGAAAATCTCAAACTTTGCGGAACATCCGATCATTTTTATTACTTGCCTACGAACGATTACTGTAAATGAATTAACTCCGTTTAACAAATCCAACAATTTTTTATGAAATGCAAATCGGAGTTTTGACTACGCGTTTGTACTTGTAAGGTCATCAACTTTTTGATTAACCTCTAGACGCTGGGGAGGTTCGATATATCTACCACCTAAGATCAAATATTTTTAGATATAAAATGTTGGTAAAAGTAAAAACTCATTTTTACCCGAAAATCCCCGGCATTCAAAGGTTAAAATATGGATCTTGACAATTGGAAAACCCCACAGGGCATGCATAGCGAAAATGCAAAAGTTTCGAGATTAAATTTTTTACAGTGTTGACGTTTTTCTAGCTTGATTATCATATTCGTCAATTTTATTCACACTTTAAAAAAAATACAGACAGATATAAGGCGAGACAGAGATTTCGATGGCGCTTACGATAAATATTTGACATGACGATTCAGGATACTGAAATTTCATAATCTTCAGGTTTTTCCAAATTCTTGTCGCTATCGAAGCACTGGGGCAACATATTTTTTATGCATATAATATTGATTCAGTTAAATCTTCACTATTATATTATACTTTACTATCACTGTGACTATACACTTTTTTGAACAAATGATATCCTCTTAACAAAAAAATAAATTATGTTAATTTAATTTAATTTTATTCCATTCGATTTAAAGTATTTGATTCTTTCTTATATCAGTTACTAAAGCATAATCATTTGATCTCATTCTCGTCTAATCTTTTCTAATGTTATGGGGGGTATAAATAATTTTATGTCGATCTCATTCGTAATACATTATATAAAGATAAAAAGATGAGCTAAGTAAAGAAATGTCACTATTGATATTTCAATAATTTTTAGTAAATTATGTTTGTTTACTATAAAAAAATCGGAATTCGGAGCATGAAATTAAATTTCTACTTTATCATATTTGACCTTGCTTTTAATTTCTCGGATCGATCAGAATGTGTATACTACCATTCACACTTTTAACCAATTAAGGACTTTTATTCATTATATTATTATCGAACTGCAAAAAATTTTTTTAATCAAAATAATCATCGCCCAAGAATGGTAATGCCAAAAAGGAATTCACTTCCTATTATATTATAGGGGATATATTATGTATGAGCATCGATCGGTAAATTAACATTTTTCGAATCTGTATAGAGAGTAAGTCTACTGTAACAGCGACTCGTTTGTTTACATGTTTTAGCGAAATCATTGCCTACCGAATAAATTAAATTCGTCCTGGGCAATTACACCTGTATAAATTATTCACGCGTAAACCAGTCTACAAATCTTAGTAACGCAATTTCTCGTCTTGTTACAGTGCCGATTTCCAGCCGTTGATGAGCTCCAGCAGACTCAAGTCCGAAGAAATATATCGCGAGCGCATAGTCAGTGACAGTTTATTAAAGAGCCGAACGAGAAATAATTCCTCTGATCAGCAAATCGGCCAACCACAACAACAACAACAACAACAGCAGCAAAGACAACAACTTGAGCCGACAGTCGAGGATGTATCACGCGGAAGCGAAGACGTTTTTGGACCTCCACCCTTGTCCAAGGATAGCAGTTCAAGAAACAAATCGAAGGTGTGCAATCATTATTTTTTTGTTCTATAAAAAAACACTTATATTAAACGCGCGTTTATAACATAAAAGACATAAAGCACAGTAGGTTTGACAATTTTGTTTTTCATATACGATGTTTTTGTTATTAAAAATGAACGATGATTTGAAAAAATATAGGAACTGATATTGCGTAAGCTTCTATTTAAAACGTTAATGCTTGATTTGCCGCAGTTAAACTCGTTAAATCCTATTAAAACGACTTTAGCAAGTCGCATCTACTACATCAAAAATTAACTGCGTAACGACTAAATGCTATAATATATTTTCCAGGTAACTTCCTTATTTGACGATTCGGATTCAGGCGACGATTTGTTTGGCTCGGCCTCGACGAGTTCCCGAGGTACGCCGTCTCGTTCGGTGCCACCGAGCACCACCTCCGCCGGTGCGACAAAAAAGAAGAGCATCTTCGACGACGACGAAGACGATCTGTTCGGCCCACCGCGGGACGATCTCTTCAGTTCTGTGCCCACTACGTCGACTGGACGTGGCCTCTTCGATCAGGATATTTTTGGCGGCAAAAAGAGCAAACCAGAGGAGCCTGAGGCGCCTACGCCGACGCAATCGCTGAAGAGCACGAATTTGTTCCCGGATGAATCGGATGCGCTGTTTCCGAAGCCTACCGAGGTGAAAGCGAATAAGGGTTCAGAGAAAAAGGCACCTGAGGGCGAATCGAAAGTTTATTCAGTCGATCAGAAGTTGCCATCTACCACCAGTAAAAAGGAAGTTCAGAGTACAAAGCCAGATGCTCAGAAAAATATTTTTTCAGACGACGAAGCGGATAATGATTTCGAACGTGAGCGCCTGAGTGCAAAGGAAATAAGCGCGAGCTCGGAAAAGTCATCAGCCCCGAGCGAGTCGAAGAAAAATATTTTTTCAGATGAAGAGTCAGACGATTTGTTTGATAAAGATACTTCTAAAATTAATTTAAAAAAAGAAACGGTGTCAAGTGCAAATATTTCATCGAAAACTGCAGTGGAAGAGAAAAAACAAGAGAAAGTGTCACAGTCTAAAAGTAGCTTATTTTCGGACGACGAATCGGCTGATTTGTTTGGTGCTAAAGCCTCGAAACCGTCTGTCAAAAAAACTGACAAAGCTGCGAGTCTTCTCTTCGACGACGACGATGAGCCAGACCTATTCGTCAGCAAACCAAAGCCAAAAGTGAATGAAAAGACAGATTTGTTCAAAGGTTTATTTGATAATAAGCCGTCGAAGTCGAAAAAATTGACGAGTAATATTTTCGACGACAGTGACGACGACGACGACGATTTGTTTGGTAGTTCAAAAGAAACGAAAATTTTGTCCAGCGAAAAAAAGCCTACGGATAAAATCATGCAGGAGGAAAAAAACGAAGTTGTCGACGCCGATCATGAAAAGGCAAATGTTCAAGCTGAAGAGAATGATAAAAAAGTCGAAGCTCCAACCAAAGCTCCAGCGGTTGGGAAAAAACCAGATGCGAAGCCAGATATCTTCGATGACGAAGATGACGACGATGATCTCTTTGGCGATAAGAAGAAAAAGAAAGCTGCTGTCGCAGTTGCCAAAGAAATAGCTAAAAATGTCAAAGAACAGTCTGAAAAAGCTGAAGCTAAGCCGAAGCCAGTGCCATCATCCAAACCAGAAATAATGCCGAAAAAAGCGGCAATTCTTGCCGATCTGAAATCTAAACTTGAAAAGCATAGGCAGGACATGGGCATTGATAAGCCATCAAAGTCGCCAGAGAGCTTGGCCGGCGCTAAGAGCCTTTTTCCACCTCTCAAGAGCGAAATCCCCGAGCCAAGTGTCGTCGACGGTCTGGGCAGCTCGAAACCGAAACCGGAACCGCCGAAATCGTTGAAGCTGAAAATAGGTACTCCACCGCCCCCTGTACAACCCTCGGAAGGGCCATCATCGCCCGGCACGCCTGGAACGCCTGGAACGCCTGGGACGCCCAAAAAGCCAGTTGTTTCAGGAAAGATAAAGAATTTAATGGGTAAAATGAATGATCTGAAGATTCTTTCACCTAACGATACGCCACCGTTGTTCAGAAAGAATAAGGAGGAAAATAATGGTGCCAAAAATGAAGACGAAAAAGAAGCAACGAACGATGATGCTACCAACAGCGAAGCGAGTACGCCAAGTTTCTTCAGTGGTGCATCCTCTCCACTTATTTCCGGTAAAATAATCTTTTTTCGTGTAATTATTGAAAATTGATTGATTTTAATAACTAACGAGCGATATTTTTTGCAGAAGCCAACTCTAAAACGAAAGATTCGCCTTCAATAAGATCGGAAAATACAGAAACGGCCATCAGTCTCGATGAACCTGTGCAGCCCGAGACACTATTATCAATCGAGAAATCAAAAGTAATAACTAATTTGCAAATTGTATCGAACGTTCAGAACGTATTCTTATTAGAAATTATTTTTTCAGAGTCGAGCTCGTATTCCAAAACGTCGACCACAATCTCGAGAAGCTCGTCAGATAGCTATTCGAAATAGCGGCATCGATTTCGATATAGTCGATGCATCTGGTTCTCCTACGCGTGAGCAGCCTCAAATCACCAACGGTCAGTCACAGCCGGATCAAGGTGTCGGTTCCTTGGCGCCACCGAAACAACACGACGATCGTTCGGAATTGAGTTTGTCAAAAAATACAACGACAAATTTACTCTCGCCGTCAACGGACGAGGAAGATCTCTTTGATGTACCACCAGAACTACCGGAAGATCCGAGTGTCAAAGAAGATACTTTATTCGATAAAGGTCCCGTGTTGTCGCCAGTTACGGAGAGAAAAAAGATTGATACGAATGAAACGAAAATTGAAAAGAAAAAAGAAACACCAGCCGATGAGAAAAAAGAGGAACAACCAATTGATCCTTTGAGAAATGACAAACGTGATCCCATAGAGGATCATTCCTCTTTGTTCGCGTTCGTTACAAAAACGCCGTCACCTCAGGAAAACAAAAGTAAGTAAATGTTTGTTCATTTTAAGGTATTATATCGGTAAAAATGAATTTTATACGTTTCTCGTGAAATTCGGAGAGAGGGTGGTTTTCATCAGTAAAAATATGCTCTCCGAATTTGAAGAAAATCGACCGTATCATTCACGAGATAAATTTATTCGATGAATCGGTGTAAACATCTTTTCAAAATAATTTTCATAAAAATTCATATAAAAATTTATTTTAACAGATTTACTGCCAAATGATGATGATAGCCTGTTCAAAGGGACATCTAAAAATTCCAAAGTTGCAGATCAAAAGTTCAAGCCAACTCTGAATTTATTTGAAGATGACGATGCGAGTGGCAGCGATCTTTTCTCAACAAGCAAAACGAAACTGAAAAAACCTTTGAAAGATATGAAAATCGATTTATTCGAAGATACTAGCACTGATGATAATGATGATCTTTTTGGTGCTTCAAAGAAAAATGCAGAAGAGAAGAAAACTCCTCAGAAAGAAGCTTCGCAGGATGTAAAACCAAAAACAGCTGAAGATAAAACTGAAGATAGACCTAAAGAAACAAATAAAAAGGATATTTTTGAAACGTCGAGTGACGAGGATGATATATTTGCAAAAAGTAAAAAGGTTTTACCAAAAAGAAATACTCTGTTTGACGAGATTGCCGACTTTGACGATGATGAAGATCTTTTTGGAAAACCTAAGTCATCCGCTGGTGCAAGTGATTCTAAAACGTCGACAAGCGACAAAAGTACTGTAAGAAGAATAGTAAAAAAAGATCTTAGTAGAACAGTCGAAAATGATCCCTTGAGTTTACTGCAAGATGAATAGTTAATTTTGTATACCATTTACGTGAATTTTATTTAAGACTGTTATTCATATATACAAGATGATGAATGTCATCGTCGTTCGAAAAATACATCGAATTTTTAGTAGTTTATTGAAAACGTGTGTTGCGCATATTAATTTCAGTTTTTGCTCATAGTTCAGCAAAAATGTACAGTTTTTAGAAAAATGTGATATTCTAGATTTTCGAAACATTAAAAGTTTTTGAAAAACAAAAAAATTTAATGATTGGCAAATTCACAATGAATTATTATACAATGAATTTAATTTTTGTTATTTTATTATTTAATCTTGTCAAAATATTCGTTTTATTAAATTGTTAATTATAATAACCTAATGAACTGAGAACTCGATATATTTATCGCAGTTAATTACCGTATTAAATATTTCGATCTTTGCGGTCGATCGTATTGTGAGATATTGTAAAGCAATGTATGAAAATATTTTTCATCTTATACTAATGAAGCGTCATCGATATTTTTATTTTATATTTTTTGTATGTACAGAAATAAATGTTATTAATCATGTACATTTAATGGAATGTTTCTAAAAATAGCGCAGGGCGCTGATTTTTTCTAATGTACCATACGTTTTATTGTATTAACCACATAAAAGTTTCATGCTTTGCATATAATATGTAAATCGATGAATAAATTTGTGTTTTCTTATGAGGTCCGATTTTATCTCGCTACATAGAAATATATTTCCGACAGTTTTTTTAGCAAGTTTGGAAGAAGAAATGAAAATTCATGAACTTGACCATTACTGTAATTAATTATGTACCAAAAAAATAACAATGTAATTTTGAATTATGTGAAGGTAAACTGGGAATTATTAGATACATCGTCGAAAAATTGTAGATAGAAGTACGGACCAATTTTCATAAATAACTCATACGTGTTATGCATATTAAGATATAGAAATTGCAGTAAGAGAAGTTATGAAATCATCATGAATATTTTAATTACTAGAATGTGTTCTTAAAAATAGAATTCATAAAAAAAATGGATCGATTTTTAATTTATTTATTCCTTTCATGATACTTTAATTTAAAGGGCTTGACAAAAATAGTTTTTGTTTTTTGAATAATTTCTTGACCTCTTTTTTTGAATGCTTTCGATGCTTGGTTAAATTGAGATGAATTATAATTCAAAGAAAATTCATCGTTGGATTATTCCAAACTATTTATAAGAAATATGTAGCAGACCATTGTTACGTCATAATCTTTTCCATGATAACGCAGCGAATAACGAGAGAATTCCAATCGATGAACTCCTTCCTTGACGATCAAACAGCTTGGAATAAAATAGACATCATTCGCATTAAGTTATTTTATTCACAGGTACAATTAAGCGTTCGATGATTGTGTTTCCGCTCTCGTCAATTACTTCTTATTTTTTCGTTTTTTCGTTTTTTTCTTTTTTTCGTCAATCGTGGACGCATGGAACGGAACATTAGGCGACGAGCACGTTAATGAGCCCAGTTGAAGCGTGGCCGTCATCGCAAGCACATCGATTTCGTTTCAGTGCGTGCGAGAGTGTGTACGACGTCGTGTCCACCGTCGCGAGAGAGCCTCGATACCGATTTCGTCACCCGAGAAAAACCAACCGATCGAATTTTTTCGTTTAAATAAAAAACAGGACAGAAAAAAGTCAAATCTCAACATTATCGAATTCAAAAAGCTCACCAAGTTCAGCTTTGGAAGATACAAAAAAAGAAGAAAAAGAAGAAGAAGAAGAAAACCAACAAAGACAGCAGCAGCATCAAGTCATGGATACGTTTAAGGCGACGCCGTTCAACAGCCAGTGCTACATGAGCGACATGCTCGACATGAGCGCCGACAGGGACGAGGAGATCAGCGAGCTCGAGGGCAAGGACACGGGCGTCAGCGAGGTCACGGAATTTTTCAACGGTCTCAATGTCCTCGTCACCGGCGGTACTGGTTTTCTCGGCAAGCTCATGATCGAAAAATTACTGCGGTAAGCATCATCGTGCGGGCTACTCGATCAAATCGGCGCACGGCTTTATTATTTTGCGTGGTTGCATGTGTGTCTGTGTGTCATATGTTTTCGATCGCTTTCTGCAGACGTGACACATTGTTCGATGCGCACGTCGATGGTCGCGAGCCGACGAATACACATCGTTGGCTCGTTCACGCGCACCCGATTTGTGTAATAACATGCAATACCTCTCGTTACGATCGGTCGGTCTACGTAAGCACACGTGCGCGCCGCGATCAGCTTTAATTCATGCGTATATTTACAATATAAAACTAGCCCCGCGCGACTGTTAAAGTTTTCCAGAAAAAGCGAGAATCGGACTCCTTCTTCTTTTCTTTTCGTTCAGTCAACTCGAAGCGATGCATGTAATAATACATCGTATAAATAAATGTACGCGCGTCGATTAATTAAGCCACACGCCGCGGCATCGGTGTCTCTCTCTCTCTTTTGCTTTTCCTCACTTTTGCGCGCGGACTCGCGAGTCGATGATCCGTCGAGACTCGCCGTCGGGGTATTTTTATATGTAAAGTACACACACGACACAACAACGGGCCTCATTATCTAATTGAATATGCAATAATTCATAGAGAGTCAAGCGCGTGCGTGTCTCTGTTCGCGCGGCCCGCCGGCAGCAGCAGCAGCAGCAGCGAGAGGGGAAAAAAAGAAGACATTTTTGCAACTGGTATACATGTAGAGTAGCGGAAACATTTATGGCGTGCGCAATGACTTTGACAAAATTCAGTCTTTCTCGATATTACAATATAGATTTCTCTATTGTTGTGTGTTATTGGCCTATGACAATGTGTACAAAAAGCTCCGGTCACGCGCTGAAAACGAGCCGTATACGATATGCAGATTTATGCACGATATATGGTTATTCGGGGAGGAGCCGCTGGTACGAACTGGAAACGAAAAAAAAAATGGTAATGAAAAATGTATGAACTTGATTGATTTTATGCGCAGAACGTGTCCGGATATGGGAAAATTGTACATGCTCATGAGGCCGAAGAAGGGAAAAACCTCGGAGGAAAGATTCAAAGAGGAGTTCAACGACGCCGTAAGTATATGGATTCGATATGCGTATAGATCTAATCGAGTAGAAAGAAAAAAGGAAACGCGCGATATGCTAATTTTACGATACGATTGCTCGCGATCATCAGGTATACGAGAGACTTCACAAAGAGGTGCCGGACTTCTTGAACAAAATCGAGCTGATCGAGGGCGACACGAGCAAGGACGATCTCGCCATGACGGCGGAAAATCGCGCGAAGCTCGTCGAGAACGTCAACGTCGTGCTGAACGGGGCGGCGACGGTGCGCTTCGACGAGTCGCTGCGAAAGGCCGTGGACATCAACGTGCGCGGCCCCAGGGCCATGATGAAGCTCGCCAAAGAGATCAAGCATCTCAGGGCGATGGTGCACATCTCGACGGCCTTCTCGCACTGCGTGCGAAGCGAGATCGACGAGCAATTTTACGAGCCTCCCATGGATCCGGAGAAGGCGCTGGCCCTCGTCGACATGCTGAGCGACGACGTGCTCAAACACATGACGGCCAAGTGAGCAATTACAATTCGAGCCATTGGGCTATATAAATTTTCCCCTATCTAAAAAAAAAAAACGATCCATTATTTTTGTACGCGACAGATTGCTCGGTGACATACCCAACACGTACGCGTTCTCCAAGGCGCTGGGCGAGGAAGTGGTGCGTCGCGCCAGTCCCGGTCTGCCCATCTGCGTGGTCAGGCCGTCGATCATGATCGCCACGGCCAAGGAGCCCGTGGCGGGCTGGATCAACAATTTTTACGGGCCCACGGGGGTGGTGATGGGCGCCGGCCTCGGGCTGCTGCGCAGCATGCACTGCAACGCCGAGAAGATCGCCGACATCATACCGGCCGATTACGTGGTCAACACCATCCTCGTAGCGGCTTACGACTGCGCCAAGAGCTGGTGAGGGCATCTCGAGCGGAGACGAGAGTGACGATCGACGACGGGGAAAGGCAATAATTCACACGACATAATTCGTTTCAGGGAGGAGGAGCATCGGAAGGGTCCGGAAAAGGTCGAGAACAAGGAGCCACTGATCTACAACGCCGTGTCGTCGTGCCAGAAGCCCATCGACTGGGGCACGTTCACGTCGGCCAACGAGAAGTTCGCCATGAAGATACCCAGCGACAAGATACTCTGGTACTACATGTTCATGTTGAACAGCTCGCTGTGGTTTCACAACGTCTGCTGCTTCCTGCTGCACACGGTGCCCGCCTGCCTGGTCGATTGTCTGGCCATTATGACGGGTCGCGAGCCACAGTCAGTTCTGGTTTTTTTTCTCTCTCTCTCATCTCATACACGAACGCCCCCGGTAACATGTACATTTCAATAATTTCTCGCTTCAGATTGGGCAAGGCCTACAAAAAGATCCACAAGTTCAGCCACGTGATATCGTACTTCTCGACGCAGCAGTGGCTGTTCCACAATCGCAACGTCATGGCCCTGTGGAAACGCACGAGTCCCGTCGATCGCAACAAGTTCTACTTCAACATCGAGAACCTCGACTGGATGGATTACTTTTACTATCACGTGCGGGGCCTGCGCAAGTACATACTCGAGGACCCGATCGAGACCGTCGAGCACGGGAAGAAGAGATTCTTCCGGTGGGTAGTCATGTTTTTTCCCCTTCCTACAGTTTGACACGCATACTTACACTGAGAAAAGTTTATAGGAAATTTTCGAATAATATTTAACAAAAATTACAATAGGAATGGTAATAGAAATTATATTTTCAGTGAAAAACTGCTGTCTTAAATATCGAAACTCGTAATGTTATTTTAATTGATCGCCAAATTGCCAGCAGATGGCATACATGGATTTTTAGCAAAACTCGCAAGCGTTAAGATCTTTTCAGGAATTTATATTATGAGACGACTCTATAGACTTGCCATTATAGTTGGATATTTAAATGATTTTTAAATTAATTATAAATTTATCTTAGTGTACGATCGTTTGATTTAATTTTTCTTTTCTTTTTGTCCCGCAGGTTGAAAGTTGCTCATTACACCCTCGTGACGATTATTTCTACGTTATTCTTTTATGCAGTGTATCGTTTATTCGACACCATGTATTCTTGGCTACCTAATTTTGATTAAAACAGTGACTTAGTGCCTTATTGTATCAATGCATTTTACATAACTTTCGGCGTGAAAGACATTGACCTTTACGATGATCATCGACGAAGCGAGACCCTTCACCGCCGCGAAGCAAATATAGACCAATGGACAGTTTTTAGTGTAAAATTAAAACTTCTAATTTTAATGATAATTATTAAGTTTGTGAAGGCTAAACATCGTCCTAAATAATTGTTACAAGAATAAAATGTGTAAAAAAAATATGCATGTAAATTATAAATAATTTATTTGTAAAAAGATGTATCAAATAAAATAATATTTAACTTGAAAAATTCATTCATTTCTGAAACAAGATGAGCCTGAATTACGAAGAACGAGACGTTTTGGAGTACAACGTATTGCCTGGAACTCAGGCGCTCATGCGTGAGTCCGAGCAGCTTCGCGTTATACGGTTTGTCAAGTAGTACCGCTGGACTTTTTTTTCTCCCACCCATCAATTATTCATTCGGAAATGCTCCGAGACGTATATTTGTATATACATCAAGTCGTTTTACACAATCATTGCCATTGACTTGGAAAAACGGCGCACACGAGCGATTGCCATAATTTATTTACTCTCGTTATAATAAGGTTACATATATACCCGAAGCGAAATAAAAAAAATCGCCTCACAATCAAAGTCTTATCTATGCTTCATCGATATCCACGAAACTTCCTGTTATTGCAGCATTGTAATATATAACGCCACTTCCCTTTTGATCTTTCTCTCTCTCTTTCTCGAAGAAAAAGAGAAAAAGATAAAAAATCTGCTCGCATGTGTATAGGTACAACCCACCCACCCACCGAAGTAACAAACAAACGTACTTATCGAGTTCAGCAGGCTCTAATTTATCGCGTTTTGCTACCCATGAGTGTGTATGTGTGTGTGCGAGCATATGCATATACGCACACAGACGACTTATACTTACTCCGAACTAAATCAGTGTTCACCGTGTGCGATTCTAATTAAAAAGCCGCTGTGTATAAGTACCGTAGGAATAATTGACTCTCTCGCTCTCTGGTTCTCTCTCTCTCTCTCTCGGTCTTTCGCGATTTTTTCAAACTCCGCGGCCGCGTATGTGTGTATACGTATAAAAGGTAGGTTACAGCAGCCACGCCTTTGGTCGAGGGCATGATGTGTAATATGTGTGTATGTATATCGTAGTGTACGTATGATACATACAAAGACGCCCACGCATCGACGTGTGCTGAACTCGCGAGTAGACATACACACACTCACAAATGCACGTATTGATTAAACGTTGGTGTGTATATTTATAAGTACGCACTCGAGTGCGGCCGATAGTCTTTGGGACTCAAATGTGAATATGTAGACCGATAACAAACCTTGCATAGAATAGGACAAGAAGGCGATTCGAAGAGATAACATGCACAGCGCAAAAGTATATGGAAAGAGAAGAAAGGGAGGACCAAAGGGTCGACAGTGCGGCGCTCGATCTTCGATGGTATTGTTTCATTTTTTTCCGATTTTTTCTCCTGCACAACAGATAGAGAGAGGAAGAGAGGTCATCTCCGAGTGAAAACACCGGTACATACGATCGATGAATCATTGCCGTATGCGCGAGAGCTCTCTGTCCTCCCCGAGAGTACTCTTGAAACTCTTGAAAGTATAATCGGGAAAAATTATTGACGATCTCCTTAATTCGTCGTAAACGTTAACTTTGGAATTTTATCGATCGCGTCAAAGATCTACCAAAAAGTCGATGTTTAATGGCTGCGGTGTGGCGCGCGAGAGCTAACATTGAAAATTAGCCGTGCACTCGAGTATATAGTAACCATTTTATAATTAGCTTATATAGTTTTCTTCATAGGCGGGAAGGGGAAAAATCGTTATTATTATCATGATACTTTACGGCGGATTATTACGATAAATGTTTAATTTACGCAGCGGCGTTGTGCGCGAGCATCGAGTCGGCCGGGGCATCCATATAATATAATATCGCGAAATAAACGTCCACGAGCAGATCGGTACGAGACTACTCGGTGGGGCTCTCGTTAAGGCGGCTTGATTTACAATTGAAACTTTTAAGCAACTTCTCGTCTTTCTCGCGACACAGCCGCGATGTTATTTTAATATGCGCCATACGTTTATGCGCGTATATTTTTAATTGAAATTAATTTTATTGACTTTTTACCTTTTTTTGTTCCCCTCAGTCGTACATGCTAAATGTCTTGTCCCCTGCGCTAATTGTAAGTGTTTTTAATAAGCTTACAAAGAGAGAGAGAGAGAGAGAGAGAGAGAGAGAGATGCACGTATTTAAGCGTAGGCATACATTTCGAATATCGTCACGAAATCGTATAAAACAGTAAATTTTAAGTAAACAAATAAATTATTCAATGCCATCGTGTTCACGAGTAAGCAATATAAAGTTAAAAGTAAAAAAAAAAATACCGATTTTATCATTGACTGGATGTATTTTGGATTTTGAAACCGATTCCAATTGGATTTGATCCTCGGAATGGGTACATCGATTGCGTTGCATAACGATGGAATGCAACGTATAATAAACTTGACAAAATCTACCAAGTACGCGAGGATCAATTTCTAATTTGAGCTTGGAAACTCAATCATCGACGCGATATCGTCTTCTTTTTTGACTCGCAATATATGAAGGTATATTATATTATATACGTCACGGAGTCTCAAAAGTTTATGACTTTTTTACAGCCCGCGAGAAGGCCACCGCTTCCGCGTGCGGTATTTCTTTTTTCTTTTTTTTTTTAAATGCCAAAAAGAGATGCCTTGGCCAAGGTTGCGCATTCCCATTAACGAGACGACATCCTCGCGTTACAGGCACGATGATTCTCAATCGAGACCAACTTTGTTCTTTTTTTTTCTTAAATACATACGAGTCACAGTCAATTATTTGTCACACACGTCCCTTTTCTAGTGTGAGTCGTCCTCTTCGAGCTCGCACGTCACTGATGCGCTGCGCGTCCATCAGAGGTAAAAATCACGAGCGATCTCTGCGACGTATGCAGCCGTATGTGTATGTGTGTGTCCCTGCAGCGTAACGTTTTATAAACGCCGAGCGAGCGAGAGACGTGCGCCCGTCTCGCGGCTTCGTCCCCCGCGTGATAAATCGCTTATCTTTAATCAATCATAGGCGATTTATTTACTTGCGACCTTTTTCAGATGTGTCACGGGCGGCGGCGGCAGCAACGGCATCGGCGCACGAGTGAATGAGTGAGAAAAATCGAAAACCGGTCGTGCGCTCGGCTCATCATCCACTTGGGTGTCGGACGCTTCGTATTAAATATACATACGCGAGGTGTTGAAAACGAAAAAAAAAGAAAGAAAAAAAAAGCGGAGTCGTATGCATTGGGCGTGGGTATGTATCTTGGATCGCGGCCACCGATCATAAATTGCGCAACGAAGCCTGAAAAAGAGAGAACTCGCGATAATCAGTCCCGTCGATGTGTGTGTCTGTGTGTGCGCAATTGCAACGATTATAAGGTAATTCCTTTATATTATTGTCACGACGACGTGATAAAAATAAAACTCATGCAGTTCGCGAGGGTTTTGTGTGTTGTGGGTGAGACACGTACCTGTACATACGTAACGATCACCGCCGGTGCCGCGCGAGCTTACGGAGGTATAAAAATAAATACCCGAACGTAATAAATTCCGCTCGAGTATTATGATCGTCTACTTTCGCCGCGACGTCATTTAAAAAAAAGACACTCGAGAAAGAAAAAAAAGGTCGGCATATAATAAATGAAAATTACAACCCTTCGGGTTTAATGCTCTACTCTCGTGTATAACACTCATACACAGGCGAGCCAGTTCGAGGTTACATTAAATCCACTTTTGCTCTCGCTCGGAAAATCTTTGGCAGAAGAGTATTAAAAAATAAAAAAAATAAAAATGAGACCGAGTGCAAAACGGCTCGTTTGGCCAAAAAAAGGACTCGTTACGTGTACAGACCTTGTAATGTATACGCGTGCTCTCATAGATACGAAGGACCACTTTCAGTGGTCAGTGCGGACGCGACCTTTTTTCGGCCGCGCACGCCAACTTGGCCCACCTGTAAAACGATGCGAGAGCGAGCAAAAGAGAGAGAGACGCTTTGGGAGCGCAATTGCATTTTACGATAACTCGAGAAGCACGAGAAAGAGAGAGAGAGAGAGAGATGAAGGCGCACAGAGAATCGGAGAGAGAGAGAGAGAGAGTAAAGAAAGTTGAGCGCTTGTCTCGTTATATACATAATGCAAAAGTCAAATTGCAGGTCACTTTTTTCCTTCTCTCTCTCTCTTTCTCTCTTTCTCTCAACGGTGTGTGCACACAGAAGAAATTGATGCCCTTTTATAAATATACGAGGTATTAATTGCAAAGTACGCGCACTCACACACAGAAACGCGAGGATGTCGTAAAAATTGAATCATTCATCGCTTCGGGGGTATAGTTGGACCGTAGCGCACGTGTATGTATGATATAAAAGTGCCCGGAAAAAGAAGAGCTCGAAATTATTATGATTGTAGGCTTTGATACGTCTCGCGCGCTCGTCGGCGTTTGTGTATATTGCGATATTGGGGCTTCGCGCACGAGCCGCCGCCGCGAATTGTTTCAAGAAAACAAATAAGTCGGGGGCCAGGCGTAATTTCTTTAAAATTATTCTGTGTGTGTGTGTGTGTGTGTGTGTGTGTGTGTGTGTGTGTGTGTGATATGGTTTCATCTGTATCGATATGACCAATAATGAGGCGCGCGCGAAATATAATCGTTACCACTCGTAAAAAGTCGAATCGCCCGCTGACTCGAGTTTACATTTTTTTTACGACGCACACCGAGATTTTAAACTTTGTGTTTCCCACGAAATAGTCTCGAAAGCCGGGCTTTTAGCGGTAAATAATTTAGAAAAAAAGGCAGTGAACTTGCCTTAAAGGGATATGGAAGCCAATCCAAAAATTAAATTTACAATCCAGTGTTTTCTGGAACTTCGACCAAATACTTCTCTAAAAGATCTATGACGACCTTCATTTTGGTGTTTCGTACGATTTTCTATAAGATTTGTATTTTTGATTTGTGCACTGGTAACCATGGTTTCTATACGGTGTCTTGGTAATGAATATACCATATTTGATATTATTTACTCCTAATGGTCGTAAGTAATTATCAAAAGAAAACATTTTTTTGAACTTTATTTAATTGAATAATATGGAAAATATGCAACATTAAATAACACTTAACATTAAAACTAACTTAGATAGATTAAAACTAACTGAAAATATGCTAATATACCTCAAAATGAATTGTTGCTTGTCGAAAGCAAAATGACAACAAAATGACGAATACTAAGTTGGTTAATGATAAACATTTTTTTCATTAATTTCACATAGAGAATAAAATAACTTCTCAGCATACATCGACGCCTCTTACGAAAAGTAGGAAGTTTACATTTAAGTTAACACATAAACTTCCTACTTTTTGTCAGAAGCGTCTACATAATCTTGCAACTTTTTTGAAAATTTTTTAGCCCTTCATTGAATTTTTATTACTGTCCTCGTGACTTTGCTTTGCATAAACCGCCAAGCAAATATTATATAAATCTTTATTCTCAAGTGCACCGAAGATCATTTCACAGCAGAGAATCGGTAGCCGTTGGTGTATCAGCACCATGAAAGACTCCAGGGCCCAATCCCAGAAAAATCGTCGTAGCAGTAGCGGGCCTACCATTTTATAAATCAGCTCGCAAACATTTTCGGGTAAAGACTTCAATGAGTAGCAAAAGTTAGCAAATTAAAAAATATGAATCTCAGTTTTACCGATTTATAGGGTCTTGACTGGATGAGATCGTACAGCGACCGATTCTGTATTAACAAATTATCATCAAAATTCGACGGAATGTCGGACAATCCGTGCTTAGTAGTAAAAGCCATGATTGTCAGGGCGTCACTGTGGGTCAGTTCGTATCCTCTAATCTCTAGGTTCCGAATGACGCTAACAATGTTAACAATTATTTCAAATTTCGACCATCAAATATGTGTAATTTCCCTTGATTTATGTGATTAATACGACTCGAATTGCTCGTCAAATTCACTCTCGGTGAAAAAAACAAAGTTAGACAGATCAGCACCACGATTCAAGAGTAAATTGATAGCTTTTAGCCAGAGATTCGCCACAGCTAACCGAAGCGGAGTCCGACCCTTCCCGTCTTGGACATTGATTTGTACTACCTTATACATTATTCTTTGGTGATCTAGAAAAACTTTATTATGCAGTCTTCATCGTGATTTTTAATACAAATACAGTGCAGTGGAGTCGATCCCTCCACGTCAGCCGCATTTGGGTCGGGGCCTCTTATCAGCAGTAATTCCATATCCTTTTTGTGTCCGTAGTACGACCCATAAAGTAACGGTGTCTTACCTAAATTGTCGACTTGCACTATCTGATATTTATCGCCAATAATCTTAAGGAATACCTCCGCCAAGTCACCGTGATGATCGTCAACTCCCATAATATCTACATCTCTCATGCAGATGGGGTGCAAAGATGTAAGTCTATCTTTGTTGGTTAGTTTCGGATTCCCACCGTTTCTCAGCAGTAATTTTGCTACCCTCCAGTGTCTGTACTGTAAAGCCACGTGTAGTGAAGAATGGCCTGTTTCTAGCCAGAGACAAATGAGATCTTGTCCGAGTAATTAAACAAAATGTGTGTAAAATCATTGATTTCGAATAGTGCGAGCGGTTGTCTGCCTAATGCGAGAAAAAGACACACGGATAAAATTTTCAAAATTCATCACTTTTTCAACCAAAAATGAATCTTCAATCATTTTTGGAACATTGAAGAATTCGGAACAGAACGTCTATCCTCAATGACTTTCCATGCGACCAGACTGCTCCATTTCATTCTATTCGGTATCGTATTCTAATGGACAAAACATATCTACAGATATAACAGCTTCTCACGTTGCTCTCCTTACGTCACTAGTCCCATTTTCTCCCCACTATTTTTCCCACTCCAATGTCTCTTTTACTACTTTCACCTCTCACTAAAAAGAGGAACAGCTGACTACGCCGGCATTCGAACGTAAGCGGCGAAGCGTCACGGATGCATCAGTACTCATTTTTATTAAAACGTTAAAGTGTTATTAGCCTGCGAGTGCCTATTTTTTAAAAAATTTTTGAAGTAAGAATATTTGTAACAGATTATGCAAATATTTCGAAGAAATTTACAGTGACTTACGTGGAATCAGTACAGTAACACACACGAATACTCGTAACACCCATCGACACATAGACACGGAACTTTTATTTATAGCAAATAAAACCAATATCGACAAGAAATTTACAGTGATACATGTGAAAACTGAATAGTAATTATTTGTAATAATTATTTACTATACTGCAGAACCAGATTTGCAGCTTGGAAAAAGATATACAGTGTTACACGTGGTGACATAACCTTAAAGATTTACTCTTCTGCTTAAACTGTAAAAATGCTTCCGATATACAAACAAAACATCACGGAAGTATGGAGCTACAATCTGATCCAGGCTTTTAAGGATATCAAAGATCAAATTAAAAATACATCATTCGTGGCGTTTGATAGCGAATTTCCAGGTACATTATTACCCAGAACAAGAGAAATCGATGAATGGACCTATATCAACGCTACAGTTCCATATACAAATCCAATACAGTTCGGATTATCATTTTACGGAGAGTTTGGAAGCAAAATTATACCCATTAACACGTGGCAAATAAACTTTAAATTCAACGAAGATACGGACAAGGCGAATCCAGAAGGTATAGAATTTCTAAAGCAGCACGGATTTGATTTCAATCGTCACAAACATGAAGGAGTGAGTCACGAGGAATTTAGGAAACTTCTCGTTGACACTGGAATCTTTGCATCAAATAATATTACATGGGTGACATTCTACGGTAATTTCGACATTGCCTATCTACTCAAATTGTGTGCGAATCGATGGTTTGATGATGCCCAGAGTTTTTTAGCAACGGTGTCAGAGTACTTTCCATCGACAATTGATGTTAAAGTACTGATCGAAAAAAATTATATTAGAGTTCGATCGAAAGGGCTTTTAAAACTAGCCAGTGAACTGAGGATTGAAGTGAACAATAATGAACTGGCACACCATGCAGGCTTTGACGCCCAGGTCACTTTTGCGTGCTTCAATTATATTTTTAACTTTTATAATACAATGCCATCAGAGTTTAACGGAAAATTTTTGTATTTAAATATTCGATAATTTAACATGTTCATGTATTTAAATTTTGGCTTCTCATAATTACTGGGTAAAATAGCAATCTGAGTGAAATGTATGTTGTGACCTTAGGTTCAATTTAAACAATTGATACGCCTTCTGAGCCTAGGGTTTACCCCAATAGCTCAGAGTTCTATTGTTCGGAAAAAGATTAGGTTAATGCGAAACCACTTATTACAGAAGTGCTGAAGGACCTCTGTAATACGTGGCGAGCTTTAATTACAATGGTGCTGAAGGACCTTTGCAATTATTTGGGCAGAAACCTTAACGTAAAGGTGCTGAAGGACCTTTACGATAAGGAGAAGAATTTATTGCGAAAGTGCTGAGGGACCTTGGCAATTTGTTAAAAGTAGATTTTATTGTAGAAGTACTGAGGGACCTCTACAATATTTTATAGATCTTGTTACAAAAGTGCTGAAGGACCTTTGTAACAAATAGAAAAAGATTCTATTGTAATGGTGCTGAAGGACCTTTACAATATTTTGTTACAAAAGTGCTGAAGGACCTTTGTAACAAACGAAAGTAGTAAATAGTAGTTAGTAAGACTAGGATAACTCGGGTAAAAATGATTGTATAGGCTTTAAATAATGTTCAAATCTCATCAGCCTACGCAACGCCCGAGTCAAACGAGTCTGTGTAAGTTACTTTAGTAACTAGATCTAGTAAGTAACTAAATCTAGCGAACTTTACTCAAAACTAGGCGGTGAGACCATTGGTACTGAGGACCTATGCTGCTCGTTAGTCTGCCTTGGTTTGACTGAGTATTGAGACTGATTCTTGCTTCCGAGGAGGCCCGTATTTATACGTTTTGTGCGGTGTGCCCAAAAGTGGGGACGAGCAACCGTGATCGTGTTGGACCGTTTGGCGGGCGTTCGTGGCAAACCGACTTTATTTACTTTTATTAAAAACTATTACAATGCAAAATATTAACTTAAAATTATGATACAAAATTGTGCTATGGTGATACAAGTGTTTTATGTTATACAGTGCAGTAGTGAACGACTTGTGTAAAAAGTGACGTTATCCAATAAATAAATAAAGTGCTGTTTATAATAATGTTTTTTGATAGAAGTGTTCTAAATGTATTTTTATATGAATAAGTTGAATGAAATAAAATGATTTAATGAATATTTTAGGCTGTAACATAGTTGTAACTGTTCATAGAAATAGTGGCACATGTTGTATGATGACTCGGCAGTTTCAAGGTTACCTCGAGTCATGCATAATTAATACACTCAATTTGTATATTATAACTTATGATTTAAAGTCTGTACCTATTTAACATAAAAATACAAGTATCCTAATAAAACATCGCTAGGTGTTATAATTGTTTTGTTCATTATTTAAATAAAATAAAAGTTCGCCATGTGAATGCACATGGTGATATTTAAGTTCCAAATTTAATTATTAATATAAATGTTTGTAGTTTTATTTTTATATTTTCTGATAGCTTGTTTTATTTAGCGTTGTTTAATTTTATTGTTATGTACTTATTATTAATTTTAATATTATTGGTAAAAGAGTAAAACCGATGGTAATTATGGTAAGGTAGATTATGATAATGTAGTATGGTAAAGAATGGTAAAGAATGGTAAGACAACGGTACCGGTGCAGGTATAGCTGTTATGATTGGGACGGTGCGTTGCCGCCTTATTTAAAAAGTAGACGTAGCTAGCTGTGTAGGACGTCACAATGTAGAAAAAAACAAAAAAACCAAAAAAAAAAAAATGTATATGATGTGTCAAGTTACTATGAAATAAAACAATGTATAACTGATAAAATAAATATTTTGACTATCACTTTATTCAATATTACAACAATGATCTTGGTACCGCCTCTTACACGAGTGCATTGCTCAAGCTAAATCTCTACATTATATGCCAGCGGCCCGAAAGTAGCATTTCATAGCCACTGCGCTAAACGGGATATTGCTATTTTCGGGCCCGGGGTATGTGATAGTATATTATTCAGAGAAAAAGAGCATGATTACTGGTAGTATGAGAATCGTCCAAAAGTTGGGCAAGGTAGAAAATCGACTTCGAAAAAAACATTTAATCAAATAATCACGTTTTTTTAACATTGGAAAATAATCGAGTATTATGTTTATTCGTCGCAAAAATAGCACGGAATTCTGAAAGAGCATACCGAAAAAGCCCTGGATATGGATTTTCAAGAAAAAATTTTAACTTTATTATATTTTAGAATGGAGAATTCATGAACAAAATTCCACTTTTGCGTGTTAATGGGTTAAATATCAACTTATATTAGGGCAAAGCCACGTCAAGCGGGATATGTTAAAAAATGCATTTGAAACTAAGCATGGGCTCTTAAAAAGTACACTGAAAAATGAAAATCTTGAAAATTTTAGCTCTCCGGGTTCATCTTTTGTGGATCTATAGGGGCTCAAAGTTGGATTTTCATTTTTCAATTTTTATTCTGTTTTTTGTGATGAGTATGAAAAAATGTTTGAAACATGATTTTTTATGTAAAATTTGATGATGAATTCAAATTTGTTATTAAAAATTATATTCATTACCTAATAATGCATTAAAATCAAAAATAGCATTAAAGTAAAGCATAAAGGTGTTCCTATCCATCGATTTGGCCAGAATTGGAATATATTCATTGATACATCAAAATACAATGTTAAATCAATTTTGCCTAAAAAAGTAAAAAAAAAAATTGGAAAAATATAAATCCAATTTCTCCTTTAGTGTACATACTTAGTTTCAGCTGCATTTTTTGGCATATTAATGTTCGACGTGGCTTTACCCATTTTCTTGTAACAACTCACAATTGCTGGAATACCTAACGTATTACATTTTTAAACGTTGTTTAACCTTAAAACGTTTGGAAAAATATTCATTTTGTCGGTCATTATCAAAAACGATTGAGTCGTTATTCTTTTTCTTCGACGTCGAACGAGATAATCATTTCGAACAGCAAGCACCATTCGAACATATTCGATTCAACGAATGAAGATAGAACTGAAGGGTTCAAATCGTTGCGGCCGAAACAATCTCGTATCGAAAGAAAATCGCGGTCGACGGTTGTTCGAATCTATTGATTACAAATCGACGAATCGTCGAACTCCTGTTGCATTGTTACATATTATACAATCCTTTGCAACTCGTCAAGTTTATACACATATAATGTCATAGGTAATGATCGTATGAACATTTAGAATGTAGAATTTAGAATTTGGAAAGAACATTGGTAGGGTAAAGAATAGTTTGAAAAAAAACCCGTTGACTTGTCGAACAGCCACGCGCAGGTTAAAAATACGCAGTTTCTTCTTTGAATATTTGCAATACACAAACGAGCGCACACGCGATGCCTCCTCTTCTGGGACAAACGTCGATCCTCGCGCTCTCCTCTCTCACTCTATAATCTCTCTAGCTCGCGCACCACCTCCTAGCAGCTTCAATATGTACAGCCTCTTCCGCGCTGCGTTCTCCTCTCCCTCGGCCAGTGCAGTGCAGCATGCATGCACAGGATCCCCGAATGCATTCGTGTAATAAGCTGCCAGAGAGAATCGGCAGAACGCGCGCCAACTCGTGTGTCTATGTGCATGTGCATTTTTATAGCTATATATGATACACGTATTCGCTCAAGAGAGAAAGAGAGACGCAAGTATATATCTGCACACCGGAGCGCACACTAGAGCCCCCTCCGCGCCTTGTCCAGCAGCAGCGAGCAAAAGTATATTTCTCACTATAGAGTGCACCACGCTGCTGCTTTTGCGGTGTACTACTACCACTACTACTAGTCTACTACTACTACTCCGTTCGTTCCACCACCGCCGCCACCGCCACCACCACCGCCGTTTTCTGCACTGTGTCCGTGCAGCAGCGCTCTTGTATGTGTGTGTGTGCATGAGTTTGCTCTCCGTCTGTCTGTCTCTCTCGCTCGCTCACTCACTCTCATCATCAGTGCACGCCCGGCTGCCTACACGAGCGGACGGCGTTCGCGCTCCGTATCCGATATATATATATTCACAGTTATATATGTATACCTCTTGACTACTGCTACTATACGTACACAACGTCAACGTACAGGCAATTGAACGAACAAAGTAGTTTTGTACAACGTTTCAAGTGTATTGCATATAATACTATCCACCAATAAATGCACCTGTCGTCGTCGTCCGTCTCTATCGTCGTCTACAATATATAAATAATAACCTCGTCGACAGTGTCTCTCGGTGTGTATTGTCTCTCTGTGCGTTCTCTCTTTTCTCATTTTTACCTCATCGTCGCATTCGAACACGCTGTGCTGGCAATTACAAACCTTCGTTAAGAACGGCCGTTTGCCTTTTTGCGCTTTTCCGCATCTTCGCTACAGTTCGAAAGCGAGAGCTTTGAAAAAACAAAATTCGAACAAAAAGGAACGACCAACGTACTTTTGCCGTTGTCGGGTAGTTCTGTGTTCTGAATTTGTGTATCGTGCCTGCTGTGTCATCGCTGCCATTTGAATCTTCAGCACTAATTCATCTGGGGTCGTTCGACGTTCGATCATCATCGAAAATTCAACCGTCGCGCGCGTTGCTGTGCCGTCGCCACCGCCGCCGCTGCGTGTGTGCGTGTGATCTTGAGCTAGGTCGAGCGCGCGCAGTTTGCGCGCACACACACACACACACACACACACACACACATATAGATAGAAACACGTTGCGTTCGCCAAAAAAGAACAGCGAAAAATTCGAATAAAACCGTTTTCAGCGCCTCGGCGACATTTGTTTGTTATTCCATCGTGTATGCATATATCGGTCGAGTACGCTCGTGTACGATATATCTGCAGTGCAATATATCGGTGTTTTGCGGACTCCTCTTTTGTCTATTTCGATGAGTCGCGCTGCTCGCCGTTGCCGCCGCCGACTGTGTATTTGAACTTGAAGTGTACATAGCATCAAAGTGTCAGTACGAAATACATATAACAAATGAAAAGAAAAGAAAAGAAGAGCCGTGGCAGAGAATAAATAAAGAAAGAAAAAAAAAAGAAAATAAAAAGTGAGTAAGCTTTTGCAAACAATAACATTGGCTCGCGACACGAATCGACGACCACTGTGTGTTATTACATGCGACAACTCGTCTCTCTCTGTCCGTGTGTGCAGTGCTGCAGTTCGTGTATTATATATACGTACATGTGTGTAAGGCGAGACAGCAGTGATTCAGAGTGACAGTAGAGCATCGTTCCACAATTATTAGTGCTGCAGCACACACACGAGCATACTTTGCGTTACAGTCCTTGTGTGCGTGTGTGTATACGTCGACCGACAAAACTGCGCCGAGTCAGCAAACGACAACAACCAAGAGAGAAAGATATCGAGAATGTGCATAGATATATGCGCGAGCCAAGAATGTGGGTACACACACACACGCACCTCGCATGACAAGTACGCGTGTTAAATAATATACGTGTGCGCATACGTGCGTCGGACAGCGATAAGGCAGCATTATACATTGTGTGTGTGTCTCTGTGTGCATAAAGCGACGAGACGAGAAGAGAAGCAGCAAGTTATATATGTGTGCAACAAAATTTCAAGCAAAGTTCGCGACGATTACCATTGCTACCGTGCATAATATACATGCAGTCAAGGCACTACCACCTTGCCTTTACAACTTACAGTTTCTCGCTCTCTCTGTGCAAGCTCTGCCGAGCAACAACGGTCGTTGACGCCGGATATATCTATACTTTTTGCGTATGCATACATATTTATACACGCGCGTGTGTATGAGCTGCATAAACGTGTGCGTACATAGATAATTGGGAGTTTCGAGAGTGTCTCCTCTCTTGTGCTCCCTTGGGCTTGTTGCCGTCGTGCAGCAGCAACAGCAACAGCAACAGCAACAGAGCCCCAGCAGTGGCGAAGGCGCGCGTGGCTCGCGATCAGCTGATCTTCCGCCGGCGACGACGCGTGTGTCTCGCGCGCGCGCTCGGGGCTTGCCGCCGCCGACGCTGTGCTCTGTGTGTGCAGCGCGCAGAAATTCCGCCAACCTACGCATCGCATGCCAAGACTTTATTATTTCGGGTGGTTACTATACTGCTATATACTGCGCGCCAAGTTCGTGTGCATGACATAACTCTGCGCGCGCTTTCGTTTATATTATTATCTTAAATATATGACATATACTCGGACGCCGTGCTCTTGTGTTTGTTTGTGTGAATTCTGGTGATAAGATTTTTTTGGTGCTCCATTTATGTAATAATTATTATCACGAAGTGGGTGAATTTCTTGCTGAAAGAGTGTTGAAAGAATAAAAAAAATTTAAAAAAAGCATCATTGCGTATATTGAGTTGTTGTTGGTGCATTCGTGTGGTTGAAGGAATAATTTATCTCTCTCTCTCTGTGCGTCGAAGGATTTCGTTGCCTCTGTGAATCACGTGCGTCAATAAAGGATTATCGTGTGTACGTGAAAATAATAAGAAATAAAAAAACGTTCAGCCACGTTACACCGCATCGGAGGAGGCTGCAAGCTCTCGAGTTCCAAGTGAGTAACGCTTTTTCTTCTTCTCGTTCCGATCGTGTCATTATTATAATTATTGTTGTTGTTGTTATTACCTGCCTATTATTAATCGAGAGAAAACTAGCGAACATCGATTCGCGCGATGACAAATGATAATCTGCGTGCGCACACTCGGCCAGCGCGTAAAAATTCATTAATCGCGGATAAGGATTGGCTGCATTGTGGGGACATATGTGTGTTTGCGCATATACTCGTTCGCGCGAGTGCCAATGTACGATATAGCTATATAATAAAGATTATTGTACATATATACGCACGTGCTGCGTTAGAGAGAGCGTAACATTCCAAGTCGACGCGATCGAAACTAATCAATTGTACGACTTTATGATCGATTGTGTCCATTGGCGCATAATAGAATGAAGTATGCACTGAAAAATTTGCTGTTTCTCTCTCTCTCTCTCTCGAACTCTTTCTAAGCTGCTGCTGCTGTGTTCGCGTGTCTAACATATTGAAATTGCCATAAATAATAAAATTTGTATTCGCAGCCGCTACATATGGAAAAGAGACGTTTTAATAATGAAAGCCTCGCGCGCTGTATACCACGCGCTGCCACTGAATTTACGATTCAATCACTCGGCCGCGAGCAAAGCACAACACAGCCTGCTGTATGCGATATACATATATACTGTCGGCGATTCAGAATATAATGAGATATTAAGTTTAGCATCGATCGTCGCTCGCGCTCGCGCCGCGACGCTTCCAATTTTCATTTCGTTTCATTTTATTTTCTATTTTCTATTTCGAATTTTTTTTTCTCCCTCGCGCGTGAAACTCCTCGGCAATTAGATCAACTGCAGAAGCGCGACGACGTCGAAAAGAGCTTGCAGCAGCAAAAGGACGTAAAAAAATAAAATACGTATTCAGGCGAGAACGAAAATTGGAAAAAGAGACGAGAGCTCAGCTCTCGGAATGGAAAGCTGCTTCTGCTGCTGCTACTGCAAGCACGCTAAGACGCATAAATAATGAATGATTACGTGTCGGGCGGGTTTAGGACACGTCGACTGCTCGCTAGACTACCACTACTACCACTGGCTCCTACCTACCTACCTACCTACCCTGCAGTGTCAGTGTGACGTGACACGCGACAACACGCGACGTTGGCAGAGAGGCAGCAGCAGCAGCAGCAGCAGCTATAGAGCTAGAGCATAGCGCAGTAGTACGGGCTGCACAGAGAGTCGTTGAACCGCGTCGCGGCGGCAGCGGAGCGTCGATCGATTTCAGGCAAAACGCGATACGCGGGGCGCACCACCACCGCCACCACTACTATACCCGCGTGTGTCTCCGACCGAGCTGCAAAACGCGAGAAAGCAAAGGGTTAAACGCTCTTGCAGGTGAGGAGAAAGAAAGAAAGAAAGAAAGAAAAAGAAAATAAATGATGGAAATGAGAGAAGTGGAAATTTGATTTGCCTCTAACGTGCCGCAGCGAGTGAGCTTTTTCCTCATTTCTCTCTTTACTTTGAGATTATAATAGATAATACAGTTAGTGAAACGCGAAAAAGTTATCGATCGTGCTTGGTCGCGCTCGCTCGAATGTGTTTATTGAAAACTAGTCGGTATACGGCGCGAAGCTTTGATAATATAAGCTATTGATTATTTTGGAAAAGCAGTTTCACAGCAGCAGCTCCGACGGAGCGGATACTCGATTTTGCACTCGCGCTCCGCGTGCGACTCTCGGCTATAAGTTAATTTCCTCGAATTAGAGATAAATATCGAAACCGCAGCAACTGATTTGCAGCAAATATAATAACGGAATATCGTGTGAATATTTTAAGCGCTGGGCAGAGAGAGAGAGAGAGAGATAGCCAATGAGGCGAAATTACCATGCTAATTCGACGATTAGCGACGTTTGATGTAATTTTTCTTCCTCTTCGTCTTCTTTCTCTATCTATCTCTCTACCTTTTTTTTCATTTCTGCGCGCTGCGTTATACACGCGTGGCATGCAGCAGCGCAGACCTTTCGACGCGCTGACATATTATTGTACTATATATACTGTACGATCGTTGCGAAGGATATGCGAAAACGAAATGTGCATTTGGGCCTCTGTCGAGCGAACGCATATATAAGGCAGTCGTTACTCTCTATGGTACTTTTTTTTTTAACAAAAAAAGAAGAAAAGAAAAAAATGAATCGCTCACATCTGCACGTGCGTGCACACACACACACACACACACACACACACACACACATGGACACACGGGCCAAATGTGAGGTACGAAATACTCGTCCGCGTTCGTTTTATGAATAATAATCGAGCGAGCGAGGACAGAGATTACCTTTCTTTTTTTGCTCCCTCTCTTTTAGTTAGGCTTTTTTTCTTTTTCTTTTTTTTTGGTTATATAGAACGCGTTTCCTTTTATGCTAGATGCCCGTTTGAAACGTATGATAACTTTTACGAAAATTCAGCTGCTGCTGCTGCCGCTGCCAGAGTGCAATTAGCATAATCTTAATCGTCGAGCGTTGTTGTTATTGTTGTTGTTGTTGTTGTCGTTGATAAGCATTAAGATAGTAACGCAGAATGTTTTTTCTTCATCCTTTTTTCCCTTTTTTTTTGCTAAACCATTTCTCTATCCTCAAAGGCATTTCGTTTGATGAAAAATTTCACTCACTGCAAATGAAAATGCTGGAAAGCTCTCCTATTCTTTGTTTCTCTCTCTCTCTCTCTCTTGGCGCGTCTGGCAAACGAGTAGTATTTTCGCAAGAAATGCGCGCGGCTGCTATCATTAACCTAGTAATCGGGAGGGACTAGTCTCTCTCTCACTGGCGGAGCCTAATGATCGTCGTTGTAGCCGAGTGCTTGGCTCGGCTCAGCTCGCGTCAGTCTCTAAAATCTCTTTCATGCTGCTGCTGCTGCCATAGCGTGTACATATGAGACTAATAAGCCTTTAAACCGAGCACGCGGGGGTATATATATAGGAAAAAGACATTGCATTCTGTTGCTATTTAACAAAAAGGATAACATTATTTGTCTCTGGCACTCTAGGCACTCGCGCGCGCCGCATATTCGAGGGAGTACGTTTCAAATTTTTCCTCCGGCGTCGTACTGTTATATACACATGGACACAAAGAGAGATAGAGAAAGAGATGCTGCTGCCGTTGTTTTTTTTTCTGCTATTTTTTTTCATACGCTCGTATAACACACGGCGCACGCGACTGGTCTGTGTTGCTGCTACGCAATGCCGCAGCAGCCGTCAATTAAAGAGCGCTCGCGCGCGTCTTTTCAATGTTCTCGTGTCGTGCACGACGGAAAAAGTACACAAATTCCCGAGACCGTGGCAAGAAATTCAATGCAGTTGTACGTCGACTAGTCGCGTAGAAAAATTAAAATCCTCGCGCGTGTATGCTATTCTCGTTCGTCTTGGCGGCTATAGGACAAATGTTTTAACTTTCTGCCTGTCCTGGCCGCATTTATAAGTCATTATCGATCTTTACCGTGTCCAATAGACCACCAGCACTACCGCCGCCGCGCCGCCACTTGTACACGCACGGATGCGCCTGCGAGAGTCACACCGCAATTTCCAATAGGGAATGCTCTTCTCTTCGGTCTGCAGGGCGTGTGTGGGTGTGTGTATGTATAGATATACACGTGTATGTATAGGCAGAAATAATCTTATTAAACGCGTCAGCGAGCCCATTGTACCAGCATTATAGGTATATGGAGCAAAAGGACTTGGCTCTGCGCTCTCTGCATTCGCTGCTTGCTGCCCGAGAGCCACAGAGTGGTAGGAAACTGTGCCATGGGATGCTGCAGTGCTGTACTATCCCCTAGACTCATGTTTTATTTAGAGCTTTGCCGTCGCGTCCTCGCAGCAGTAGCAGCAGCAGCAGTGGCAGCATCCGTCGCACACCGTAGGAGAGATCGCAGAGGAGAGCTTTTTTGGACTCCACTTGACTCTCTGCCTGCTGCTGCTATACGTTGCGCAATAAGGACCGAACTAGCTGCTTCTGACGGAAGAAATCGATTTTCGCATCCGTCCGATGTAATCGATTGAGTGTACACATATATTGCATTATTAAGGCGCCAAGAGTCTGCATCCTTGCGTTTGGCACGCGTCACTGTCGTGTCGTGGCATTATCGCGATGTAGCGCGCGATACGATATACATATTATATATGTATCAACCGAGAAGCGCTCGTTTAAAGGCGCGAATTAATAATTATAATCCGTGCGATCGCTGCTCGGCGCGAGCACCGACACAAAAACAGTGTCATAATGTTATCCTTGTAAAAACAGTGCAAATCGCTGCTAATTATAACCGCGGCATTGCCTCTCTCGCGTCATTAATGCGCCATCGAGGCATGCGTGTGCGTACGCATGAGTGTGTGTATGTGTGTGTGCACTGCCTCGCTGCAGCCGAACGAGCATGAGTCTCTCTCTCTCTCTCTCTCTCTCTCTCTCTCTCTCTCTCTCTCTGCTCGCAGTCATTAAACTCGCGTATAAAATTTAAATGTGCTTATCATCGTAACTTATTGCGAGCGTATTACATATCCCTCGTCTTTGAAGAATGTGTACGAGTATCGCAATACATGTGTGTGTGTGTGTGTGTCTGTGTTCTCCACACACACATCCCCGTCGAGAATCAAGTTACACGCATGTGTGTGTTCGCGCGTTTGTGGGTATACATTCGTTTCTGAATAGTCGCCCAGTTCGTGTGTGTGTGCATACACATGCAGTATGCGGGTCGGCGGCGCTCACGTCCAAAAGCTAAAGAAAAAAGCCAAATCTATCTCACGCTTTAATAATAATATCATTCACGAAAATAGAAACTTTGCAGAGTCATGCACACATTCTCACGAGTAGTAGCGCGCGTACACATTTGTGTATACCTGCACGCTTACTGCGCGTATGTGTTGCACTGCACCGCGCATATGCATGTTACATATGTGTGTGTGTGTGTGTGTGTGTGTGTGTGTGTGTGTGTGTGTGTGTGTGTGTGTGTGTGTGTGTGTGTGTAATGCGTGTACAC